TATGAAAACCAAAAGACATGTTCCGTTTTGTCCCGATTTATTGGTTTTCATTTAGGTTCTGTATGGTCTGGTTAACCGGATTTAATTTATTAAGCGCTGAACATTCGGATGTCTAAAATCATCCAGTTTTGCAAGATTTTCGAATACAGAGTTGACATAAGATGAAATATCAAAAACCATTGCCGACAAAGAAAAAGTTTTATACTGTAGTTGAGGCAAAATACGATTCCTTTTATATGTTGATTTGATACTACTGGGAACTGGTGACGAGAAAAAACAAACAAATTGTTTTACCAAAAAGGAAAAAAGAAACATCCCCGTGAGGATTGTCTAAATCATCAAGTTTATACAAATAAACATCCTAATCCCAAATTGAATTAGTCGGAGTGAAACGTTGCTCCGGTCAATGCCACTGCCATCTTGGGAGCTGCAACAAGTAACCATAAAAAAGACTCTACTCTGTCGAACAACAAAAGAAAACAAGAATCGAAATCAGAAGTATAATTAAGTAACCTGAATTTGTCAATCTGATTATTCTTTTGGCGTACTTATCCGGAGCGATATCGAGAATGATCGTTTTGAAGTATAATTAAACTTGGATTTCATTATGTTCTATGGTTATCAAATCGCCGGTCGTGTCTCAATGAAAACCCAATACGTTGTTGTTAGGTGTGACTGCAAAACAAAGGTATGTATGTGTATGTTGCTCTCTACTTTCTTATGAAATTTTGTTTTATATCAAAATCTCCTTATTTATTCGCAGGATGATGTATTTGGACACTGTTGTGGCATTAATTCACTATGGAGTTTTAGATGTTCCGGATAAAAACAATGCAAAAAAGACATTTTCTGTCCACAGTGATCCAAAGAACTTAATTGAGACCCATTCGTTTAGTGGTTACTGGACCTCAATTAAGCTCTTTGGATCACTGTGGACATAAAATGTCTTTTTTGCATTGTTTTTATCCGGAACATATAAAACTCCATAGTGAATTGATGTCACAACAGTGCCAAATACATCATCATGCAAATAATTAAAGAGGTTTTGATATAAAAAAAATTCTCATAAGAAAAGAGAGAGCAACAAGCACATATATACTTTTGTTTTGCAGTCATACCTAATAACAACATAAGAGATTTTCATCGAGACACGACCAGCGATTTGGTACCCACAAAACCATGAAACGTAGTGGCATCCAGGTTTGAGTTGCTTATGGAATTTGCCTCTCTTTTTACTGATTGCACGTGTGTATTCCCCAACTTGGATGCAACCAAAGAACTTAGCCATCCTGCTTTCGACAATTTTTACAAAAATCCAAAAAAATTCAATTAATTTCCTTTTCACTATAAAGAAATCCAATCATGTCTCTCCGTTTTGTTTTATAAAGGGAAAGTGAGAAACTCCAACAAATTCAAACAGCTATTGAAAAACATGACTTAACTAGATGAGAGACAGTGAGACACAATCATTCAAAAAACAGAAAAAAAAAAAAAAAAAAATTCTGCAATGTTTAAGTGAGTTTTTCAGCTCTTAAACAACATCTATATATGAACGTGAGCCCTAACATTTGCAAAGACAATGTAATATGAATGATAATTAATCGTTCACTGAAGGCACCTGACAAAAAATGGCTCCAGAGGATTCCGGCGGAAATGTTGAGATCTACTAGGGTTAAATTTTTCTTTTTCTCGATGAGTACTACAAGCTTTTCGTATAAGGGAGAGAAAGAGCTGTTGCTTGCTGGGCTTGAGCTGATGGGCTTATTTGGGCCTCTGCTTTGTCTCCTTTTTCTCTGTGATTCTTCCACGTGTTCCCTTAACGTCTTCGCTTGCTTATCCGCCGTCCATCTTTAGTTGCTCCGCTCAATCTTGTCTCAATTTTGGATGACGTTAGAATATCCGGTTAGATAAATTGAAACTTGGTTCGGGTGGGACTCAACTCGCTCCGGTTCGTCTGAATTTTTTTAATTTCAGTCTGGTTGGTGAGATTTAACTCCGGGTTCTCTAGAATTTGTAATGTCAGCATGGTTAACCAAACTTCAACTCTAATTTGATCGAGAGCAGACTCAAGAAATGGGTTGCACAAGGACAAAGCTCAAGTACTGAACAAGTTCGCAGTGATTCTCTATGGAGGATAAGTCATTGTTGCAGGCTGGTTATCTTCGATTCTCGTCGGTGCCATCAACCTTGTTCCCCTGGTTCGGTTTTTCTTTCTTTCGAAATCTGAGAGCAGAACAACAAGTGTGATCTCAAGTATGTTTATTTCTGAATGTAGCTTCCCAAGATTATGGAACTGCTCGGACTTTGATCACTAGCAAAATTTAAGAAACAGAAAGGCTTTTCACATAGGCTTTTGGTGCTGGACTGGGGCTTATTCTTGTGACTGATTTTATATTCATTATTCAATATCAATTGAATCTGTAACAATAACAAATGAAATACTATGTTTTAGCGCGACTGTGGTTCTCCCTGCTATAGTATTTTAGATTAGACCATGTAGGGAAGGATTCAAAGATTACTTCTGCTCGGAGTGCCTGAATACATTGTAGAAGATCTATCAAGAGAGTTTTAAGCTATCTTCATAAACTTGGAGCTATTGCGGTCCTGGAATAGTGACGGGAAAGTGTATGTAACATTTCATGTATATTATATCTTGGTGAAACAAAAGTAAACAGGAGAAGAATTGCTAAGGAGAGCTTTTAATGAGGGGTTTCAGATTTATAAGCTATCAAGTTTATTATCATCACTAATAATAACAAGAACAGAGAGACATGAGATGCTTAACTCACCACCTTGTCACTTTATGAGCCCTTTCACTTGTAAACCAGGCATTATGCTATAATTCTCTAACTAGTGTCAGAGAATGTTGTTGAACCTGTCAAAGATTTAAACAGAGTAGTGTAAGAGGTGGTAAAATCTCTGGAAACACCCATGGTTGCAGTTTCTATTAGATTTGCTATTACAAAACTAAATCTAAGCAAATATTACTACAATCTTTGTGTGTGTGAGAGAGAGAGAGACGTTATGCTCAGGTACAGTAACCGACTAACATGCCATCATCACATGTACAGATGATCAAACATTACATGAACTAAGCGTCAAAAACTGAATTGCCTATGTTACAAGAGCAGATTGTGAGACATAAAAATCGAAAAGTGCTTCCTTTTATATAGGAAGTAAAAAAATACATCTAATTCAAATTGGCTTCAAAAAAAAAGGAAAAAAATAAGAAGTGGTTTCATAATTTGAATACGAAACAAAACTTTTATTAAATCCCATTTAAACTTGAGATAAAAGGAACTGGAACCCTATCTCTCTCTCTATATATATCTACAACAATCCTATCACGAACACGATTTGGATTTCTTGCAAAACTATACAAATTTCAGTATTTTATCAAGCATAAATTTTATAATTTAACCAAAAAATGCATAAATTTGATAGAGCAAGCGTTTGCACTTGTTTGATGTATATGTAAATAAGTTAATAAATGAAATTTTAGCATTGGACTCACCTAGGCCAAAGTTAAGAAAAGAAAAATAAAATTGGAGGTTGCTTTTGCTTCACAAACAAACAAACAAACTTTGGCTGCCAAGTTTTGGCATGACAATTGGACTGGCCAAGGGCCTCTTTTAGAGCTTCTGGGTTCTCTTGGTCCACAAACTGTTGGCTTACATTATAATGCGGTGGTCAGAGATGCCCTACGGGGTCGACAATGGTGGATCACTTCAAGTCGAAGCCGGAATCCGTTGATCACCCTGCTTAAGAGCATTCTACCTAACGTTGAGAGCTTGATTGACTGTCCGCATGACGACTATTACTGTTGGAAAGCTGGTCCTCATGCTCCTTCAAACAAGTTCTCAGCAACTCAGACTTTTCAGGCCTTGAATCCCCGAACTCACACTGTTCCTTGGCACAGAGCTGTGTGGTTCAAAGATCGGATTCCTAAGCACGCGTTCATTTGTTGGGTTGTGGCGTGGAATAGGTTACATACTCGCGACAGATTGAGGAGTTGGGGTTTATCGGTTCCTGCGGCCTGCATTCTCTGCAATGACCAAGACGAATCAAGACATCATCTCTTCTTCGATTGCACTTTCAGTTCTGAAGTGTGGAGGTTTTTCTTCTCAAGAACAAACCTTAACCCTCCCTCACAATTCATGGACTGTCTTCTCTGGCTCAATTCTCCTTCGCGTGATAAGCATGTCTCTCTTATTATCAGACTCTTGTTCCAAGCCTGCATCTATGATCTTTGGCGAGAAAGGAATTTGCGGATCCATACCGGGGTTTTCCGCTCAGCTTCCATCATCATCAAGGAGATTCAGCTCACTATTAGGGCTCGTCTTGATCCTTTGTCTCGTGCTCGTGCTCCGTCTACTCTTACTCATGCCACGACTTTGCTTGGGACTTGGTTCAATCTGTTCCAGTTTCATGGCTCCTTATTGTAACGTTTCTTTTGTTTATTGTTTCAGGTTTTTCCTGTTGTTGTAGGGCTTTTGTTACTGGCCTTGTGTGGTCTGTTGGGCCTTGGCCCTTGTAATCCCCCTCTCTTTTATTAATGGAAATTCAGAGTTAAAAAAAATAATAATAATTAGTTGAAAAGTATTGGGAAACTCTGATAAATTAATTTTTTCTTATAATTTTTTTAATTGATTGACCCATAATTTTCTCAATCACTCGTATCATATCTTTAACAATTTGGGCGTTTTATAAACAACTTTCGCAAAATGACATTGACATGTACAATTAGTTAAACTATATGACAAAATTTTTTTGGCCTATTTGTCTTTGTTTTATGGCAAACCTGAAAAAGATGGCAAGCGAGGTTGGATTTAATAGCAGTACGGCTAGGTATAGTAGGGAACGTATGCTTGGCGTTCTTGTTCTATCCAGTGGCTCGTGGCTCGTCGTTGCTGGCTGCAGTGGGGCTTACGTCGGAGTCAAGCATCAAGTACCATATATGGCTGGGACACTTGGTCATGATCTTATTCACCAGCCACGGTCTCTGTTACTTTATCTATTGGATATCCAAGAATCAATTAGTCTCCCAGGTTAATCTTTTTTACATTATTCGTCGATATTGTTCTATAATGTTACATTAAATGCCCTTAATCGTTCGTGTAGATGTTGGAGTGGCATAGGACCGGTGTCTCGAATGTAGCCGGAGAGATAGCTCTGGTGGCCGGACTTATGATGTGGGTCACCACATATTCGAAGATAAGGAGGAGATTCTTCGAAGTCTTCTTTTATACTCATCATCTCTACATCGTCTTCATGCTCTTCTTCGTCTTCCACGTCGGCATCTCTCATGCGTTGATCCCTTTTCCCGGTTTCTACATCTTCCTCGTTGATCGTTTCTTGAGATCTCTTCAGTCACTCGTTCGTGTAGATGTTGGAGTGGGATAGGACCGGTGTCTCGAATTTAGCCGGAGAGATAGCTCTGGTGGCCGGATTTATGATGTGGGTCACCACATATCCAAAGATAAGGAGGAGATTCTTCGAAGTCTTCTTTTATACTCATTATCTCTACATCGTCTTCATGCTCTTCTTCGTCTTCCACGTCGGCATCTCTCATGCGTTGATCCCTTTTCCCGGTTTCTACATCTTCCTCGTTGATCGTTTCTTGAGGTCTCTTCAGTCACGCAACAATGTCAAGCTAGTCTCTGCTCGTGTTCTTCCTTGTGACACCGTTGAGCTCAATTTCTCCAAAAACCCTAGTAAGTTTTAACTATGTCCCCTCTGTTTTTTCTTCTTCAATTGATCATGATTTAATAATCATATGCTAAAATGATATTGCAGTGTTGATATATAGCCCGACAAGCACTATGTTCGTGAACATACCGAGTATTTCGAAGCTTCAGTGGCATCCATTTTCGATAATTTCTAGTAGCAAACTCGAACCAGAGACGTTAAGTGTTATGATCAAGAGCCAAGGAAAATGGTCCAGTAAGCTTTACGATATGCTTTCTTCATCTTCCTCTGATCAAATCAATCGCCTCGCTGTTTCCGTCGAGGGACCCTACGGCCCTAGTTCCACTAATTTCCTACGGTAATTCACTTAAATCACAAACAGAGAAGTTCAACATTCAGTTTCTTCCAACACAAGTAACATTGATGCTCTGTTTTTCTTTAAGAGCAGACATGACTCTCTGGTGATGGTGAGTGGAGGCAGTGGCATTACACCGTTTATCTCCATAATCCGTGACCTATACTACATGAGTTCAACGCACAAATGTAAAATCCCCAAAATGACCCTAATATGCGCCTTTAAAAACTCTTCCGACCTTTCCATGCTTGACCTAATCCTACCGACCTCCGGTCTCACCACCGACATCTCCTCGTTTGTAGATATCCAGATCAAAGCCTTCGTCACCCGAGAGGAGAAAACATCAGTAAAAGAATCAACTCACAATAGGAATATCATCAAAACCCTAGGTTTCAAACCAAACGTCTCAGACCAACCCATCTCACCAATCCTCGGGCCCAACTCTTGGCTCTGTCTTGCAACCATCCTCTCTTCTTCCTTCATGATCTTTATTGTCATCATCGCAATCATAACGAGATATCACATCTACCCAATCGATCAAAACTCGGAAAAGTACACTTGGGCCTATAAATCGCTCATTTACCTTCTATCAATCTCCATTAGCGTGGTGACTACTTCTACAGCTGCTATGTTGTGGAACAAAAAAAGGTATTATGCGAAAAGCGACCAATCTGTCGACAATTTTTCTCCGTTGATCATCGAGAGCTCGCCACAACAATTGTTATCGCAATCCACCGACATTTATTACGGAGAGAGGCCTAATCTTAACCGTAAGTCTATTCAAGATTATAACAGTTTTCATATATATCAGATTATACTCCTATATAGAGTATATGGTGGTTTTCTGAGTTCTACCTCTGTTCACTGTGTGAAAGCAGAGCTTCTAGTTGGTTTACCGGGTTCGAGCGTGGGAGTTCTTGTGTGTGGTCCGAGGAAGATGAGACAAGAGGTAGCGAAGATTTGTTCGTTTGGTTCGGCTGAGAATCTTCAGTTTGAATCTATTAGTTTTAGCTGATGAATTTTAAATTCAGATTCATGTTTTATCATAGATGTTTGGGTTGCAAAATGTGTGGGACTAGTACTAATATTAAAATGTGAAGCGATAAGTCAAAAACAACACATGCACTACGATGGAATATCAAAGTGATCCTCTCCTTTTCAAGTCGCTTGCCTCATTAATCTCCACTGATCATACGGCATGTCTTCTGTTGGGAACCAAATTCGTTTCCCTTGGAGTCTCCGTACATCGAGAGCTTAATCTCAAAGGCCTCATATCAGATTATGGGCCGTGGCTTTAAAGTCCAGTTGATATCACACTAAAGAAGCAGGCGCATTAATTTATAGGACAAGTTTCAAGGGACTCTCTCCCCCACCAAACGATGTGGGCTGTGCACAGTATAACGCCGACTTATTAGTTTCCTTTTTTTTCATGGGTCCGGTCCAAGTAACTTGGCCCAATTCGGTTAATTTGAAACTTGTAATGTGTGGATGTGGGACCAAGTGAAAGTTTAATAAGAAAGTTTTTTGTCCCACATCGAAACATTTTCTAAAAGCCGATGACAAATCTAGTTTAAATAATGTAACAGCCTTTTCTACAACATTAAAAAAACGCAAATATATACACTAATATATAATATGTATATGAAGACATATATATAATGATGTCATTTATTTACGAGTTGCATAGTAACTAAAGTCAGCGTAACTCTTTTGACTTTCACATACCATTCAATGACATCTTTCTTACTTAATATTCCGCTGCCATGTCCCACTTTGGTTTTCAGTTTTTGGTTAACATTTGAGGAATTTCATCGGTAAAAATCGAAGATATAAAGGCATTAAAGGAGAAACCAAAAAAGTCAAAATGGTGACACAACAAGTGTTTTCTGTGTAGGCTTAACAATGAGAAGAAAAAACTCAGGAAAGTGTATTCCTAAAGTAAACTCTACTTCCTTCAGTCCTCTGATTATCGATTATTAAAGATTTGGAGTCGCTTACCAAATCTTAAAACCGGTAAACCAAAACTAGCTAGGAAATTTTGTTAAGGAAAAAATATAAACAATAAAAATAAAAGCTCTGTTCTGTACCATGATACTGATACAAGATCTCACCTAGATTACTCACAAATGTAGGTGTAAACCCAGTTTTTTAACCAAACTAAATCGAATTATGCAAAAATTAATTACGGAATCTTAATCTCTTGCATAGATCCTTGAACCAAATTATCCAAATCCAGCTTGAAGTAGATTCAACCAAACCGAAATAAGTTTATTTAAATATTAATTTTGTTTCAGTTTATATATCATTTGATTTTCCAAAACAAACAAAAAAATTCACAAACCAAATAAACTAAACAAACCAAACCAAAAAGCAGGAATATCACTTGTAGCTGTACCTATAAATTATCAGAGCATTAAATCTAGCTCACCACCAAACTCAACATGTGTTAATCTTTTAACCCTAAACTTCTAAATTTACAAATAGACGACTTTTTTACTTCTTTCGTCTTCCCCACCATCTTTTTTTGTGCCCTATGTTCTCAACTAATCTCATTTAATTCACCACACACAGTTGCATACTTGCATCAATATATGTAATTACTTATACACATACATACATATGATCATTTAATGAAATTCATTAAATGAAACTATTCCTTTCGCTGCAAAATTAGGTACCAGCAAAGCATAAACACCACTTTACCACTTCTTGACTTCCAAATCTGAAAACCCTCTCATTATATCTATAAACCAATTTACATATATTCATGTCTCAACGATAACAGCGGAGGTTCATTAATGAGGGATTGATTCTGATAGTTACGAGTGATAGATTGTGAAAATCAGAGAGAAGCTTCTTCCTCTTTTTCTCCCTATAAATTTCCGTAGGAAAATCATATTCATTCGCATCTCTTCTCTTCTCAATAATCACCACATTTCTTAACTTCTCCGGGAAACAATAATAAAAGAGCTACATGGAAATATCCAATGCGATGCTTCTTGTAGCGATCGTAACAGGGTATTGGCTATGGTTCAAGAGGATCTCACGGTGGCTAAAGGGTCCACGTGTCTGGCCTCTGTTGGGTAGTCTTCCTGGTCTGATAGAGCAACGTGACAGAATGCATGAATGGATCACCGAGAACCTCCGTGTCTGCGGCGGCACTTACCAGACTTGTATCTTTGCCGTGCCTTTCTTGGCTAAGAAGCAAGGTCTCGTGACTGTCACGTGTGACCCTAAGAATCTTGAACACATGCTCAAGACCCGGTTCGATAACTACCCTAAAGGTCCTACATGGCAATCCGTCTTCCACGATCTTCTCGGTCAAGGTATTTTCAACTCCGACGGTGACACCTGGCTCTTCCAACGCAAAACCGCTGCTCTTGAATTCACGACAAGGTACCAAACCGCTCGGTTTAATCACTTGTGCCTTGAGTGAATTTCACGGTTTTAATTATTACATTTGACCAAATCGAATTGGTAAACCCCGGTTTATTAATACTTATAGTCGGTTCGGTATTGTTATGATGCAGGACGTTGCGGCAAGCCATGGGTAGGTGGGTAAACCGAGGAATTAAGCTCCGGTTCTGTCCGATTCTTGAAACGGCTCAAGCCAAATCAGAACCAGTTGATCTCCAAGACTTAATACTACGGCTCACATTCGACAACATTTGCGGATTGGCGTTCGGTAAGGACACACGAACCTGCGCACCGGGGCTCCCCGAGAACGGCTTTGCCTCGGCATTCGATCGAGCCACCGAAGCCTCCCTTCAAAGATTTATCATACCAGAGTTTATGTGGAAGCTGAAGAAATGGCTTGGGCTCGGTTTGGAAGTAAGCTTGAGCCGAAGCTTAGGAGAAATCGATGAATATTTAGCTGCAGTTATAAATACACGTAAGCAAGAATTGATGAGTCAGCAAGAAAGTGGAACCCACCAGAGACACGACGACCTCCTCTCGCGTTTCATGATGAAGAAAACCGAATCTTACAGTGACACGTTTCTCCAACACGTGGCGCTTAACTTTATCCTAGCTGGACGTGACACGTCATCAGTTGCGCTGAGCTGGTTTTTCTGGCTTATCACGATGCATCCAGCCGTCGAGGATAAAATCGTCCGGGAGATCTGCTCCGTTCTGATCGAGACACGTGGCACTGATGACGTCGCGTCTTGGACTGAGGAGCCTCTAGGGTTCGACGAAATCGACCGTTTGGTTTACCTGAAGGCGGCGATCTCGGAGACGCTCAGGCTTTACCCATCGGTGCCGGAAGATTCGAAACACGTCGAGAACGATGACGTTTTACCGGACGGGACTTTTGTTCCGGCGGGATCATCGGTGACCTACTCGATTTACGCGGCGGGGAGGATGAAATCGACGTGGGGAGAAGATTGTCTGGAATTTAATCCGGAGAGATGGATTTCTCCGATCGACGGAAAATTTATCAATCACGATCAATATCGGTTCGTGGCGTTCAATGCTGGACCAAGGATCTGCTTGGGGAAAGATCTGGCGTATCTTCAGATGAAAACAATCGCGGCGGCGGTGCTTCTTCGTCACCGGCTTACGGTGGTTCCGGGACATAAAGTGGAGCAGAAGATGTCGTTGACGCTATTTATGAAGAACGGACTTCTAGTGAATCTGCACAAGAGGGACCTCGAAGGGGTCATGAAGAGTCTAGTGGTGAAGAAGAGCGACGGTGTCGTCAATGGTAAATGTAACGGCGTTATTGGTGAAGGCGTCGCCGTTTACTTAAATACGGGAGTTGCGGTGGTTTAAGGCCAATCACGTCTCTGATTTATTCATATATACACTTTTTATATTCCAAAAGAATACATTTGGACAAAAATACAGCTTGTAATTTTTGGTCAATATGAAATTGTAAGCAATATACTCCACTTAGTAATTTCTTTATGGGAAATTATTGTAAGCAAATCATATATATAGTCCAAAATAAATACATTTTACTTCGTACTAGCTACCTTAGTCCTATTTCGCTTGAATGAATCAATCAACAAGTGTGTTTAAGTTTCACGTGAAAACAAAAGGAAATTAGCTGTGTATTAAATTATATACCAATTTTTTTCATTGTGTCAGTTTCTTGATCCAAGATGGAAATTGATCCTAAGCAGATACAATGGATAACAGATTAAGCACAAACTCTCTAAGATCTATGCAGTTCTGAAGGAGAATTTGTATCTATTTCTCTGCTGTGGTTGACAATTAAAAAGATATTTTAGACAGTTTTTACTAATCATTCATAGTTAAGACAAGGGAAAATGGTAAACTACATGTACGTACGTTGTTTCAAATGTAATTTCATTATCCGGTGCATATTCAACAAAACCTTTTCCTCGAACAACACATGAAAAAAAAGTAATTGGGAAAACCAGAAAGACCTAACTTCACTCCCAAGCAAAATAGCAGCAACCAGTAACTAGCAGGATTATTAGTCCATGGACTTGGTCTTATTAATAGACTCAACCTTTCCGTCGTTGCCTCCAAGCAACAGATACTTATCCTTCCTTGTAAGTTCAGTGCATTCGAACCCCAAAACTCCACCGATCACCTTCTGAACGTAATTAGCCACCTCAAAAGGAGTCTTGCCACCACCGTTTACCGTCATTTCTTCGGGCAAACGGTCCAAGAAAGTGGCCTCGTAGCTAGGTCGAGGGTTCATGAAGAAGAAGTACGGATCCCAGAATTTCACACCTCTAACGGTCGTCCCGTTGAACATCCCTTGCTTGCAGTTCATGGCCACAGGCACGATCCGGTCGCTCAGCTCCGCAAATAGAGCACTGAATCTTAGTAGATATGGTTCTCTACACGTTGTGCCTTCAGGACAGATCACCAAATCACCTGTTGCAAAATAAAAAACAGAGTTACAATGATAGGAATTATGTGTATCGAAGATCAGAGAAATATGTGTTTTTTTGTCAATGAAACGTATATGATTCTATAATATATAAATAACAACTCAGGTGATCTCTTTTCTTTTCAGAACAGAGATAATGTGATAATAATGAAACCAAATAAATGTGTAGAAAACCATAGATGCTCTGTTTTCTTGCTTTATTATTTAGGAAACGAAAGGTATTTGATTCTGAAAATGATAATATGTATGTGTGACAGTGATAATCAATGGAGCCTAGGTTCTCTGTTCATTTCGGATTAGAGTTCATGAGATAATAAAACCAATGAATCATATGTAGCAAAACAGAGATACTCTGCTTTTGTATAATGATAATTGAGCATGGAAAATACCTTTCTCGAGGAGTTGTCTCATGCGGGCTGCATCAGCGACACGGTCTCGGGTCAAAGCAACAGCAGGGATGGGTGAGAGCATCAGGGAGAGGCGAGAGACACTATAAGTGACACATGTGATCTTACGGCCGAGAGCAATGGCGATGATAATGGGGTCAAGGGCGGTGCGGTGGTTAAGGACGTAAAGGTTTCCAGGTTTGCCGGGGGAAGGAGGGGGAGGACGGTGGCCACGGATTGTGAGGTGAATGCCGAGGATCTCGTAAGTGTAGCGAACGAAGCGTTCGGGTAAAGGAAGGTTAAAGTAGACGCGGAAGATAGAGAGCATGAAGCCGAAAGGAAGCCAAAGGTAAATGATTAAGGCGTTTAACGGCGTCGGACGTTGGACAAGACGGCCATCGTGGAAGATTATGCGGTTCTTGAGACTCTCTATAGGGATTGTTGTGGCTGATTTGGTCTCATGCACCATGTAACCTTCCTGTTAAAATATAATAATAAGAATCATTCTAAAATTCATAATTGACGATTCTTTTGGTAAGAAATGTTGTAAAATACTATTGAACTTTCAAACAATATTGACATATGTGGGATCAATTCATTAAATGGACCGTCCAACTTATGTGGTGATGGTAGTTGGTGATAGGTTGGAAGCATTTATGAAAACTATTATTCTATTCTACTATCTACTTTTTTGTCACTGTCAGTGATTACTTTCCTCTACTTGAATTCACTTGTATGAGTTTTGTATCTTAAAAACTATGGATTTTGTTACCCTAATACATTATTCTAGATCTTTCATGAGTTTATGATACACATATACAAAGTAAACAAATCATGTGAAGACTGTATGGGAAATTTTAATTCATTTTCCCATAGATCATGTGAATCCTCTTCACCGCATTTATAGGTCTTTTACGTAATTATAGTTCTTTAATTAATTACCACCTAAATCAGGTTTTAAAGATTTCAAGAAACGTAAATTGGATACCTTGCAAATGGACATGAAATCGTGATCGGAGGTCCGGTCACCGAGTCCAAGATCAGGTGATTCTTCGCCGAACTCTTTCAAGATGGCTAATCTCTTCAAATCACCAACAAGAACACCAGGCTTTTTAACAAAACCAGTAGCTTTCATGGTTTTGGGGTTAACTTCAATCTCTGTTCCCAAAACTTTATCACCTCCCAAATAGTCCTTGACGAATGGCTCAACCATCACTATCGGATTCGCAGTAACCACCACTTTCCTCTTGCATTTATCAAACACCTCAAAACTATCTTTCCTCACATCCGCCGCGTAAAACCTAAAAAAAATTAAAAAAAGAAATTAAAAATTTGAGATTCCGAATCGAAACGTAACGAAAAAACAAAGATCCGGTGATTGTAGTACCGTGGAAGAACGGCACGAGAGACGAGTTCGATGTTCTTGATTTTGATACCGGCGAAGGAGATGTAGATAAGGATTTGGATTCCGAGAGATTCGGAGACGAAGAGATAAGCGATGATGACGATGGGAAGAGAAAGAAGAAGGATCAATCCACGGAAGAGACTACCTGCTTCAATGGCGACGAGCATGAAGTAAGGGAAAGAGCTTCTTGAGAGAAGCAGAGTCCCGTCGAGATCCGCAGCGATCGAATTATACTCTCTGCTTTTACACTCGCTTATCGGAGGAAAACTTCGGCTCTTCTTCGCCGGAGACATGTTTTCTTGCGGCGAATCTTTCTTGATAATGGCGGTTTAGTAAACAGAGAGAGAGAGAGAGATATAGAGAATTTGGAAAGAAAGAGAGGGAAGGTCCTTGGGGTTTTAAATGCGCCTTCTACAAGTGGTTGTTTAATCGCTCAACCGACTAAATAACTTTTCAGTCCAATTAATATCAACTCTTTACGATTTTATCCTTAAACTTTCAATCTTAACAAAACTAACCCTGGAGTAATATCTACAAGTAGCTACTACAAGTGAAGGTTTCAATTTACACTTATTTTTTGATATGTTAAAGTTAATATGAGTAATTATTTGATTAGAGTATTTATTAGATGATGAAATTTGGTGTATATATAAATGTTTACATAAATATTTTTGGTCACGCGGTTTAGTTACTTTTTTTGTTGATTGACATGAAAGAAAGTAGCTTAGTAGTTCACCTAAATGGAAGGCTGTATAATTAATTGAGTGAGTTATTTGAATATATAGTTGGCTATGTCTGTATAGGATCCAACTATACGTGAAACATTAAATTCGACGGCCGCCTGACCAAGTTAATATACGAAAATGACTTTTATATATTGATAGCATTTAATTTTGATTGCAAGATTTACGTATTAAGGAATCGTCGACAGTAGAGTTGTATATGCTGATTGACTTAATTAAATAGGATTTTTTTTTCTTGTATCATATGGATGGTCAATGATATTATTAATAAAACGGTAAATGGTTGGGTGTTGGAGAGGCCCTTGTTCATACTTACGGATATGAATGTAACAGTTTATGGATATCCCATAGTATTAAATATCTTACGCGCGCTATGGAAATTGAAATTGAAATTGCAGTAAGCCAGCACCACATCACGTGAACCTTATGTAGACGATCACGTATGGGTTTTATATATGTGCTTGAGATTAAATTACAAAAATGTGCATGCAAATTATGTAGATATCACAAGTAAACAGATTTTATTTCCAAGCAGATAACACTCATTTATCATAATTACATACACTGAAGATATGAAACTAAAAAGTAAATAGTAAGAACTAAAAAAGCTTAAGAGTGATCCAGTGGGTAGGTAATCCACTTTGGCAAGGTCATTTCTAGAATAAATAATTCTCTCAAGTCTCAATTTGGTTGGCTATCTAATTTCTATAGCAACAAATTAAGAAAGCTTTTTCAAACCAAAAAGAAAAAAAAAAAAAAACATAACAAAGCTTTAGACTTTAGAGTGATGCAGTTGATAGATATTTATATAGTAGTATCCATAAAGAGCTTATTATGCATACTAGGCTAAATAAATAATTGATAAGTGCGAAAGAGGCCCAATGTAAATGGGCTAAATACCCACGTTAACTTGGTTAAGTCGATGAGCCGATAAACGAAGCCGAAACCATATCAGATTCATTTTGCAACTTTCTCAAATCGAACTAGAAAACCAAAATTAAAAGCGTACCAAATCAATCATATATCATCATCATACATCAAAACGATTAAACCAGATCATCCACCGCAAATAAGAAATACTAGACAAATCCAATAAAACACATGACCAGATCTCTCAAATATTTTCAAGCACGATACAAACCAAGATAGATAGATAATAAAGCAACAATCAATCAGGTTCTGGACTTGAATGGAATGGCTCTGATGACAAGTTGGTGGTAAAGAGCCGCAAGAGCTGCTCCAATGAATGGTCCTACCCAGAATATCCACTGCAACCCAACAATCATAAATCAAAATCAACCTAAATTGACATAAAGAGATAAAATTATATTTGCTGCTGTATATAATAATGGAGGAGACTCACGTGGTCGTCCCAAGCGTGGTCCTTGTTGTAGATGATTGCAGCTCCAAGACTCCTTGCTGGGTTAATTCCGGTTCCGGTTATCGGAATCGTCGCCAAGTGAACCAAGAACACAGCGAATCCGATTGGGAGTGGAGCCAAAATCTGCAAAAACAACCCTAAATTATGAATCTTTCTCAACACCCAAAAAATAAATTAAGAGGACTCAAACGAAATATACCGGAACGTGGGAGTCACGAGCGCTTCTCTTGGCGTCAGTGGCGGAGAAGACCGTGTAGACAAGGACAAAGGTTCCGATGATCTCAGCGCCCAAACCAGAGCCCTTAGTGTAGCCGTGAGCGACGGTGTTGGCTCCTCCGCCGAGAGTTTGGTAAAGATTTGGCTGGAAGCCTTTAACAACTCCGGCGCCGCAGATGGCTCCGAGACATTGCATCACGATGTAAAAGACAGCTCTGGTCAATGACAGTTTACGAGCCAAGAACAGACCAAATGTCACCGCTGGGTTTATGTGTCCACCTGAAACACAAACACATTAGAACCAACTCTAAATTCAGATCTCTTCGAGTAAATTCGAAAAAATCCTTTTTTTTAAAGAAGATAAATGGGTTACCAGAGATTCCAGCAGTACAGTAGACAAGGGCAAAGATCATGCCACCAAAAGCCCAAGCAATGCCTTGGATTCCAACAGAGGCACACATGTTTGGAGCTCTCTTCACTCCCATCACTGTCAATACTGTTATGTATAGAAACAGGAATGTGGCTATGAACTCGGCGATTCCGGCTCTGTAGAAGGACCATGAACTCAGCTCGCCTGGCTCGAACAGTGGAGCTGGTGGTGGCTCCTTGTAGTCTTTGTCCGTCTGAGCCGATGTCCCAATGGGTTGCCTCTCTGGGAACTTGTTCGCTCCCACTCGAACATCCTCTTCTTTCCCTTCCATCTCTCTCTCTAAAAAACGTTAAAGTTCTAAGCTTTCTTCTCTCTACAATGGGTAGTGAGTGGCTGAGATGGAAAAAAGGTGGTTTTATAGAGAAGAGAGATAGATAATAGAAAAAGCAAAGCCTAACGTCTAGAAAATATGATTTTTTTTTACAATTTAAATAATGAGAAATACAGGATTCATGGATAACGATGATCTTCCTAAAATAATAATGGACATGATGATGTTTAATCATGGAACGCTAATAATTCTGTTGCGTTGGCTACTAATTATTATATTATGGAACTCCTTATAAAGATAGCATGTTTGACCTAATTTACATTACCCACATTATCTTCTTTTGCAGTTTTGGCTGTACATTTAGTTATCTACCAAATCAACCAAAAAATTTTAATGGCTGCCTTTCTTGTATATTGCGCAGAAGCAGCTTAATTCTGTGAGTCGTAATTATGAATCAAAATTATTATAGCCATAAAAAATAGTAAGTAATTATGGAGATGTTTTATGTTAAAGTAATCAAAAGTGTCATTCTGTGAGTTGTCTTTTCTCTTGAGGTTTTGCCAACAAAGAAAGTTATGTCAAAATATCTCTTTTGGACGGTATTATAGGGGGCTCTCGGTTAAAAATGTAAAAAATATTACTGTAGTTAGTATGTTTTGGCCAAAATAGTGAAAAATAAAGGACTAACTTTTTGACTAGTCGACGAATAAATAATCACTTTTCCGACCGTTGGAGGAAGGAAAAGGAAACAAGTGCTTGGAAAGCGACTGCTTTATCTAAAGTAACATAGTCTGGAATATTGTGCCCGGCCTAGAATATTTTCAAAATATTTTTATTTAATTATTAACTGAGCACTAGTGACAAAATTATTATAAAGAAAATTGGAGTTTTTGAAGCAGAAAAAGAAAATAATTTTTTTTTGGAGATAAGTTATTGAACAGCTCAGAAATGTATTTTGCTTTCTGTGATCACATGTTCGTTTCCCTACTCCCACTTTCTTTAATTTTTCTCTCAATCTTTTCAAATCTAACCAGAATTAAAATTCACAAATTTTGAAAAACGCTATATGAATAATCATGTACTAGTAAAATGCGAGATTCAATCTACAAACGCAACCACACATCACAATCGTCTAGCTGCCCAACCAGTATAATTACGACACGTGGCATAAGAGGCAAATATGTGGTTGTTTACTACTGGGGCGGTTATATGAATCTTTCAATCCTTGCTTGCTTCCAGTTGTACAAATCACATCCAATTATCCATCTTTTTAATTTTTTGTTAGAGGCATGGGCCGTATAATAATATTATAGAAATAGAAATTATAACACTGGCATTGTTATTTAACAAGCAATGATTAGGTTGCTGAATAACAAACAATTATTTGGTTGATTAATTTTGATTTTTTTTTTTTTTTCCAATTTTGATTTGTTACTGAATTTGTCTCTGTAGCTGTACTTAGTTGGTACATTACATGCCATCAAAAGACAGACTAGACTAATATATTTTGCAACGAAACACATCTGTTCAAATTGCTTACATTTGGAAAGATACTTGAAAAAGATACGATAACATATTTTCAAAACGTGAATTGTTAATTGTTTTATACACCCCAGACAAGCTTCTGTCGTGGGCTATACTAACACTAAAAGGAACTCCTATGAATCAGTCAACACTTTGAGGCGTGAGAGATTAAAACCACAAATCATCCCGAGCCCAATAGGCTCTAATAAGGCCCAATTGGCAGGAGCACGATATCGTCTTCTTCCTGTATTAGAGTTGGGACAAAAAAGAGCTGGGATGAGTCAATAAATGAGTAGAATTTGTAAGGAAGAGTAGTTGGTGAGCGTCGCCATTGAAGGGGAAAGAAGCCCAACTTTGCATTGAATGATACTTAGATCTTTGTCTCTGCAGCTGTCTCCATTTATGATCGATCCCAACCTGTTTCTTCTCTCTTCTAATTTCAAGATCTGGTCGTAGCTCACCGGAGAAACGTAATGGAAAAGAAAGAGACCAAGCAAGAACCAGCACCAGCACCAGCTGAGCAAGAGAATGGTCCGTTGATTGAAGATGAGATCGAGAGGAGCAAAGTCGGGATCATGAGAGCTCTCTGCGACCGACAAGATCCTGAAACTAAGGTCGGTATCGATTTCTTGAAAGTACCAAGTAAAAAAAAAAGTCAACACAGAAAGTCTTGATTTGATAAAACCCCTAATGATTTGATTTGCAGGAGGTGGATGATCTGATGATAAGGAGGTTTCTGAGAGCGCGTGACCTGGACATTGAAAAGGCTTCAACGATGTTTCTTAAGTACCTGACTTGGAAGAGAAGCATGCTCCCAAAGGGGCACATACCAGAAGCAGAGATTGCAAATGATCTGTCGCATAACAAGGTGTGTATGCAAGGTCATGACAAGATGGGTCGACCCATTGTTGTTGCCATTGGGAACAGACATAACCCTTCCAAAGGTAACCTTGACGAGTTCAAGCGTTTCTTTGTCTACACGGTTGAGAAGATATGCGCTAGGTGAATAATGATATTACTACACTACATACATTAAGTTAGTGGGGATATATAAGAAATCATTTATGCTAATGCACTTTTTTGAATGTTCTCATGTTAGAATGCCGAGAGGTCAAGAGAAATTCGTATCAATTGGAGATCTTCAAGGCTGGGGATATTCTAATTGTGACATCCGTGGCTACCTTGCTGCTCTTTCCACTTTGCAGGTTACTTCCTTTAATTTGCTTATCATATTTTTTGAAACAAACATTTTGTTTTTAGCAATTATCACGAATGAAGGAAAATATGGCTAATAATCCACTTAACTCCAAATATAGAAGAATTCAAGTTGGCTTCTAACTAAGAAACCTTATGTTTGTCAGTATTTACTAGGTTTTAAAAGGTCTTTTTGTTATTTTGGAGTAGGTGATCAGGTCAAAGGTCTTTTTGTTATTTTTGGTCCTTTTGGCTACACTTGGCTCTTTTCTTTTTTTTTACTTTATACTCTTTATTTATGGATTTGTTTTTTAAAAAGCAACTTTCATGATTGTAATCCTATTTTTAGCATCGGTTGAGTAATTGTGTTCATGGTCCTGACAATGAGTAAACATACCTTGTTTTACAGGATTGTTACCCAGAGAGATTGGGGAAACTATATATAGTTCATGCCCCCTACATTTTCCTGACCGCATGGAAGGTCATTTATCCTTTAATCGACGCCAACACCAAGAAAAAGGTTGATGATTTTGCTCTGCTGCACAATCACTTTATTGTGTTGGGAAACTTGATTGTTAATTTTGTTTTTTTTGTTGGAGCAGATTGTTTTCGTGGAGAACAAGAAACTCACTCAAACGTTACTCGAAGACATAGACGAAAGCCAACTTCCCGACATCTACGGAGGCAAATTGCCACTTGTTCCTATTCAGGAGGCCTAATTATAGGTTTTACTACGGCCCACCTCTATTTCTAAATTATTTACTTAGTACACTATTCTTCTTTTTTATTTTTAATAAATCGAAAACATATTGAGTGTTGCCAAATGCCAGCATTATATATTTACTGTCAAAGAAGCTAAAAGATATAATATAATATCGAAAACAACTTTAAATTTCATGTAATTTCATATCTATCTATTGTGATATAGCCATTTTACTCTGGCAACTATAAAATTTCAGTATAGCTTGCTGTTGCTCTTCCCTGCAAATCTAACACACAATTGGTTCGACTAGAATTCTACTAACTAAAACAATAAAAGAAAATAAAACAGGTTTACTTATGAATGGTACATGAATCAATCAACACCTTGAGATAATCCATAAAACAAGTCTTTACTAATTTTTTCACTCTTATAAGAAAGAAAAGAAGAAACAATCAATCCCCTTTAGCAAGTGAGATCGATCCACTTACACAAGCTGTTTGTTCACCAGTTGCCGCGTGTACTAGTAAAAACATTGAATGAAGGAGCTCCATGATCTTTGGCTTTGGCTTTGGTCTCTCTTAGATAAGCCCGAGTGATCTCCACGCTTAGATCCGGGTTCCTCTGCACAAACGTCTCATATTTCATGGGAACAACCACTTCTTCCATATGTTTGACAATATGATTGATAGCCGCGTCTTTCAAGATTGTGTCACAAGGTATACTGGCGAGCTCTAAGATGTCTAGGACGTTCCTAGAGCTCAGAGATGCAATGAAATGGTTACGGCATACGTCTTGCAGATATGAAATGTCGTATTTATCTGCAGCCAGATATAGGGATCGGTATTGATTGTATGGAGCTTTTAAGTTACCGGTGTAGAGGAACTCGAGAAGAGATTTGAGTTCGTCGTGGGACAAATCAGGGAGAGTGATTGATTCCTCGGAGGAGGTCTTGCATTCATCAGAATCTAACATGTTCCTGAAGACCTTTGATCTTGCCGCCTACACCAAAAACAGATTAATCATTGATCATGATCCAATCTTATCACATGATCCTCCAATCTTACCATATCATCTACATATAGTAATAATGTCTTGAGACTATGGTCAGAAATATGAAAGCAAAATGTATATCATCTGATCTGTTAGCAGATATGTGTGAAAAAGGAAAACATTACCAGAACGGCTTTGTGTGTAGGTATGGGTGGAGCTTCTTCGCCAGGGTTAACGAGAACATCAGTGTGCATTTGCTCCTTGAATGTGACAACAAGACCCCCGAGGAAAGCCGCCTTTTCCGCTGCTTCTGTCATTAGTTTATTCAACCTATCACAATCAGAAAGCTTTATTATTAAACAGAGATTGAATACCAAGAAGATCAAACTTATAAACATACATATGCCTCAATTATTTACTGCATTGAAAGGAAAGGATTCACTTTTAATCTACAAATCTTAAGACTTGGAGAGGTTCTCTATTCATAAGACCAATATTTTGATCATCCCCTAAGGCCTAAGCTCTCTAATAAAAGCTTAATTAAAAATTTGAAGTAAGGCAAAGGATTTATCCAAGGATCTTTCAAATCTTAAACCGCAACTTTCCAAAATTTCACAAAAAGACCACTCACACACAAAATTCAATCAAGCCACCGATCATATCCTCAAATTTGATGTGACGATGTTAAAAAAAAAAAACCCCTTTTACTTACCGTCGAAAAAAAAGCCAGGGAAACGATTTCGCAAAAATAAAGTAACCGCGATTCGAAGTGTTTGTGATGCAATTTACAGAGAAATAATAAGAGAGATTAGGAAAGTTCTAGAATGATATATTACCGAGTAATAGCGAGATCGGCTGCTTCCTCTCTATAGCTTCAGTACGATGATCAAAGAGACTCTGAACTTGACTTGATGATGACTTGTGTCGTCGTTTTGATATAATTTAATTAGTGGAGCAACATTTATTAAAACAATTCGGAAAAGCAAAATTACAAAAAGAAAAAGGTTTGCATGTTAAAGCGAAAGTTTAGTTGAATATCTTAACAAATACTTATATCGGATTTAGAAATATCGATACAGTTTTTGTGAGATTTTTTTTAGCATTGTAACTACAGTATATAATAATAATATATATGAATTAATTATGAAATAAATTTATGAGACATTTCTTAAATTTTTCATATTAATGAATATTTTTAGTTGCTAGTTTGCTACAATATATATAATTCCTCTAAATAACCTGTGACCCTTTTACATTACTAATCTGTAAATACTAGCTGGAGTTTTTTGGACATTATGTATATTATAGGAGAAAATCTGATCATCATGACTCAGGAAAAGAAGCCAAAGTCTATTCGTGGTTTCATCTAGCAAGAGAGGTTAAAAGAGTTATCACGGCAAATGTGGTATGGGCTCTCCTGTCTAGTTGTGTGAAAGCGTACAGAGACATATATATATAGACCTAAGAAGGGGTGTGTTGTATTAACAATAAAAAACTAGAGGATCATCTGATTTTGATCTGTTCTCATCTGATGCATAGTAGGTTGTTTTAAGACGATTGAGGTTGAAGACGAACGTGAGGGCATGGCCTGTCGGGTTCCCCTGTTGTCCACAGCGTCTTCAGGTCACCTCTCTTGTGACCCAACACGAACAAAGTACCTGACACATTGCGCCCCCCAACCATTCTTAGATTCAAAACACTTTTTCAATAGCTTTTGGTTCCAAAACATCTGATGTGGGTTCTTACCGAGTATGAATGGGACGATGTAAAGCAGAGCCGGTTGTCCATGTCCGTCCATCAAGTTTAGAGCTATGTATGTTATGAGCAGACCTGTGATTGTCAAGAATAATCTTAAAAAAAAAACCTTTAGTAGATTTCTTATTCGTTTCTTCCCTACTTGAGGGATCATACCTAGACCATAAGCAGACATTGTCCCAAGGAAGTATCCTGACTTTAGCCTCTTGTTCGCCAGCCAGTCGTACCTGCAGAACGGAGCACGAGTTGATCGGATTTAACATTAGATTAAGGTACTTATCATAATAGGTTTCCTTTTTATTACTGAAAATGATAAGATGGATCACCTGAAAACACATCCCTACAGTTATCTATTCTTTTTCTAAACAATATGTTGTCTCCATTTGTCTACCTAGTGCAACCTTACCCTGATTTCTCTGAAGACATTTGATTCATTCACACTCATCTATTTACTAGACTTTGTACTGTTTTCTTTTTATGAGACTTAGACCCTAATTCGGGTGCGACTATAGAACTCTTGAACATTTAATGATATTTCTATCTACAAGTTCTTCAAAACACATTAATCAGGCACAAATCATACGGTTAAATTGAACCAGAGTGTCGCCCTATGAGATATTTTCCAGGTTCAAGTGATTTTGTTTCATAAAAAATCTGTCAGAGATGATGCGCAAATGCGGATATAAAGGTATATCATGACCTCAATGTTTCAAATAATGTTTCTGATAAACCCTTTTCGCATTTTGTTGTTTTTGCTGAGCACCTCTATTGGTTTGTTGTCCTGATTTACATTGATATCCGCATTTGCGCATCATTTCATACTTTTGTATGCTTCTAATAACTCAGTTTAGTTGAGATCTTGATAAGGTGAAAGAGCGCGAGAGGGGATTGTAACAGTGCAAACCTCAGTGCGAAAGTTACAAGCAGTCCTGGTAAGATGATGTCACCAAATCCAATTATGCTGTAGCCACCCCAAGGATCAAACATTCGTGGGATCTTTAGTAGCATTGGAATTCCGTCCTCTCCGCTTCTGTCACCACGGGCTACCTATATGTGGGAAAATGGGAAAGGACGTACAATTCTCCGATAATATCAGTTTGGAGCAGACAGAAAAGTTTCTGTAGTTGGAACATCTTGCATATTTTTGTATGAATGAAAATGGTTTTCTGGAACCAATAGAAAATGCAGGAAGAACTTACCACAATCATCACGCTTTCACGGAACCACCATTTTGAAACAAAAACCCAGAAGATGTCATACATGAAGGCACAACTGAGAAGAACAAACCCGACCTGTTAACATAAGAGTTCAATGAGTCATCATAACTAATACTGTTATTAAAAATTGGTCTTCTATACATTGGCAGAAATAATTGTGTCCATCTACTGGCAGCAATCAAATTTTCAGTCTTCAATTCAGTGGTTCAGATTGTTGAATATTTAACATTTTAAAGCTTCTTTATTAGGTGCCAACTTCGAAAGCACATAGCCAGAATATATACACTGGAGAAGTGATGGTTTAAATGCAAAGCTGGTACTAGATGGCTACAGGTGTTGTCAACATGTGAGATTTGGTGCCGTCATGATTGTGACGGCGAGTCTATGTGATATTTGGTAAGGAAATGGCTATTACCTTAAGATTTGGTACGCGGACAATTTGAAGAACCGTGATTATCAGTGAGATTCCCTGTCAGTAAGAAAAAGCAAAATTAAGCTGTTACCTTCTGTTATTTGTTAGACTAAGTATGAGCATGGTAGTCTTATATGGAGATTTAACAGTAGGTGGCATAGACAAACATGGATTCAAACTGAAGTCAGTGAAGAGAGATAGATGGAAAGTCGTGCTTACAAGTATATCTTGCCCTATCCAAGCATAAGAGTATTGGCGTTTAACTGCCCAAAATACAGCAAATGCTATGCAAAAGGGACATATAGCCAGAGTCAAGTATGAGACAGCACCCAGGATAGGAACTTTGAGATATGATTCTCCAAAGCGGCGGAACCATCTGAAACTATAATAAATCCAACGTCAGTATCAGTTTTTTTTTAACTTCTAAAGAGTGAAGAAGCTTGCACATATGAAATTTTTACTACAAACAATGCAGAGAGTTAAAGAACAAATATTCAAGTGAATAGCCTAGCATTTCATAGTCAACCAAAAAAACACAATTCATGGTTTCTCTCTGATTCATTATTTCATGGTAAAACAAGCCCTAAAATCCAAACAATGCAGAACGAAGAAATTTTTGAAAAGAAATCAACCCACGAGAATAAATAATGAACCACTATATGGGATTAGGAGTGTTTCTTATAGTATTCAACTCATCAGGGGATGTTGTCCATCTTAATGTTTCCTCTCCACTGCTCTTTGAAAAGCAAAAAGAGGTGAAACATGCTCCTGACGGTGAAATGTTAATGAGAAGAAGAAATATACATACCATGAGAGTAAGGCGACCAAACAGGTTTGCAGCCCCTGATAGTACCAACGAAACTTACAATATCAGTAACAGGATGATTCAATTAGGTATTTCTATCATTTCAATTGGTCACAAGATAAATGTTCTGACCTCTACACCACCTATGCAAAAGAGTACCACCAACACCTCTATAAACCAGAATGACATAAGCTTGTAGAGCATGATCAGGAAACAAGAAGCAACCACTACAAACAAAATTGCTGATATCACGGTGACCTCAACAACACCTCTAGAGCTGGTGGTTGATAACTGCAAAAGTTCATCTGATCCGTCCTGCAGTTTAAGATCAATCACAAACGAATGAGGGCACTTTTCCTTGGCTGTCAAAAGGTTCGAACATGGTGGATGTCCAGAATATAAAGTTGTAAGAAATTCTGAGCCAGCAAGCACCTTTAGCAGCTTGTCTTGCTCAATAGCTTCTTCCCTGACGGTCCACGCAGACCAATAAGAAGCACATAAAATGGTACCGACAGCCATAAGCCAGAGAAAGACCTCAGCCACATCAACTGCTGGACGTTTCGGTGAGTAGAGCTGCAAAGTAACTGAACAAATATAGTCAACAACAACATTAAAAAAAAAAACAATCTCTGCTGAAGTACAATTGGATTCAAATGAAGAATTACCTATAGAGTTACTTTTGACTATGTCCTCCAGACTTCTACCAGCATCAACGGGTAGCATAACAACAGGAATAGTTATGTCTAAAACGTTTTCACCCTTCTCGCAGACCATCTTGAAAAGATCTGCAAAGCAACATTCAACCTTGCAAAACTCAAGAGGATAACTAGAATTGGGAAACAAATAATCACTAGCAAAAGAGGAGGAATATTTAGGGACAAGCTTCAAACGATTACCTGTACTGTTGTTTATGATAAGGATGGCGGAGGCACCAGCTGCTTCAGCAACCTTTGTTTTAGTGGTAAAACTGCATTTACCACGATGAACAAGAATGACCTCTCCTGTAAGCTACCAAAAGATAATGAAACTGGAATTACACAAGAAGGAAAGATGAGTAGAAAGAAAACTGAAAAGACAAAAAAGGAAAGTTTAAAAAATTGCAACCTTATTTTTGGGAGTGCTGCAACAATCAGGAGGGTCTGCAATAGCAAGTTTGATGAGGGTAGCATGTTTCTCCTTAGATTCCAAGGTTGGGCCAAACCTAGCACCAACACCAACAAACTCCGTGTATTCGGACCCATTAACTCGAGTTGGGACTTTCACCTGTCCATGAAATTATATGCTGTAGTTATATATGTTGGAAGATGACATGGCAGGGAGACTCTATAGGCTCAATGCAAAAGGCAAGAGTTCCAGATCTATATCCCAATTTCTACACTCACACCAAATGACTCCTTATTATAGCTAACAAGAAACATATTGAAAGTCCATGCTACTAAAAACGAGGGTTTAGCTAGGTAGCCCATGCCTATAGAAACTCTCGCTCTGCTCTTAAGTGTCGAAAAATGTGAATGACATCAAATCTGAAATCCAAAAGTCCCTCTAGAGTCTGTAAAACCCGATTTCTCAATCTCTGGTGGCAACAACAGATATAGGACGAGTATACACAAGAGACTAATTCAATAAATCCCTATTTAAAATCCAAAACCTAAAACTAATTCCAAATTCCTGAAAGTCACCAAGAGATACACAGAGGGGACAACGAGCTAAGAACAAAGACAGATCAAAGTGAAATGGATCAAAAATCTAACCAGTACGAAATTGTTGTTGCAACCAGGTCTCTGGGGAAGCGAATCGTCGTGGTGAACTATGTCTCCAGCAGAAACGAAACTAGCACTGTACAACAACAAGCCGAAGACGAACGAGAAACAGCTGAGAGATTTCCACAGGATCATAACTGATTCACTCTCCACAGAATCGTTAAAAGGAGGAAGAAGCAGAAGGAGAAGAAGAAGAAGAAGAAGATAAAAAGATTAGAGAGGAAAGATGGAGAAAAAAATGCAGGAAGGTACAAGGAACAAGAGAGAGAGAGAGAGAAGAGGGAAAAAAAAAGAACTCTCGTGGGAGAGAGAAGAGAGATGGAAAAAAGGTGGGTGTCGTTTTAGAGATAAGTAAAGCTTAAAACGCTGGTTTTGACTTTTTTTTTTGGTCCTTTGGCGCGTGGGACGCGTGTTTGATGTATTTGGTGTTGTACAATACAGTGTTTATTATTTATTGAATACTTTCTTTGTCCGTACGATATTTTGCCTTTTCTAGTTATATTTATCAATTATCAAACTGTTTTTATCTGCTGATGATGATAAGTGATAACAGATCAAGCGTCGTGTAGAACTAAAACATGTGGAGTCATTATCGGAACTAGTGACCGAATAAAACAAACATCATATATTAACCGATGATTATTGATAAATATTACTGAATGACAAACCCAATCTACAATCCATATTGAATGTAAATTTTATACTAGTTTTCTCTTTTCCTGCAAAAAAAATCATCTAAAATCTCATATGAATTGATGATTCTAATATATTAAAAAAAATCTCACTGCTTTAACAAAAAAAAAAAAAAAATCTCACTGTCAGGTAGTGAAATATATCTTCTTATATACAAGACCAAATTTATAGATACGTCGTTAACTGTAGCACTGCGTCTCATATATGCCATTAAACTATACAGTATATATCCCTAAAAATATTGATGATGCCATGTTATGATTATTGATGATTTCAGGTTGAAATACTGTTGATCTTCTATATATAAAACTAATCAAATCATAGAAATCGAGTGCTTTTTCGATCATTAATTAAACAAAAAAAAATACCGGTTTCAAAATAATGGATTTGCACTAATTAACAGCATGTGCGTGGACCATATATAGAGACAAGCTGCGCGTGGAACATGCATGCGATATATATGTACTTCAAATCCACCGATCACCGGCTACCCAAAATTTCATAATAATTAATATTTAATTTTAGTTATCAACAATTTTTTTAATATGAATCCGTATGAACCGTACCGACAAGACGGCATGTTACAGTAAACCATTAGATTATTAGTTTTTAATTCAAAAATCTAATGTGGTCGACCTCATGCTAAGATCAAATGTAATGGCCAACGATAGTCTCCCACGTTGAAAAAACCCGAATCCGTCGTTTTGTACACGCGTCACGTTGTTGATCTAAATATCACGTGCGCTTAAACTCCCTACCATTTTCGTGGGCCATTTGTTGGGCTATCTTTGGTAAGACTGGCCCATAGAAAGGGACGTGTGACTTCAAATTACAAACGCCAAGATATACACTACAAGACGTTTTGACAACAGGTTTCTCAAAGAGAGGGCAAAACAGCAAGCATTTTTGCAAATGGGTTAAGGCTACTAGAGAACCAAACAGTTTTTATGAATTCCACTCGCAGCAAATAATAACAGCTTTATGTAAACACAAAAACAAAGATTCTCAAGGGTTTCGTTGGAGCCACTCCTGAATGGCGGAACGAAGGGCGTGGTTGGGGACTAGGTTGTTGTGGGCGAGCCTCAGGTTTGTCATTGGTGAGGTCTCGTGACCATTGTCGAGCCATTCTTTTAAGGATTCAGCTTCATAGGTGAAACCATCCGCTGCAACACGAGGCTCTCTCATTACTTCCTGAATAAACAAAAACGAGTCGAATATAAGTTTGTTCTGTTACAATGCTCTAATTTTAACAATGAACCACACATGGGTCCTGGTCGACATACCTGTGAGATAGGACATATGAAATATGAGGGAGGCTGGCGTGTAACGGAGTCCTCATCTGAGAATCCAGAAGGAATCCCATGGCGACGAGTGTAACTCTGAAGGAGTAATAGAATCTCCGAACAGACTGAGCTCGCTGCGTCTTTCTCAGCCGCCACCTTGTTGAGTTCTTCCTCTGTTCCTTTTCTACGTCTTGCTTCTTCTTCATATAACCTCATGAAGTTTTGTCCTACAGAGCAAGCTTCTTCCTTCTCCTTCTTCACTTTCTCTAGCTCCTCTCTTCTTCTCTTCACCAACTCCTCTGTTTCTTTCCTCTGCCTCACCTGTCAAAAACGATTTTTTTAATATGATGATTATAACTTATAGTTTCTGAATTTAATCCAAGATTGATCACCTCGTCTTCATATAGCTGCATCAAGTTCTTGCTTATCATGCACGCTTCTTCCTTCTCCTTCTTTGTCTTCTCAAGCTCTTCCTCTTGTCTCTTCACAGATTCCTCCATCTCCTTCCTCTGTCTCAGCTGCTCGTTGTACAGCTGCATACCTAATTTGTAAAAATTCAAATGAAATCTCTAATTGTCTGACAAGAAAACATTCAGTTCTGTTTCTCACAGTACCATCCTGAACAATGGCTCGCACTTCTTCGATCTCCTTCTTAGTTCTCTCGTGTTCTTCTTTCTCTTTTCCCAACATCTCTTCAGCTTCAACTCTACGTCTCAGTTCCTCATTGTATAGCTTTCTTCCATTTAGAATGATGATTAGCGCGTCGTCCCTCTCTTGTTTAGTCTTCTCCACTATTTTCCTCTGCTTCGCTATTGCTTCTTTACCTTCTTTCCTTAGCTTCGCCTCTTCATTGTACATGGCCTCGTACTCTCTTGCCTTTTAAGTAAAAGGAAACAAGTCTAAGCAAAAACACATTTTCATGTTTGAGAGTATGAATTCGTGCAAGTTTTTTACACTGCGAATGGCCTCAACGGCTGTATTTTCAGCTTTAAAACCGCCTGACACACTCTTCATAAGCTTCTCTTTTCGATTCCTCAACTTCCATAAGTGCTTGCTTAAGCTGTTTATACAGTTGATCATTCCTTTCGCTTTCCTGCAACAAAACACAGACACAGAAACAGCACGAAATATTTTGGTTTTTGCATAAACCATTCGTTTATGTATCTAATTCACAATACCAACAATGTTTAGACCGTACAGATTGATCCTCTGATGCAGTTGGCTCTAGCATATCTCTGTCTCTCCTTATGTCAATGTAAGCTACAATTGCAGAAACTAGTTCTGCAGAGCATTTCGGTGAAGCAGAGGAAAAGAGCTTCGGTTTGGATTGTCCAGCTCCGGATTCTGTTTCATCCACACAGTCTTCAAGATTGGCTTCCCTGAGTATTTGATAGACAGAGACAATCAGGGAATTTCTTCAAAGAAAAGACACATATAATTAAAGAGAGTTTTCAAAAGTCTCACTTTGTGTAGATGAGATGTCCGTCACACATAAACATAACCTCGCAGGAGTTAGGCGCGTGTTGGTAAACATACTTTGCCTTTCTTGATTTGAGATCGAACATCTTCCTGCCATTTTCACCAAGTCAACGAGTGAATAATGATTTAAAGTTTTTCTAGATTTCTAATACGTACTCTGAATAATGATGATCTGATGCAGCTCCCATGACGAGCTTCTTGATTTTGCCCTCATGGATGAGTTCTAGTATCCCCTGCTTCACATCGTTCATCTCTATACATGATATGTAAATATCGTCCTCATTCACCTGCGATCATAATGAGTCCAATATAGGGTATTAAATGGAAATTTTCGCATGTAATTCATCCTAAATAGAGATCAAGAATCAGGGGAAACCCAACCATTTGCATGCAAGAAAAGACAGAATTTAACAGTATAAGAGGGCAACAGATCAATACCCCTTCTTGTTGACAAAAATCAAAATAATCATGTAATGTCTCGTACATGATAGCCTCCAATTCTTCCAGCTTGCGAGCTAAATAATCAACATAAAATAACTTATCAAATACGACGCACGTAATCTGAATCACCTTTCTAACCTTTAAACACACATTAGAAAATGGCAAACATTGAGCCACGGGAAATCATATAAATCTCGAGCTTTAGTCAAATGGGGCTTGAAGATTATGAAGCTTACCAGCCGGAGAAGCTGTTTTTGGCTGATAAACATGGAGGATGCAGACTTTCTTAGCCCCAAGGTTCCTCAAAGCCCAAAGAAGAGTTGATCTGCTCTCTCTGACATCACTCTTAACTGCAACATGAACAACATCATTGCCCATGGCAATGAGTTCTGCCATTGATGTCCTTTCTTTTTGTCTTTGTGTTCTATCTTTTTTCTTCCCTGAAAACTGAAACCAGAAAAAAAAAAAGAATCTAACAGAAAGAGACCAACAGTGGTTAGTGGTGACCCTCAATGTTCTTCTTGTTGACCGTTTCAGGTTTCGTAAGGTAGACACAGTAAAGTCAATGTATGGCAATTAAAATACAAGTCAATGCATAAAAATACTAATACAGGAAACGCCACTCCAATTTTTTTTTTCAGTGAATAAAGGACTTTTTATTAGATTTTTCACAAACAAATTCAATGAATCACAACACGATTAAAACCACATTTGACATTTATCCTAAGGCAAATCATATTATTATGGATGCTGTTGTAACCAGTCTTTAATGGCGGAACGAAGAACAAGATTCGGGGTGAGATTGTGATTCTGGAGCCTAATATTTGTCATCGGTGATTTTTCACCTCCGTGATTGAGCCATTTTCTGAACTCATCTGCTTCATAGGTGTAACCATCGGCTGCAACATGAGGATTTTGCATAATATCCTACATTCACGAGCAATGGCAATGAAAAATAATTAGACCAGCAAATATCAAAATGGAAGATTAGTTATAAAAAACATGTATGGTTTAGTATACGTGTCAGCTTACAACATTAAAGTTGAGATATTGAACAGAAGCCAAGTCAAGATCTGAATAGAAAATATGATTTCTCGATGGAGGGTTTAAGTCCTAACCTTTGAAATGGGACATATGAAACATTGGGGAGGCTCGTTGGAAACAGACCATTGCAACGGAATTGATGACTCACCCTTCTCCAAAGCTCTTAAAAGCTCTTCAGTTGTCTTGATAGCTTCGTCTCGCTCTTTCTGGAACATTTCTAACAGACGGCAATCAGCATAATGCTGTTCTTCAAGTCCCTTTTGGACCCTTTTCATATCTTCTATTTCTGCTTTTGCTCTGTTTAGTTCCGCCTCCACTTCTCTCCTGCGAATTACTTCTTCATTGTACAGTATCTGAGAGACACCAAAGGAACTAGAGAGTGCATCCTCTGCTTCACGCCTCATCTTATCACGTTGCTCCTTTTCTCTCTTTAGTTCCTCAATTTCCAATCTCCGTCTCTGCTCCTCATAATACATCGTCTCATACCCTCTAGCCTGTTTAAAAGAACCATCACAATTGAACAAATGAGAATCGCCTACACTGAACCAGCACAAGAATCTCACATGGTAAACTTGACATTAAACTCGGTACAGAAAATGAGATACATTTGGGCTAACAAGGAGAGGCGTTGGATCCTAGATTTTTCAATCTATCAAAATTTCATTTCTTCTCCAATGGTTTAATGAGGTTTTAAGCAATTCGCAAGGTTCCAAATTCATAAAACAATCCTCCAAAATGCTATGTGCTGACCAAAGTGGGGTATACATACTGATAGTTCTTCAGATGATGACAAGGCATGAGGCTGAGTAACACGGTCAGCTCTTCCTGCTCCCCCATATGGTATCGGAGCAGAATCAAGGCTATGAAGGCTGCTTGAGGATTCAGAGGAGGAGTACGCTGAACCTGCATGTTCAAACCGTCCCTCCCTAATAAACAAAGAAATTTTTCTATGAACTTAACACTAATTCAAAACATGCAGAAGTATAATCCTCAATCTCACCTCGTTTGGATGAGGTTACCATTACATACAAGCCATATGCTACAGCAATGAGGCGCGTGTCGGATCACGTACTCAGCTTTTGTAGATGCGATATGAACCATGCCCCTGAATCATCAAAGATTAATAACTAGAGTGAACATTTACTTATTTACAGAGTCATCTTTGCATCACACAGATTATTGCAGAACAGAAGAATTGTTTAACTGCTTTGTTCTGGAGACACAGAATGATTCTCAAGATATACGTACTCGGAGTAGTGGGAATCAGAAGTTGCTCCCATGATAAGCTTCTTGATATTGTTTTGATAGATAAGTTCCACAATCCATTCCCCCACATTATTTGCTGAAAAATTTGACATATCCACGTCTTGTTCGATAACCTGCAATATAAACACTTCTATAAAACAAATGAACCACACGAATATGTTTTCAGATTACACTAGCTTCCTTATTGTAACACTATTGTATTAACTAGTTGGAAGAGCACTCACTCCTTCATCTATGCAGATATCATGATACTTGAGAAGGGTATCATTTCTACTAGTCTGTTCCAACTCCTGGATTGCATCGATCTCGCTTTGTTCCAGCCCACTTGCTAAAAAATTCACAAACATAAGACCAAACATTAGGAGAAAAAAGAAGGAAATTTACATAGTATGCATAAGTTCATTCAAGAACGTAAAGCTTGATCTTCCTAAATAATCAGGAATCTTTAATCGCTTGATAATAACATCACCACATAAACACAAATACCGACACCAAGCTGCAACCATTCACATCCTAAACCTTACTTGTTACGAATCAAGAATCTAAAGATGCTAGATATAACTCTATCACCAATGAAACTAGAGGCAGTAAAGGTATAAAAAAGTATCAATATCAATCAGCTGCAACCATTTGCATCATTTAGATAAGTGTTACCAAAGCAGAGAAAAAAAAGAATAAATTGTAACATCGTTGATCAAAGTTTCTTAGCACCAAAAAAAGAAAAGAGAAAAGGAGAAGTATACTTAGTGAAGAGATGGTTTACATGAAGGTGTCATCGAAATGAGCTGGTAAACGTGAAGAAGGTGAAGCTTCTTCACTCGAAGAGTCCTCAATGCCCATAACAAAGTCGATCTACTTTCATCAACGTCTTCGCTTACTGCAACATAAACAGGATCGTCGTCATTCAAAGCCTTTGCCATGGATTCTCCACTTTTTCTCTATTAGATAGATAGATAGATACGCACAGAGGCAAATTCTCTCTTTTTCCAAAACAAGAAGATAACACACAAGCAAAAGCTATTTAATTATAATATATACATAGACACATATACATATATATTGGTCCCTTACCAAGTCATTGCAAAGATGTTTCCGACAATTTTCTTAGTCAATTATATAATATTCAAAGGTTGTAATGAGAAAGAAAGTGATTAGAACGAAAGATATGATCTAAACAGAGTAGGATAACATCATTCAGAACGAGCCAATTCTCACAATTAATTAAATGCAACTTAAGCCTAAATATCGGTGACTTTGTTAATTCTCAGAACATTTCTTAATTCTTACCGTAAAAGACACATTTCCTACAATAATTTTAGATAAAAAGGATTCTGGATCTAATAATTAAAATGTCGTGATACATGAAATCCGAAATCGAAGGCAAGATAATTTTAGGGTTTAGTGATGGGGAAAGCTTTGACGAAGTCACGGAGAAGTAGAAACAAAAAAATATATATATACATGTAGAGCTTGGCTTGCTACTGAGAAATTTCGTTTCGACTTTTACCTGTTTACATCCAATTTTATGACCAATAATGTCCGATCAACCGCCGTTAAATTAGCCGGAGAGCTGAAGAAGAACGATTATATGAAGAATGAAGTGGAGCCAGTCAACAAGTCAACAAACAACTGGGCAAAAGTTTAATGCTCGAGAATAATCGTGGAGTTTAACGATTCAGGTTACGACACGTCACGAAGCTATTACTATGAAGTATGAACGGTTAAGATCGTCTTCGCCTAGATCTCTCTGAAGATCCAAAAAGCTTAGAGACATCGGGGTCAATTAAGTAATTGTGCAGTGTGCTGAATAAGGGCCCATGGGCCATATACTCACGGAGTACTAGTTCTTATTAGGGTTTTTTTTTTCCTTCTGTTTCTCTGTTCTTTTCCGTGAGGAGGACGAAATTGTCTCCAACGACAAGAAAATAGAAAAGAGAAATTTGTACACCAGATTGATGCATAGAGAATCGCATTAATAGACTCCATGGATGTAACAGTAAGATACATGAAGTTTTTCTAGCATATACATATTTGTTTTCTTTTGACAAAGAAATCCCAAAAATCACAACATAATCATTGACTTACTTTTTCTTTTTTCTCATAGATGAATCAATGTTTATAATTTGGGTTCTTCTCCAGCCAATCTTTAATGATTATACGAAGAGTGTGATTTGGAACAAGATTATGATTCTCAAGCGGCTTGTTTGTCCTTGGCGAGGTTCGACCTCCTGACCTTAGCCACTTTCTGAATTCCTCTGCCTCGTAGGTGAAACCATCAGCAGCCACATGAGGATCTCGCATTATCTCCTACATCACATATGAAATCGAATTTTCATTAACAACAACAGCTTTGATGATGTGGAACAAGTCTAGGTTTGTTTCAAGAGCTGAAAATCAAAAAAATATATATATACTTCAAATATCCTTACCATTGAAATGGGACACTTGAAATCTTCGAGACGTGAGTCTTCATCGCTCCCATTGCTTTTTGACTTCTCTGCAGGTTCCTTCTTTCCTTTCTTTGGTGATTCCTCGGGTTCTAGTATCCAAACCTGTTTTTTGACACGACAAGGATCTCAAATGGTAATCTTGACACTAAAACTAGGGTTGATGGAAGTAACAAGTAGATGTTTTAACCTAAGCTTCTTTGTACTTACTGGATGTTCTTTAGGTGACTCTGTTTCATCTTCCTCATCCCTTCTTCTTCCTTTGCTAATTGGTTTCTCAGCAGAAGTAGAGAATTCTGAGAATGAGTCTGATGGATTCCCGATGTCGAAACTTCTTTCTCTATTAAACAAGTAAAAGTTTCTGTTGAAATCTACAATTCTTATAAGAAACACACACACACACACACAAGTGTAATGTCTCAAGCTTACCTTTTCTTGATGAGTTTCCCCTTGCAGATGAACCACATCTTACAGCTACGAGGTGCATGTTGACTCACATACTCTGCTTTCCTAGATGTGATGGACATTCCCCTGGAATAGTGAGAATCAGCTGCTGCTCCCATAACGAGCTTCGTGATATTGTTTTGATACATGAGTTCCACAATCCCTTCCCCCACATCATGTCCTGAGATCAATGATGTATCCACATCTTGTTCACTAACCTGCATCAATATAGATTTCTATTTTAAAAAATTTCAACGTTATGTTTTCCTTTTAGCTCCATCAATCGAAAAGAGAACTCACCCCTCCTTTGTTTATGCAGATATCACGGTACTTGTAGAGGCTAGTGACTGAAGTATTCAGTTCTGAATCTTGGATTGCATCGATCTCACTTTGTTCAAGCCTACTTGCTGAAAATGCAAAGACAAACAAAGAGACCATTTTAAAACAGAGTAAAAATTCCAGTCCTAACATCTGCAATCATTCAAGGCTAGTTCTTAGCATATAAGTGCAATCGCCCTGAAACATCTTATGTATTTTTTAACTGCGCACTAGAAGAAAATCCAAACTTAGAAAAAACAAGGTCAAATTAAAATATGATGTGTGACTTAACTACAAATAGGTATAGTAGTAGCCGCATATGCCCAAAAACATAATTTGTTTCGGAAGTAGGTAGAGATTGAAACCAAATTTGGTTTCAATTTTATTGTAAATCTAATTTTAAAAATCAGGATGTTGATTGTTTCATCACTATATTAATTATATTATGAATATCTTGGCATCATATGTAATTCTGTTCTAGAGAAATTTATGTTTCAAATCACTATAAATTTGTTGGTAAGAAAAATATATATTTAAAATTCTGACACATGATTATGATTAGTGTTTTGATATATGTGCACAAATATGTTTCTTTTTAAAAGTATTTCCAGATACGTATTATTGTATTAACACATTGAAAAATCAGCATCAGCTAGAATATCATCAATCATCTAAGACGTGTCAGAATTCAAGTAAATTTTTAAAATAATTAAATTGATCATTTCATTCGGTTGAACGTGACTTGTTCTATAATTGAATCGTCCATAAACAAGCTACTTCCCCTTATCAAAGTATCTCCGGCAGCCCGAAAAAAACAAAATTTGCAAAAGTTAACGTAGAGAATGTATATATAAAGACTTACAAGAAGTGGTCAACGAAAATGGAAGATGAACATGAAGAAGGAAAATCTTCTTGACTTGGAGATTTTTCAATGTCCATAACAAAGTTTTTTTACTTTCTCGAACATCTTGATTCACTGCAACATAAATGGCGTCTTCCATGGATTCTCTTACTCTGGTTTCCTTTCTTTTTTATGAGCAAACAAATTAAGGTATAGATGGAGATTATTAGAAATGCAGGATATATAGTGGGAGAGGGACATCAAGGAAGGTAAGATATCTTTTGTTATCCCTTTGCAACAAAATTGCAAGGAGGTTTCGGACCATTTACGTGTTATTTTCTGGGTCAATGGCTTGAGGGTCTTGGTCATATTATTTAATTAGAACAAGCAGTTGAACTTTACACTTATGTGTTAAGTTTCGGGGAATACTAGTGTTAATTAATTCATTCACACTTCGAAATTAAGTTTCGGAGAATAATGTCGGAAAGTATTGGTTTTGGAGATGTTTTTTTTTTTTGGTAAGGTTTGGAGATGTTTTTTTGGTGTACACTTTTACTTATACATCAAGTTCACTGCCAGTTTTAATTCTAATACGATTTATATAAAAAAAAATTAATCTAGGATGATCTAGAATCGAAAGTCAGGATGACGACTCAAGAAATTTAACAAGTCAATTTTCATTATTTTGAACTGAAAGAATGGATTAATTATTGTAAAAGCATTTGTTATAATTTGTTTTTGCAATTTTCGTTCAATTTAAGTTTGTCAGTTGTCAGTGACAAAGTTAAGCCTTTTTTTCTTTTCACTTTCGCATATTTTTTTTGTTTGGTTTATATACATAAAAAAGTAAAATGGCGTTTATACACAGCTAATGGGCTTCAGAGTTATTAATGGGCTTCATCATCTCTAAAATCGTCATTTTCCCGCCACATTCATGCACAACAGCAAAAAAAATAAAAAAATCTTTTTCCCAATTTCCGTTCCTCTCTCTCACTCTCTCTCACTCTCTCTCTCTACCTATCTCTTGATCTTTTCAAAATTCAAAATTCGGTTTGGGTTCTCTCTCTCTCTCTAGCCTAAAGTTCTTTATCGTGAATTTGAGAAGAAGAGCTGCTGCGTCTTCGTCTACTGGGTGAGATCATAGGTGATGAAGATGAATATGAACAAAGCCTGCGATCTGAAATCTATTTCTGTCTTTCCTCCTAATTTAAGGTGCTTCTATCCGTAACTCTCTCTTTCGCAATTTTGCTAATTTGATTTGAGATTACCCAGCGATTTCCATCGTTTAGGTTTTTTTTTTTGGGTTCCGAATCTGATTTTTGACTGGAGACGAGTGTCAGTGATCTGTATGTGGACATTGTTTTTGATCTATGACGGACCAATTTATCGCTTCCCAGGAGAATCCATTAGGGTTTCGATGAAGATTTAGGGGAAATTTTGCGTTTGATTGGGCGTAGGATTCTCTCGTTTTGGCTACTGATTATGTTTTCTCTTTCGAATTTTGCGAATCTATTTTAGAAGGAGATCAGCTGAACCACAAGCATCTCAGCAGCTTCGATCTCAACAGTCACAGCAGTCCTTCTCTCAGGGACCTTCTTCGTCTCAGCGTGGTGGTGGTGGCTTTTCTCAGATGACTCAGAGTTCTATCGAAGATCTCCTCATTAACGATCAGGTTTGCTTCTTAGCTATAGATCGTCTCTTCTTCTGAAGAAGAATAGTTAATTTTAAGCTATTATTGATTTCATATTTGTGCTGCTTTTCCTTTTTGCACAGAGGTTTAGTTCTCAGGAAAGAGATCCCTCTTTGAAGAAGGTTAGTTGCTTACCTCCAATCAATCATAAACGAGAAGATAGTCAGTTGGTCGCATCTAGATCTTCCAGCGGTCTCACGAGAAGATGGAGTTCTGCTTCACTTGGAGAGTCTAAATGTAAGTTTGCTCTTTCTAAATTCACAAATTAGCGTGGGAGTATGTTCCACTTGTGTCACTGGTTAGCTCCTAATTTGATTCAACTTTTCTTCATCTGTCACTTAGTAGCTCAGATCAGTGAAGAGCTTGAGCAGCGGTTTGGGATGATGGAAACTTCTTTGAGCAGGTTTGGAATGATGTTGGATTCAATTCAGAGTGACATCATGCAAGCCAACAGAGGAACTAAACAAGTATTTCTTGAAAGTGAGTTCTATGATTGTCTCATTTAAGTATACATATTTGAAAATGCCAAATTCACTCTGTTCTAAAAGTATGTAGCAACCACATAGGCTAGCTAGCAACTGAACAGCGATTAGGAGAATGTATTCCCTTGGATTCTCATTTTCTTAGCCAAATAGGATTTGTTAGCAGGGCCGTTACAATCTGATCTTACTCCTTTAGGAATGTGATATTGACAAGAGCAGTTCACAGATTGACATTGTTTGCACCAATAGATTTATCATTTTGTTGAAGATCAATTCACTTGACCGTTTTGATCACATCTTGAAGAATGAATCCTAATTCCTCCATACTCCATGTGAAGGTCTCAATAGATACTTAGCTTGATTTATAGTTTCTTCTGTTTACTGCAGCTGAACGCATACAGCAAAAGTTGATTCTCCAAGACACTTCACTTCAGCAGCTGGTAAAAGCAAATATTTACAGTTTTTCCTGTTTCTCTATCAACCTTGTGCAAATGGATTAACTTATTGAAATGATTAATTGGGAAGCAGATAAAGGAACAAGCCGATTCTAAAGCTAGTCTTGATGGAGGTGTTAAATCTATATTGGAGGAATTCAGCAAAGATCCCAATCAGGAGAAGCTACAGAAAATCTTACTGATGCTAACAACTATCCCAGAGCAAGTAGAAACCGCTCTGCAGAAAATACAAAGGGAAATCTGTCACACGTTCACCAGAGAGATTCAGGTAACAATATGAGTGCTTGAAGAAAATTTGTATGTACTTATATCTTCTCAGCAGAGCTGTGTGTCATATCAGATTGCGATAAATCTTTAGACTTGTCTGCACATGTAATCTTTAATTCGCACTACCAACTCTCTTATAGGTCTTGGCTAGCTTGAAGACACCTGAACCCTTGGTTCAGGTTCCAACAGCACCACAAGTGAAGGTCTTTCCTGCTTTCCATGTCTTTGTTCTTTAAGCTACATTTCAGAAATTAATGTATCCTTTGTTAAATATCAGGCTAAGGAAAACCTGCCTGAGCAGCGTGGTCAAGCAGCCAAGGTAACTCTAAATTCTCTACCTTGTAGAATTATAGGAAATGTAATGCTTTGATTCCCACTACCAAATATCTTATAGGTTTTTACTAACTTGAAGATGCCTGAGCCAAGAGTTCAGGTTCCAGCAGCACCCCAAGTGAGAGTCTCTTGCTTTTCATGTCTTTTGCTCTTTAAGCTGCAAATTTCAGCAATTAATGTGACTTTTTGTTAAACAATAGGCTAAGGAAACATTGCCTGAGCAGCGCGGTACAGCAGCCAAGGTAACTCTAACTCTATTGCAGGGAATATCTCCGCTCTTCATTTTGCTTACAAAGATCAGCTTTCACTAACACATGTGTAAAATCAAATGCAGAGCAATTCCCTTTGTAATACTACACTGAGAACTAAACAACCGCAGCTTCCAAGAAAGTAGGTCAAACATTGGTTTGGTACTTCTACCCTTTTTTTTATATACCACAGATAGATTATATAAATGTTTATCTTTCATTGACAGTCCAAATAACGCATCAGCCAGAGCTGTAAAACCATATTTATCCCCAAAGATACAAGTGGGATGTTGGAAGACGGTGAAGCCAGAAAAAAGCAATTTCAAGAAAAGAGCAACAAGAAAGCCAGTGAAATCCGAAAGCACGCGTACGCAGGTGACTGGTTTGCATTTTCGCACTGGTCAGCTATAATAAGAACAAATGTTTTAACTTCCTCAAAATCTAAGCAATGTGCAACTCAATTCATGCAGTTTGAGCAATGTAGTGTTGTGATAGACTCCGATGAAGAAGATATTGATGGAGGTTTTTCATGCCTGATCAACGAGAACACCAAAGGTATGGAACTTTCTAAACTCGAAACAGTGGACAACTCAAAATTCCATCTTGTGGTAGATTGAAGTAATAAGATGTTCATATCTTAGATTACAAAGCTGTGTATTGTTACTTCAGGAGCTAACTTCGAATGGGACGCAGAGAAGGAAACTGAAAGGATTCTGAGGACAGCGAGGAGGACAAAGAGGAAGTTCGGTAACCCCATAATAATTAACTGAAAATTGAGGTAACTTAGAAGTAAGAGCGTAGCCTCCTCTGTTTTACATTTCTACATCTAAAGCATGTTTAAGATTATTTTAAATTGGGATAGATTTTCACAGTTGTGACTCTATAGTTTTATTGAATTGGGATAGATTTTCACAGTAATTGAGAAAAAATCCAACAAAAAGTTATAAGAACCACTTAGGTTTTTTTTTACTCTAGTTCTAATGTAAATCAAAGAGGTGTACATTCAAATTTGGATGTTACTTTTACATTTTATTATTCTTAATACAAAGAAACAAATCTTACCATAGTTGTTCAATTAACTACCAAAAGCTTTGAGTTATCTTGATATTTGTATTGAATTTGAATAGATTACTTTCTTTTTGGAGTTTGAATAGATTACTTAATGAATTAAACTGGTACTAAATCATTAAATATTTTCAACCATAAATGATAAATGCAAGAACCAATAATACGTTATTTTTGGAAGATGTTAAATAACAGTAGATTGTATTTAGATTTGTTCTATAAACAAAAACGATGATACAATGACCAATCAATCCGTTGGTGAAAAAAATTCACCAGTCAGTCAGAAATAATATTTTCCTCTCTTTCTTAGTGAAGAGTCTCATCGTCGAAAACTTTTGGCTTTGAAATCTTTTGTTGTTTGTTTGTAAGAGATCCGAGATTGTAAAGTATATGAGTATTGTATATCAGAACTCGTTGGTCAGTTAGTATATCTGAAATGTCGATCGAAAACCATGTCGAAGAAAAGCTTCGCTCAAATAGACAAGAGAGAGATCAGTTAGGCTGGATATCTGTTTTTTTCAGAAGGAAGAAGAGATCACCACAAGAAGTTGATAATGAACATAACTCATCTGAAGATTCTCTTTTGATGGGAAGAAACAAAGCCAAGAATTTGCATTTGTTCCTCTCTGAGATCATGAGAAAACTGAAACATGCAATCAGAAAGGAGAAACCGGACAAGAGATTGTTAGGGAAGAAGAAAAGCTTTGAGAAGAGTTTGTCAACTAAAGATCATTTCTTTCTCGAGCGCATGACTTCAATATCTCAAAAGAGATTTCATCAAGAACACTATGGGTCTAAGATGTCAAAGAATGGAGATTATGATCCAAACATGGCAACGAGCAAACAGGTTCAAAGAAATCAAGAAAGGATTGTATGGCTTCCCGAGTATTCGTCTCCTTTTAGCAGCCCGGGAAGAATATGGAAACAGAATTCAAAAACCGTGCTTTCGAGATCTTCTTCAGACGATTTCACGAAGTCTGAAACAATTGCAGGTAGTTTATCTTTTCTCTCATTTGAGATTTAAAGTAGTTATTGAGTATCCAATGATTGTTTGAGACTCTGCAGATGATTCAATAACTATGAAAGAGATAGGAACTGCTACATCAAGTGAAGGTAGTAGTAGCCCTCTTGTATCCAAAAACAACCAGATTGTTGATGAGATGTCAAAAGTTGCAGCTTATGGTGCAGAGAATGAAGGTGAAATCTTGGAAGAGGCAAGTTCACTTTTGATTTCTATGCAAATTTTTACATGAAAAACAAAAAAACAGAGAATAACTACAAACTTATTTGGTTGCTTTTGTTTCTTCTAACAGACACTGTCTCTTCCCTCTGTGGGCTCACCATCTCACTATATATCCAAAACTGAGGAATATGACTTAGTTCTTGAACCACTATTCATTGAATATGAGATAAGTCCAGCAAGAGGTATGAAAAGAAAGGTCCAATTATACTTACTGGAGTTAGATTTTAGAACTCTTAAATTATGAACTAACATTGACTCATCGTTAACACTACTCAGGTGAAGCAAAGATACAACCTTTGAGTAACCAATTGCAAGAAAAGAATCGTCCTATGGATGACAAAGAAACAGTGTTTAAGTACGTAAAAGCGGTGTTGGATGCAATAGACTCAAACTGGGAAGAGCTGTATCTGAAAACAGAATTCTCTGACCAGCTTCTATATCCGGCATTGATCAGCAACATACCATTCTATCCAAATCAGCTTTGTGTTGAACATGAGCTCCTCTTCGACTGCATCAATGAAGTTCTCTTCGAATTCTGCAGGTTTCCTCAATGGATTCCCTTTGTTGAAACCAGAACCCAAGTCTTTTCATTTAGTGTTGAAAGCATTGTTCCCGAGGTTCAAGAAAAGGTTTATTGTCATCTCTTGCCAATGCAAGTCCGTCGATCGTTGGAACAAAGAGTTAGAGAAGACATGGCTAAACACAGGAGCTGGATAGACATTAGATGTGACCTTGAGTGCATTGGCTTTGAGACTAGCGAATTGATTCTGAATGAACTATTGGAACAACTCATGCTTGAGCTTGACCTATGAAGAAAAGAATATGATTACAAATGGTGAAATTGCATTAAGATATGTAAAGTTACAGAGATATTAAAAAGTTATTATCCGAAATACCCAAAGTCTTGGATACGTTGAAACCAACCGGATTAATGGCAAATTTTAGTTTCTAGTTCGATTTTTTTTCCCCATTAATATTATTCCCGGCATCTACTAATCTATAGCTTTAGTCTTTCTTACATAAGGAAAAAAAATCTGAATAGGATTTTACTTCAATTTGAATCTAATTTACAAGGAGAAGAAATTAAAAGTAATTATACTCATCATTCTTCTCCTCTCATTGTTCTGTCTACATAAAGAACATCATCAATCCAAGCAACTATGTTAAAAGCTAAACCTTCAAGAACTCTTGAATAACTCTCTAACACAGCTTTTCCAACATCCTGCAAATTAACCACGAAGAAAGAGATCAAAACCCCATAAATTGCTATAATTCAAGAAAACATGATTCAGGTCACTGTTTGTTTCTTACCTTGTTGTAATGAATCTTGCAAATATCTAATGATGTCTGAGACAATTCTGGGTACCGTTGTTTCAAACAGAAGAGCAAAGACTCTGCTCTCTCAGCCAAAACATAGTTCTTGTCTCTTCTCTCTGTAATTGACATTAGATCTTTCACCATATTCCATGAAGACTTGGAATTGTTAAGACAAGCTTTGCGTCTCCATGTGTACATTGAAGCTTCTACTCTATCTGCCAACTGAAGCGCTTCATGTTCTGATACAATCCTGAGACCATCTAGAAGTTTTTCTGGTAAAAACCTCCCTGAACTCGTCATGTGTCGATAGATTGAATCTCCTGTGCTTGCTTTTCCGCTCTGCAAATGCAAAATATTGTAAGCAAGGGATATGACACCAAAAAAGAAAACCAAAACTTCAAAGTCACCTTTGGAAGAGTTGCCATGTAAGAATCTGGAATATCCATTTCACCGAGGATGCTGCTATTGATGGCCATAGCAGCTTTATGGATTTGATTAGTGCTCTCTCTCTTGCTCTTAAGTTGTTTCCTTGCTTTCTCTGACAAACCTTGTGATGGAACCAGAGGAATTGGAAACCACCATTTCTCTTCTTTCCTCTGTACAATCACTTTCCTGAATGATCCAGTTGCAGAACGTGTTGACTTCATTGACAAGCTTCCTTCTTCTGCATACCAAAACTCTGTCTTTTGAAAACCATCCAATGCCTCCTGCAAAAAGAACGAAGAGAATGGCCTTTATGATGAATATTAACCGAGTAAAAAGCTTATCGATATCTTCATGTTTTAGAGTAGTAACTACCATAAGCATGGAATCTAGTTTTCTGAGTGCAGGCAAATTGATGTAGATATCTGCTCTTGGTCTACTCTCCATGACCTGACAAAAAAACCGCAAGAACTATTTTTAACTTATTGATTTTTATTTAGACTTCTCTATAAGCAAATCTTGCTTACCTCAACAGTGGCTCCATTGCTTAGATTCTGTGACTTTGGGATAAACTCGAAAATATAGTCACACACAGAGAGAAGGCAATTCATTTCTCTCTTCCACATTGTCTTCTTCTCTATCTCCAATGGCTCTAATCTTAGATTCTGTCCAAAAACAGTAGCTGCAAATCTCAAATTCACAAGAAATTAATTACAGTTTCTCTAGATGGCTTAGTTTGAAAGTCACAAAAGTGTGAGGCTTATTAGTGTTTAGTTACCATAAAGATTGGTTATAGCGTTTGAGATTGTCACTGCGGTGCAAACGCCTTTGCCGCTTCCTGACATATCTTCCCCAAGCAGAAGCTTCGAGAATCTTTCCTTCATCGTCTCCAATTCTGCTACGAAACCGAGAAAGTTTCAAGATTATGACAAAGGGGAAATACAGACACAGAGAAAGAGAGAAGCACAAAACCTGGCTCTGAAATTTCTTGGACCGCAAGATTCTCATTCTGATTATGTTTCATTTCTAAGGCAGTTAGACAATTTGAGCTCGCAGACTTGTCGGATTCGGTTAAAACAGGCCAATCACTAGGAGAAACCTCACTGCAGAAACTGCTGGTTTCATCTATATGGTCTGAAAAGCCTCCTCTTGAGGTTTCAGAACATGTTCGATGATAAGCAAAGGAATCTGTGCTCATCGTTGAGTAAACCGGAGTTTCAGATGCTGAATGATCATTTGGATCGATGGAACCAGGTGACTGATGATAACCCACATCGTCGTTTTCTTCAGGATTTGGCAAATTCTCCATCTTTCTGCTTTTGTTGATCTCTGGTTTTAATAAAAGAAAGCAAAAATGTAATGGAAGCTTAGAAGTTTAGCTGTAATATATCAGAACTTTAGAATATGAATCTAAATCCAAAAATTTGAATCGGGAATAATTTTAGATTCTTGGATAGTGAAATTTCGAGGACCAGATAACAGTAAAGTAAGAACAATTAAAAAAAATAAAACAAAGCAAAAGCAGAGACCGTTAGGCGTGCCAAAAAAAATTAAAAAAGCAAAACAGAAAATAAAGAAAGAAATTAACTTATCACAATAATATTTATCGAAACTTTCACGAAGATTTATTTTATTTTATTTCTATAAAATATATTTCGCTTATGTCGATCAAGATAAGTGAAAGTCTGAAACTTGAAATTTTGAAAAACGTAATTAAAGAAGAAGAAAGAAAAGCAACGGTCTTTATTTGATTTAATTTACCTTTAAGGCTTTAAAGCTTCTGCAAATTTTTCTTTGAATTTGAAACGTTTGAATCTTTTATAACGTTTATAAAACTCTCTCTTTCCGCCTGAAGCTTTCTAACAATTTATCGGTGACCTGAAAAAACTTGGATAATGTGTGGACCGTCCGATGGGAAGGATGACACCTCGTACGGTAGAGATTGTGAAGTGGCTTTTTCCTTCGTTTCAACTTCAAATAAAACTTCTTGGTGCCAAGAGACTGCCTCTTAAACAACTACAATTGAAGTAGTTGCTAGTACGTATAAGATATGGTTTGCAATATGAAAATCTTAGTTTCATGACTATATGATTAATCCCATGATTAATCCAAATAAACAATGTCAAATAATGGCTTAACGACTTAAAGTTTTTACTATCGAGTTGTATAGGATTCTCAACTTGTTGACATTTGATCACATCATGGAATAATACACTTGATAATTTTTTGTGTCAACGGATTATAAATGAATTTGACTATTATGAAATTATCACATGGTCGGAGGTTTAGCTTTTGAACCCATGTAGCTTACACGATTAACTAAAAAAAAAAACTAATAATCGGTCAAAATAATACATCCTATTTTTATAATATAGCACATGTAAGGTGATGTGAATTTATTTTGCATGGTTCGTGATACAGACGTGAGCTAGTACCATTATTTGAAAGCTATACAATGTCCAAAATCATGTGTTGTATTCGTATCAAATATTGTTTACAGTGCTTAGAATATACTTATAAGAAATGTCTTAATTTTTTGGGAGGCCTAAAAAATGTTATAGTAAATAACTAAATATTATGTTTAAAAAATATTACATCATTTCTTAAATTTTTTAAATATTACCATAAATATTCTTTCTTTTTAACACGTGACAGAAATCAAATCGAATCGAGTCCACGTTAAACCGGAACTGGTAGCTGAGAATTAATTTCCCGGGTCGGAGGAATCCACATTTTTCTCACATCTTCTTCTACACCAACCATTTCACACAGTGAATCGGCGATTTCTTCCGACTACCGAATCCGCCATGAACACCGATTCAGGTAAGCCTATAACGTTGAAATTGAGGAATTATGTAGTGAGACTTTCGGCGAATTCCATGTTGTTGTTTGTTGCTCTGTTTTTGTAGTTGTCGAGTTCCTTGGAAACGTCCCTTTACTCCAGAAATTACCGAGCTCTTCTCTGAAGAAAATTGCTCAAGTTGTTGTGCTCAAACGTTACGGTCGGTCCATTCTCAATTTCGGTTTTATTCTTCTCTTTGAATTCCCGCGATTCGGAGCTCTTTTTATTGCCTATTTCGAACCCTATTTCGCTGTGTTCTCTATTATTGAAGGGAAAGGGGATTATGTGGTTCGTGAAGATCAAACTTGGGATGGATGTTATTTTATTTTCCAAGGAGAGGTTTTGTTTCTCTACTTTCCCCTTTCTGAGACTAGATGTATCTATCAAGAGCTTTACTTTGACTCTTGTCTTGCAGGCTCAGGTTTCCGGACCAGACGAAGAAGATAACCGCTCCGAATTCCTCTTGAAACAGTATGATTACTTTGGCCTTGGTGAGATGAATGATTTCTGTCAATGTTTTCGCTCAACCTTTGCTTTGGTCATATACTCAGCTTCCATCTCTTTTCTTCCTACAGGTTTATCTGGGAACGTTCATTCAGCAGACATTGTTGCTATGTCCCAGGTTCTTCCTGAAAGTTTTCTGACTTTTGAGCTGGTGATATATATTCGAGCGACAAGCGTGTAAAGTTTCTTCCGCCACTTTTCATTGCAGCTTACATGTTTGGTGTTGCCGCGTGATCATTGTCATTTGCTTGAGACAAATTCAATCTGGCAATCGGATACGTCAGTTGACAAATGCTCTTTAGTGGAACGCATATTGCAACTCGACCCTTTAGAAGTACGGACATTCCACTGCTTTTTATTACTTCTTCTCAGTTTTTTGTGCTTTCTGTTTTAACTATCCTTTAATACAATTCCCTAGAATCAACTTAATCTAAGCATTTCTACAGATCTATAATTGTTTCTTTGTATTACCTCTAGGTTTATCACATTTTTTGTACAGCTGGGAAATGAAATGCGGTGGATCTCTTATTCTGTGTGCTTCTTTCTTGTAGTTGAATATCTTCAGGGGGATCACACTACCTGATGCTCCCATATTTGGAAAGGTTTTTGGAGGACAATTTGTCGGACAGGTATGGCATTTTCTGTAGGAAGGTTACATTATGTCTCTATAAACCTTGCTGATCTGATTCATGTGCATATATATATATAGCTTGTTAACAGTGATAACATAACCACTACTAAGTCACTTTTACCAACATTTTACAGGCACTTGCTGCGGCATCAAAAACTGTTGATTTTCTGAAGATAGTCCATAGTTTACACTCCTATTTTCTTCTCGTTGGAGATATTGATAGTATGAACATAATCTCACAGTCACTGTGCTCTTTCCAGCCACAAATGATGCTTTTCTTCCGTATTGAAACTCAGCCTGCTGTTAGGTGCATCTAATTATCATAGTTTGTTGCTCTTGCTTGCAGTCCCCATTATTTATCAAGTTCACCGCATACGTGATGGGAACAACTTTGCCACCCGAAGAGTAGATGCAGTACAGAAAGGAAATATCATATTCATCTTGTTGGCATCATTTCAGGTTTCCCATTTTATTCCTTACAAGATAGCTTATGAATCTCTACGTCCATCTGCCACCAATAGAGAAAAGCCTTTAACAAAACTGGGAAAATTGGGATTTTTTTAAAAAACATTTTCTTCTTCATTAATTTCATAGAAAGAACAACAAGGATTTGATCACCAGGAGTCAACCATGCCCTCTGTACCAGATCCTGATACGGTAAATCATTTCTCCAGATTTAATGGTTCCAATAAATTGTAAGTGTTTTCCTTTTCACCATTATCTGCTGCAGCTTCTATCACTGGAGGAGTTGCGTGAACGCCGTATAACTGATCCTCATTTACCGAGGTAAGTGGTAGTGATTTCCAAAGTATGAAAACTTATTTCAAAAGCTCAAGTTGGACCAATCTTTTAATTGTTTCTTTCTTTCAGGAGTTATCGGAACAAAGTTGCAACTAGAAACTTTGTTCCATGGCCTATAGAGATTCGATTTTGTGAGCCCAGCAATTCAACAAATCAGACAAAGTCTCCTCCGAGGTTAACAACTCGCTTAAATAAATCGTTTATATCATAGAGTACTCTTGAGTGTATATCCATATACTCATACATTCCACCAGGAGGGCGAGTAGAACTGATAAACTGTATGACTCATGTGATTACACATGAAAATCATCACTTACCTCACTAAGTATTTCTTTTAAAAAAAAAGTTATTCTTACAATGTCTTCTTGCAGATTGAACTATTGGTTTAGAGCAAAGGGAAGGCTTTCTGATGACCAAGCTTTGCACCGGTAAGTAACCCCATCTATGTAAATCAAGGTAGCCACCTAACATCTATGTTGTTTTATTATCCCAAGTTGATAGATTTGGAGTATAGTTGAGACTCTTAAAAGGCCAAACTTTCTTAATAGCATTGAAAAACTGATTGTATACTGCTCTTTCTGAAATTCGATTTATCATTCTTAGCAAACTAATCATCTGGCAAGCCATGTTGATATGCAGATGTGTTGTTGCATTTGCCTCGGATTTAATATTTTGTGGTGTCGGTTTGAACCCTCACCGCAGAAAAGGACTAAAATCCGCTGCTCTGAGCCTGGACCATGCGTAGGTTTTCATTTTCTCTTGGTGACGTATGAGTTTTGTGTGTTTGGGTTTCCAGCAGGGATCTTCTAGATAAATAACTAATACTAGTCACTTTTCCTCATTTGGTTTGCAGGATGTGGTTTCACCGACCTCTAAGAGCCGATGACTGGTTGCTCTATGTGGTAGTTTTTTCTATCCTTGTTTCTTATGAACATTTCAGAGCTGTTTGTTAATGAAATACATCAAATGTTTGTTTAGAATAAATGAAAATTAAACCTTGTAAAAAACCTTCCCATAGAAACTTTATTGTTAAGTAAGAAAAGGTTGTCACCATTGCCGGGGATTGAGCATGGGAAGACGAACCACTATACTAGAATGACTTAAACTTGTTTATAAGCAAAGTGATTTTGGTATAGAGTTGTTTATAAACTTGTTTGCTGTTAGAGCTTCACCAACTTACAACACAACGATGCTGCTTGCAGATTGTGAGTCCAACTGCGCATGAGACCCGTGGTTTTGTGACAGGTGAAATGTTCAACAGAAAAGGAGAGGTACTCTCCCTATACTTTTTAAACATGAACCCGGATTATAGATATTTGGACATGATAGATGATAAAAGTTAGCAAGATAATAAAAAGAATTCCTTGTGTTTTTGTTTTTGAAAATGAGAAACAGCTGGTTGTATCATTAACGCAAGAGGCCCTTTTAAGAGAGGCTAGACCTCCAAAACCCTCCGTCACGTCGAAGCTCTGAATGGCTCTGACCCTCACCGTAAGTTAATAAGAAGATACATTATTACGAGTACAAAGGAGCGAATAAAAAGATCAAAAACCAATGTGGTTGGTACTAAATAAAAGATTGTTATTAGACAAACTTATTATGTCAATGTATCACGCTGTATGTACGTTGTTTGATTCTCCGGCCTTCTCACCTCTATCATCAACTTATCTATCCCGATATCATCTATCTTTTTTTTTTTTGGTCAACTAGAGGATTATAAAAAAGTCATTACAAAAAAGCTACACAAGAAAAGTAACAACAGCAAGACTAGAAGTCTAGAACAGTCAAAGAGAAACGGGAAACTTAACTGAGAAGTATGAAAGCAACTAGCAAAGCTTTGAAATGCACTATGTCATCTATATGTAAGTAAGTTGCATAATTGTAAAAAACACCCAAATCCAAGCTTAAGAAACTTTTTTTTTTTTTTTTTTTAAAGCTCAACAACAACTTTCCAATTGATATAAGCTTTTTTTAGAACCATAAAACCAATTGATGTAAGCTGTTTTTTGCAAAACTTAAAAAATATAATAAACACCGTCGAAAATGGTGGAGGCTACTAGAGATAAACTTTATCACCGTTTAATGGTGGGATTTTGAAATGATATGAACCTTTTGCAAAAAGACAAAAAAAATTATAAACGGAGGAACTAGGAAGTGGGACCAGAGATCCACCGACCGGAAACGAAGAATCCATAGTAAGATAGACCCCAGGGGTTCGGTCGTATCGGACCGGTCGGATTTGGATTCTAACGGCAAGTGAGTGGACCCCCGGAAACGACAGACGTAAGCAGTGACAACATCAAACTCATCGCCACGTCAGCAACTGAGTTCTCCTTGCGAAACGTGTCCCGGCAGCGTCATCCACCCACGTGTGTTCTAGAAGCTCTTCTTCTCCCCTGCATCTCGACACGTGTCCTCTCCCTCTCCTTATATATTTGACTTTTCTCTCTTCCTTTCCAAGTTTCAAAAACGCCAAGTTTCAGAGGTAGATACTACAAGATTAGGATAGGATCAGGATCATCCCAACAACCTCCTAATCTCCACCATTCGTAGTAATAATAATATTAAGATAGCAATAAAAAAAAAAAAGAGTTATGTCAGAATTATTACAGTTGCCTCCAGGATTTCGATTCCACCCTACCGATGAAGAGCTCGTCATGCACTATCTCTGCCGCAAATGTGCTTCTCAGTCCATCGCTGTTCCTATCATCGCTGAGATTGATCTCTACAAATACGATCCATGGGAGCTTCCTGGTGATTTTACTAGCTCTCTCTTTTCTAGTCTTTGTGGGAATCTAAATCTGAGATTTTTCTGCTAACTCAAATCGATTCTCGTGAAAATTACAGGTTTAGCCCTTTATGGTGAGAAAGAATGGTACTTCTTCTCTCCCAGAGACAGAAAATATCCCAACGGTTCGCGTCCTAACCGGTCTGCTGGTTCTGGTTACTGGAAAGCTACCGGAGCTGATAAACCGATCGGACTTCCTAAACCGGTCGGAATTAAGAAAGCTCTTGTTTTCTACGCCGGGAAAGCTCCTAAAGGAGAGAAAACCAATTGGATCATGCACGAGTACCGTCTCGCCGACGTTGACCGGTCGGTTCGCAAGAAGAAGAACAGTCTCAGGGTATGGAATTTGATCTAATTCACATCTTTGTTTGAATCTCTTGTTTGTTTGGTTAATTTTATCTGACGGTGTTGATTTTTCCCAGCTGGATGATTGGGTTCTTTGCCGAATTTACAACAAAAAAGGAGCTACCGAGAGGCGAGGACCACCGCCTCCGGTTGTTTACGGCGACGAAATCATGGAGGAGAAGCCGAAGGTGACGGAGATGGTTATGCCTCCGCCGCCGCAACAGACGGCCACGGCGAGCGAGTTCGTGTATTTCGACACGTCGGATTCGGTGCCGAAGCTGCATACGACGGATTCGAGTTGCTCGGAGCAGGTGGTGTCGCCGGAGTTCACGAGCGAGGTTCAGAGCGAGCCCAAGTGGAAAGATTGGTCGGCTGTAAGTAATGACAATAACACCCTTGATTTTGGGTTTAATTACATTGATGCCACCGTGGATAACGCGTTTGGAGGAGGGAGTAGTAATCAGATGTTTCCGCTACAGGATATGTTCATGTACATGCAGAAGCCTTACTAAGGGGGGATTCCTTTCCTGCCGCCGAAACGCAACGCAAAACGCTCGTTTTTGCGTTTATGGCAACACGAGACCGTTTTATATGGTCAATGAGTGTGCCGATTCGGCCATTAGATTTGTAGACAGTGTTCGTCTATTTTATAGACCGTCCGATTTCAGATAATCTCTCTAATCGGACGGTGGTCGTTGGATGTATCAGTGTATTACTGTGTTAGGTAGAAAAAATCCACTTGTGCTTGTGATTGCCCTTTAACGGGCATAAAAGTCAAAAGCGAATATTTATTTCTGCCGCAATCATTTTAATAATAACTTAGTCGACGAGATTTTGTTGATCAATATATTGGATGATATATCATTTACATATGTAGCATAACAAATCCAGCTTTCACAAGGGCGAAAAAGCTAGAATTGGTTTGGTTTAACGAAAGATAATCAACAGTTGATCTGACTTACAATAGTTGTGAACATATCTAACAAGTCTAGAAGAGTAATGGATACAAGTAGAGCACAGTGTGTCAGCCAGAGGAAAACGAGACGCTGAAAGATGAAGTATGCTACATGTTACTTTCCATTGTCACTTTTTCTTTGATGGAAAGATGAACTCTTTCACGGAATCCTGCGCTGAAAGTATACTCTGTCTGATCTGCATATGCAAAATGTCATCTACAAGTAAGACTCAAAGAGTCAATTGGCTACATAATAACCCCACGAACCATAATCAATTGATTTGCTATTAAAGTGAAAATGAGCATTCAGTAATCTCAACATAGAGATAGTAACAACAGACTAAACACTGACCAAAACAAAGTAGTCAGTAGTCACTACTCCAGGCAAACGCAAGAAAGCTGAGCATAGAGATCAGGAAGATTCATATCTCATTCAAAGATCAAAATTCAATCCTAGCAAGTAACAACTAATCAAGGGATCTAACCAATATCAATTGAAACCAAGTGGATTGTAGCAAATATCGGTCATCTACAAGCGATGATGATCGAGAAGCTTGAAGGTTTGATTAAAAAAAAAAAAGAGAGGAAGAAATCGGAACTCACAGGATCGAGAACGTTGGGCTCGGGACCGTAATCAGCGGTTAAGAGGAAGTAGGATACAACAGCAGTCGCCACCACACTCGTTACCTTCACCACCTTTTCTATTTGGGGATTCATCGCTCTTGTTGTTCCCAGAAAGAAGTATTCCGGTGTTTTTTTTTCAGGTGACAATGATAAAAACGACACACATTCCAATTTCATGCCGTTTTTCATTCACTTCAAATATGGGCCCAGAAAGGCCCAAACATCTCATAAAGTCTTCACGGCGTCGTTTTAAAGATCCTCGCTGCGTTGTTGATTTATGGAGATCTCTTTCGGCGGTTGAAAACCTTTGAAAAATTGAAAATGGAGAAATCGACCTCGCCGGCGACTCAAGTCACCGAACCTCCTACTGCTTCATCTCTTCCAGCACAAGCTCCTCCGCTTCCTACATCTGCAGATCAGAGATCAGCTGAGTTACCTTCGCCGGCCGGGGCCACGGCTCAGCCAGCTCAGATGACTGCGCCTCCGTCGACAGTTACCACAGATCCGTCGTCCAGGGGAAGAAAGCGAGCGCTGGAAGCGAATCTTCAGATCGAGAGCTCCAACTACTACAAGATGCGTCTCCTTGTCAAAGATCTTCGCCCTCACGTTCTCGAGGTTGGCCCAAAATTTGTGATGGAAACTCTTTTGTTTGGGAAAGTAAACATAACAACTTGGATTTGTGCTGTTACAGGTTTTACGAACTCCAGATTTCAGCAACTCTAAGGCAGCTATCGAGATTCAAGAAAGTGAGAGCTCTTACACTCTTTTCTTTTGTTATCACAATTTTCACTTAGCTCAACAAACACACAAAAGTCCCAACTTGTTTGATATCCCTTGGAATTATGCTGTTTGCAGAGATGAATCTTATGCTTCAACTGTACCAAGAGATGATCGGAGAATCTCCTAAACGTGAGAAAACAGCTAAGAGCGAGTCTTTATCCAACGGAAAGGCCATTCATCAAACACCTCAGAGTACTACTACTAGTGTATTGAGATCATCTGAAACAAGCTATGTCCAAACTGACAACCACAACTCTGATGGAGATGGCGACAAGGTGGTTGGAGGGTCCGCATTTGGCTGGAACTTCATAACCTCTGGAGGGCCAGGCACTGAACCTGTTTATTCTGGAATGTCAAAGGAAGAATACAGAAGCTCTCACCCAATTATCCAAGTGGAGGCAGCGGTTGAGTTGCACGACACATTCTAAGCTTTGTTAGTGGCGTTTGTATAATATTCACTTTGGTGTCCGTACATCCCCAATTGTCTTATTATATGTATCAACTGAAGCCATGGATTAGCTTCTACTGATGAAGCCATAATTTGTACACAATGCTTAACATCTAAACCTTCTTTTGCATCCAATGAGACAACACATTACCTTTGGATTGTTACACATAATATAACCAAAGCCTATTCATCTTTTGCCAAAACCCATAAAAATAAGTCTTTAGTTCTGTGTGGAAGCTGAAATCTTTCTGGCTTCAAGGATAGATCCTTCGGTAAGTGCGATTTGAGATTCCTTCTCCATTCCCAGGACAGAAAGAGCAGCAGACTGGAGATACAATGCAACATACCAAACAGGAGAAATGCCTTGAGCCTTCATTGCATCTTCTAAAGCTTCTTTCGCCATGTTACTCATTAGGTAACTCAGACTTCGCCTCGCAAAGACTGTTCCAGAGATCATTCCCAAATCAAGAAACTGGGACAATTTTTATAGACAGGGCATCGTCAACTAAAGGAGGAAGGTCTTGTTACGGATTCAATTGCGAAAGAAAGACAGACCTGCGTGTAAAAGTCAATGGCTTCACTAAAGTCTTTTCGTCTATATGCAATATCGCCATTTTTCTTCGAGTTTATAGCTTCTTGCATCTGCTCCGTCCACAGAAACGAAAGCTGCGTTTAAACATGTCACATAACACCATGAAGAAGCCTTATGGGATGACAAACTTTAAAGTGGTTTAACAGCTGATATAACCGTAAAACCTGACTACTTACATCTTCATCGTCTTTGTAACCAATTTTTTCCAAGATCTCAACCATAGCGGTCAGGTCTTTTCTCGAGCAAGCCTCAGCAAAAGGAGACGGAGGTGAAGCAAAAGTACCAGTTTGAGGCAGACCCATTAGAACATGAGACAGGACCTCTGTGTCTTTCTGGAGAGATATCAGCGCAGTGACCAAAGATTTTATGTTTGGTCGCTCACGAGCTTCATACTGAAGACAACGAGATGCCAGGCGTACTAACTCCGTACCATCACTGTCTGAAAATTGTCCCTCCAAGCAGGAATCGGTTATAGTCTGAAGATTTCTGTCTTGAATCAAATCAAGGGCCTAAACACACAGCAAAAGGCTGAAATAATCAGTAAAGAGAATTCAAGAAACGATTAAAGTAGCTACCAAGACACTTACTTACATGGCTAGGAGGAATATGCTTTCCGGTGAGAAGATCAAGCAGAAGAGTGCCAAAACTGTAAATCACACTCTCTGCTGTGATTCTCCCTGTATCAACACACATTTAAGTCTCAAGTCGTACATATTGTTGGAAATAATATGACCTATGAGAAGGGTGCAAATCAATTTCACCAGTTCGTAGACACTCAGGTGGGGTAAAAGCAAGATTTGTGCTATAACTTTTCCCATCCCGACTATTCTTCATCAACCCAAATGTTGAAAGTCTTGGATTGCATTCCTTATAAAGATCCATACACGGATCAGTGGAGGAATATAACATAAAACAAAACATGGTTTCTTAGAGAAGAGTTAAGTTTAAGTAATTACCTCGTCAAATAAAACTCTGTAAGCATTGAGGTCATGATATAGCGTGCGTCCATTGTTACTACAGTATTCAAGAGCTTCCGAAATGTATAAGACAACCCTTAGTCGCATTGCCCATTTCATTGGCTGTTTTTCCCCTGGTAGATAAAAAAAGTGGTATGCAAATACTAAGACAAAATCTTAAAAGAGCATCAAAAGACAATTGATCAAAGGCATTTTCTTTTTTACAGTGAAAAAGGTGTTTGGCTAGTGTCTCGTTAGGCATAAACTCAGCCACAAGTAACCTCTCGCCGCCTTCACAGCAATAACCGAGTAAATTGGCAATTCTTTTGCTGCGTAGCTGACCAACCGATCTTGCTTCTTCCTGGAAACAGGCATATCCAAAGTTAAAGAGATATGAGAACTGGCAACTAGATAAACTGAAAGATGCATGTCATACCAGGAATTGGCGTGGATCAGGCCAGGCAGTTCCAGAAAAGCGCTTGATAGAAATCTTCATATGATTCTCCAATTTCCCTTGATAGACGACATTTGGAGCTGTTTTTCCATGTTCAGACACAATATTCTCCAAAGCAAAACCAGAGGTGGCGATCTTAAGCTGTTCTAGTGTGTATCCACGAAAAGACAGTACACCAGTTACCTCACCATTCTCTTTGTTTTCTGTAATATTGTACAAAAGGGATTACGGGATCAGCCAAAAGAGGGCTTGTCGTTCTAGCAAGAGAGAAAAACAGAGACGTCACCAACATCTGGAGCTTCAAGAGCAGCAGTCTTGTGTGATGAATGCCAACAACATGTACCAATCTTTGAGCTTTGACCTCCCATGGATTCTTTCAATTATAAGGCAACTGAGGTAATGTCTGGAAACAAGGAGAAATTTCTCAATCTTATTACATACAGAGAGATATCAATCAGAGATCAAAACTGAAAATGACAGGATCTGGTACAGAAACAGGTCGTACCTTGTCAACTCACTACCATTCTGGTGAGCCAACTCGGCTAGTGACAGTGAGACCAGCACTAATTTGGTTCAGATGAAAGAAAGAAGCGAAACACAACTGAACTAAAAGCAGAAACCTTTTTTTATCTCGATACACACTTGCCGGTTATCGTATCGATGGGACCCTTACTTCTTGCATTAGCGTGTAGCTACGGTTCTAAATCCACGAAGTTCCATGTATAACTTTCTCGATTCAATAAGAGGCTATAAAAAAAACACTCGAGAAGAAAAGAGACTGTATCTCTCAATCAAACCGATGTTGAAGTAACCAAAGCAGACCGGGAAGTGTCGATAGACAAATTGTATACCAACAAGTCTATAAATATTATGGTTGGAGAAGGCCACAAAGAAATCTAAGCCGCCCCAAATTTTCTCAATTAAATTCAGTTCATTAATTGATCACGTACAAAAATATTGGGGTTTAAATTAAATGTAACCAAGTGGGTCTGTCTTTTCGTGGGATAAGCCCATGGGCTTCCTTCATTGACCAACATAACTTTTTTTCTTTCTTTTTTTGTCCTCAATAAACCAAAATAAAATAAAACGTTTTTGACAATACTATGATTTTATTTTCTTGTCCTGTCGGCTGTCACCAATGCTATGGTAGCTTATTTTGGCCAAATCCACTATTTGATAATATGATAATTACTATCCGTAATTTCTCATAGTGCCGTTTGCAGAAAGATGACGAAATCGAAAGGCTAATTCCTAATTATTGTTTTTCAAATTCTAATTAAATCCGCACCCATACAATTAATTAGCAAAGTCAACGACCAATTGTGAGGAAAGAAAAAGTCAAAAAGTATACTAAAAAGAAAGAAAACATGTACATCATGAAACCTCAACTCCCCAATGATGTCCGGAACAAACTTCATCACATGTGCTTGCATACACACATAGATACATGTGTATTATGCGAATGCGTGAATATTATATAGAGACCTCCTCTAATATATCTAATGAACTAAATATGGCAACAACGTGACAGCATCAAAGTCTTCTTGGTTTTAAGACGTGACCAGCCTAACGACCCAACCAAACCTACTTGTCTATTCTTATTCCCACCCTCTAAAACCCCCCTACCTTCTCTACTTCCAGATCATCAAGCCCCAATTTCAAGCAGAGAACAATGGTATGTTCCTACGTTTCATTTTATCAATCTGGTATTGCAATTCATATAATGTACTGTGATCATATAATCTGACTGACTATGCATGTGTTTGATTGTGCAGGCTAATTCAGCGTCTGGGATGCACGTTAGCGATGACTGCAAGCTCAAGTTCTTGGAGTTGAAAGCAAAGAGGAACTATAGGTTCATTGTGTTCAAAATTGATGAGAAGGCTCAGCAAGTTATGATTGACAAGCTTGGGAATCCAGAAGAAACTTACGACGATTTCACCAGATCTATTCCCGAGGATGAGTGCAGATATGCTGTCTATGACTTTGATTTCACCACTCCTGAGAACTGCCAGAAGAGCAAAATCTTTTTCATCGCATGGTACAACTCCTTTCCCTTGTATTTTTAATGATTTGAAAGAGTAGATGTTATAATTGAGACATCGACTTGCTTCAGGTCACCTGATACATCAAGAGTGAGGAGTAAGATGTTGTATGCAAGCTCAAAGGACAGGTTCAAGAGGGAATTGGATGGGATTCAAGTTGAATTGCAAGCAACAGATCCTAGCGAGATGAGCCTTGACATCATCAAGGGACGTGTCAATCTCTGAATGGAACTTACTGCATCTTAATTCGTTTCAATCAAAATTTATATTTTCTGCTTTCGTTTTCTTGGGTATTTTTCGTTTCACTTCTTTGCTATTTGTATTTTCTGTGATTCAAGGTCTCACCTTTTTTTTTTTTTGGTACGTAATAATCATCACAATAGTTAATTATTTTGCTTCCCTAAACAAAGTTGGCAATATCAAGCAAGTTGTGATGACGCTAATGAACTAATGATGCAAAGAAAATAGGCTAAAAGAGAGAGTAAATAGAATGACATACCCCACGTCTAATTTATCAGAAAATCCTCGTAATTCAAGGGTTTTCTTAGCCAATTGTTGAATGGATACTTTCCTTTCAAAATCTTTGACATCAAAGAATATTCCGTAGCTTTGTTCTGCATACAATTAAAACAAAAGAAAACGTAAATCATCTCAGAATTAACCAGAGAACAATATCACAATCTTGCAGCATACATGTCAAAAACTCACTATGAGATTCAAACACTTTAGCATGTTAGTTGTGCCAGTGGAAGCATGTTAACCCAAAATGAAGCAGCATAAAAGAATCAGCATCACACGCACCTTCAGTTCTCGGTACGATTTTTTTGACTTGGAAGATTCCCTTTCGTGTCCATGAGTTTCTTTCAAGAATAGCTCCAGTAACCGCTGTCTAGGAAAAGATATGACTACGATATCAATTACAAGTAAGTAAGGTCATGCTTGGATAACAAGGCTCATCTCCTTACTTGCATATAGATGATTGAGTAGACGGATACAGAGCTCCTTTAGCTGATGTGCCTTGCTTTCTACCGGTTGTTCCAAGAATAACTTCGTGTAAGCCAGAATAGTTCCAACACAAGGAATAGCTAAGAGACAATAAATAAATCACACCACCTTGTAAGAAACAAAGAAAGGACACATATGTCATGTGAGGAAGAGTTAAGAGCATTGAAAACTAACCCGCATGTTAAGGTAGCTTGAGCAGTTTCTGAATGCTGAAATTCTGATGGTGGTACTGGAGCTACAAAAAACAGTGGCTGGAAAGGAATTAGCACGATATTTGCAAGTAACTACTGCAATTTACATGAAACATTGGTATAAAGCAGCTAATGAACCTTGTTCAAACGGAAGGAAGTCAGAAGGTCATCCGATAATGGGAGGATCCTCTCATACAAAGATCTTCGCAAGTGATCAGCCAAAGAAAAATTGTCAGGGCTGTGCAGAGATTGTCCAACGGTGATGGTGGATATATACACAGGGTGGAGGACTTGGCAAAGCAATGCCCCTGAAGTAAGAACACGCAAGGAGAGATAAATTCCCATAAGTAAACAAAGACGCCCTGACACAACAAATTCTGTGTCAAAAACTCAGGTATAGAAACCTTGAACTCCAAGAACATTCCATCGAGCTATCTTATCCGAACAGCTAACAGAGAGTGTTGTTTCACCGCGACCAGGCTTTCTTTGCACCATATCTGCTACTTGTGAGCCATTACCTGAAATGGAGACATCCAAAGCAAATTGATATATCCTCCAGTCCATATGGTAGATAACAGGAAGAGACTTCAATACCTTTGTTGCTATAACCTATCTCTGGAACATCAGAATGACCAGACGAGCAAATGTCAGAACCTTGAAGTAACAATGAGTCATCTACTTGTGTTGATGGGATCTTTTTCAGGGCATACAAGGGTGAACTAGTAGAAGCATAACCACCTACGTATGACAAACATGTCAATGCCAGTATTTTTGAAACGAAAAAAAAAGAGAGAAGAAAAACGAATTGAATGAAGGTAAATTACATGGCAATTGAGAAATGTACATATGCAAGTGGCAGCCAGATTTGAGCTTAAATTTCACTTCTCCAGGACAGCTTGAATCTGCTGACTCTAGTATTGAGCTTGTTTCGCAATCAAGTCTCTGACGCTTGGCTTCACTACTCTTATCTGAAGTCAATTGCATCCGCTGAATCTCGGAATAGAAGAACCTGATGAGAGCTCTTCTGGCGACAACTTCGGCATGAGAATCGTTAACAATGTCCCCACGGGGACTCAGCAGCGACCGACTAACGCACTTGGTCCCCGTCCCTAACGCTATCACTTTCAAGTCTGCACACAAACCCTAATTAGCTCAAAAATCGTAAACCAAAAAATAAAGCAAAAGAGAGAGAGACCTTGGGAAGGAGAAGAGACAAGGAAAGCGGAGAGGACGGTGACTTCACGTCCCTGAGGTTTTCCCTTATTCGGGAGAGACATGTAAGCCGAAACAACCTTCTCTGATACTCTCTCTCCCCAATCCTCCTCCATTGCTACGAAACCCAGAAACAAGTCCATTGATTGATGCTACTCAAAAAAACATTTAAAGCAGATTCAAGGAGAAGAACACTAGAACAGGGACCCGCCTGAAAATAGATATAAGTATAGGGGCCATTCTAGTAAATTACTACTAAATATTAAAGTAATCAAATCCAATGGGATAAGCATAAACTTTATAATCCTGAGCGTAACGAATCTGTGATCGCCGTCGTCAAAATTCAAAGCAATCCGTGATCCATTGCATGATCTCCTTGCTGTGATTTTGGGATTTCTACTCTCATGGCGAACCCAGACGTTAAAGAGATTCTCTGCGATTGTGTTATAAACTTGGTAAGAATTTTCATTTTGTTTTTTCCGCTTTTATTCAATCCATTCTTGGAGATGATGTGATTGATTTACAGAGAGAGAATCCGAAGAGGCGAAGGGAGACGGTTTACGTCGGATGTGGTGCTGGATTCGGCGGCGATAGGCCACTGGCGGCTCTCAAACTGCTTCAGAGAGTCGAAGACCTTAATTATCTTGTCCTTGAGTGCTTAGCCGAACGCACTTTGGCTGATCGCTGGCTTTCTATGGCATCTGGCGGTGTCGGCTACGATCCTCGTGGTATGTTTCAGGACTTTGGAGGTTTGATTTATGTTGAAAATGGTCATCGAGTTGCTAGGAATGGTTTTTAGGGATGTTTTATAACTTCACATTCAGCCATTTTTTTCTTGATTTTGTTCAGTTTCAGAGTGGATGCATTTGTTACTACCTTTGGCTGTGGAGAAAGGCACTTGTATAATCACTAACATGGGTGCAAGTAAGTGCTTACAATCTATAACGGATGCATGTTTTCTCTCTGTTTTTCTTTTCATCTGAATTATCGTGTTTTTTTTTCCTTGTAGTTGATCCCTCTGGGGCTCAGAAGAAAGTTCTCGAGGTAGCCAGTGAATTAGGCCTCACAATTTCCGTGGCTGTGGCTCATGAGGTGCACTTTGAAACAGGTAATGGAACCTACTTTCCTCCCTGGGAGATATTGTTATTGTTCTGCGTATTCAACACTGTTTGAACCCATAATAAGTGTGATTAACCCTTGTCTTTGAATCTTATCAAGGCTCGGGATCATCTTTTGGCGGTCAATCTTGCTCTGCAGGGGTATGATTCTGGTTTTCTACCTCCTGATCATATGTGTCAAACTGTCAATGTGATATTATCAGCTAGTGACTACAGTTTTGATAGACTAGAAGATATGTAGAACATAGTTATGTGTGCTGTGAAGGACTCTAGGTTATATGTTACGAATGTAAAGAGTTTTCCATGGTTTATTTAGCCCCTCCTTGTGATATGTGTGGTTTCCCTGAAATTTTATCCTCCTTGTTGAAGGGTACTAGCACTTATCTTGGAGCAGCTCCTATTGTTGAATGCCTGGAGAAATACCAACCAGACGTGATAATTACTTCAAGAGTGGCTGATGCCGCCTTATTCTTAGCACCAATGGTGAGGACTTGTTATCTGTTCAATTATCTAATATCTGACAGTTGATCCGGTTTTCTTGTTGGACCAGATAGCCACTCGGATTGCATGTCAGCTCAGTTTTGTAATCATAATTACTCATCGTTTCATTGCCCTTTGGCTTGAATTCGATTCAAGAGGATTTCCTGTTTCGTGATTTAATCTGATCATTTTCTTCTTGTGTCATTAGGTCTATGAACTAGGTTGGAATTGGAATGACTTGGAGCTGCTAGCTCAGGGAACTCTTGCTGGCCACCTGCTGGAGTGCGGTTGTCAGCTCACTGGTGGATACTTCATGCATCCAGGTGCGTTTTACACTTACTGGCTCAGGGAAGAAATAATGGACTGCTGCTTTTCATCATCGATATGGTCATTTCATTCTTCAATGTTCTTTAGGTGACCAGTATAGAGACATGGCTTTCCCTCTTCTCCAGGATTTGTCACTTCCTTATGCAGAAATTGGCTATGACGGTAAAGTATGTGTATCAAAGGCTGAAGGTAGTGGTGGGATTTTAAATACCAGTACTTGCGCCGAGCAACTTCTGTATGAAATTGCTGATCCTAGTGCCTACATTACACCTGATGTGGTAAGTTAGCGGTACAAATCTAGAAGAAATAGCTGTAACAACAACGGAAATAGTTGATTTGAAAACCTTCTTCGCAGGTAATTGATATTCAAGGCGTTTCTTTCCTTCCCCTGTCAGACTGCAAAGTACAATGCAGTGGAGCAAAACCATCTGCTAACACTTCTGTGCCTGAGAAACTCTTGCGGTTAATTCCAAAGGTTGTTTATTTATAGAAAATACTGGTGACATTTGATTGGTGCTAAAGAGCAACCTAGGTTTGGTTATAATTCGTACTTTCTTTGCAGGAGTGTGGTTGGAAAGGATGGGGAGAGATATCTTATGGAGGACATGGTTCTATTCAACGTGCTAAAGCTTCAGAGTTTCTGGTGTGCCTATGCTTAATATGTCTTTGATGTAGTACCATTTTTTGGCCCTATCTTTGCTTGAAATGACTCTTTATGGTGCCCGAGTTTGAGTTTCATTTCTTCTCAAGTATGTGTACGTATTTTACTTGTGTTTTTTCTTTCTTTTGATCAGGTTCGATCTTGGATGGAAGAAACCATTCCTGGTGTTAACCACTGTATTCTATCTTATGTGATTGGGCTTGATAGCTTGAAGGCAACAAGCAACGGCACTGAATCTTGGCAGTCATGTCGAGATATTAGATTACGTATGGATGGTCTTTTCAAACTGAAGGAACATGCCGTCCAGTTATCGAAAGAGTTTACTGCTCTATATACAAACGGACCAGCTGGTGGTGGTGGAATTAGGTAATTTCTTCATGGTGATGTTCCCTCCATATATCAATCCAATGCTAATTGTAGCATTATAGTAGTACCAATCCTGTTGATTTGAGACATCTTATGACTAGGGACAATGTATTGAAAGAAACTAGTTATCTGTTAGAAGAGAGCATATGAGATATGGGATGGTCTTTTTGGTTTGACAAAACTGCTTGTAATTATATGCAGTACCGGACACAAGATGGAAATTGTTCTTGAAAAGCGTTTGGTATGTCGTCTCCATCATACATTTTATCTAATATAGCCTTGCATAAATCAATTTTACGGCTTCTGATGTTATATGTTTGGTTACGGCTTCTGATGTTATATGTTTGGTTATCCAGGTCAGCCGTGAATCTGTAATGTGGAAAACTGGACTTCAGCACACCAATACTTCAGAGTCAGAGACCCCTGAACATCATTCTCCAGTTGCTCAAGAGAAAATCCAAAAGGTTAGTGAGAAAGTACTTACCAAACTAATTGTGATGACTGATAGATAATGGAAATTCCTTGGTGAATCAATCTAGTGTGTTCGAACAGCAATCCTTTGATGAAGAGACACAGGAAAAGAATTTTAAGGCTCACATATGTTTTACTATTTGAAAGCTGAAAATGTGAAAGAACTCTAACATGTGCATTTGTATTAACTAACACCTTGGTATTACTTCCACTTGTAGATCCCTAAGGAAAATCAAAATAACCTTACAATGAGAGGCTATCAATCTGGATTCCACCACTCTCCTGCTCCATCTGGCCAAAAGATCCCACTCTACTCTGTTGCTCATAGCCGGGCTGGTGATAAAGGAAACGACATAAACTTCTCAATAATCCCACATTATTCCCCAGATATCGAGCGTCTGAAACTCATAATAACTCCTCAATGGGTAAAGCATGTGATGTCAGTTCTGTTATCAACCTCTTCATTCCTGGAAATCGATGCAAAACCAATCGATGAAAATGTGTCAGTAGAGATATATGATGTTAAAGGCATTCATGCTATGAATGTTGTCGTAAGGAACATATTAGATGGTGGAGTCAACTGTTCCAGGAGGATCGATCGACACGGAAAGACAATCTCAGATCTCATCTTGTGTCAACAAGTTGTGTTGTAAGACTACTTTAAGTTTGCATATCAGATTTTTTTATTCAAATATAGTGTGGTAATATGTTAATAAAAAGGGAGACTTGAACTACACTATAATTCTAAAAGATAATGGAAAAAGAAGGAATCGACTTAGTGGTGCTTCACTTTCTTCTATTCTTAAAATTGTTTTAATTTACAACTGGGTAACTTGATAGATACGCATACAGATAAGTATTAAAAGCATAGTTTTGATTGAGAAAGAATAATAGTATATTTGTGTAATGTTGGGTTAATATTATATTTGTGTAATGTTAGGTTGTTGTTATATTCCTTTGCAGGATCTGACTGACATGGGTTGCACCACCTCAGAGACAGTTGGCTTAAAGTAACAATCCCTTATTGGGTTGAAATTGTCAGAAACCACAACCCTTCTTTTGCTCAACTCCAATCACTTTGCCACCCAATTTTATCTCATTCATTTTGCAAAAAAGATCAAAGAGAGAGAGAGAGGGAGAGAGAAAAAGAAAGAAAGAAAAACTTCCTCCGTTACAGCCTCACAATTGCAACGAAGTTTCATATAAAAGAGGACAAAAATTTCGCAGGTTCCTCCTTTGTCTGAGGTAAAGGTTTCCTTCTTTAACTAATTCCTCAGATGACCTCTTGATTTGTTGGAAAAAAAATTAAAAAATCTGTTTCATACAGGATCTTGGAGAAGGAAACAACAACAAAAAAAAACCCCCCAAAAAAAAAAAGATAAAACAAAAAAATGTCTTTCACAGGAACTCTCGACAAATGCAATGTTTGTGATAAGACAGTCTATGTGGTGGACATGTTGTCCATTGAAGGAATGCCTTACCACAAGTCTTGCTTCAGGTGCACCCATTGCAAAGGAACCCTTGTGGTATGTTGCATTACTCTTATACATGACATCATTTACTTTCCAATTTTCTTGTTAGATTTGTGTTTAGATCTTCTATGATCAGATTATATCAAGTATCAACAATATCTGTGTGTTGATGGCAGATGAGCAACTATTCCTCCATGGACGGAGTTTTGTACTGCAAGACTCATTTCGAGCAACTCTTCAAAGAATCTGGCAATTTCAGCAAAAATTTTCAACCAGGTTCATATTATAATATATCTAACATCGAATCTCCCTATCTTTCTTCATTCGAATCATCATGATGGTAACAAGTTTCTTTCTTTTCTCAGGAAAAACTGAGAAGCCGGAGCTGGTAGGTTCATCATAACATGTCCTTTTATATGATTAGCGTATCAATCTTTCATTTTCATTCTTTTATGATTGACTAATAGGATCTGTGTATTGATTTAAAACATTACAGACTAAGACTCCTAGCAAGATATCTTCCATCTTCTGTGGAACACAAGACAAGTGTGCCGCTTGCGAAAAAACTGTTTACCCTCTTGAAAAGGTTAGTATATATACGCATTTGCAAATGTTCTCTTGGCCTAAATATACCATTGAACTAGTCTCGTAGAGAAATTAATTTGCTCTATTCTATGAGTCGGCAATTCAGTTTTTTTTTTTTTTTTTTTTTTTTTTCATTTCCTGAGAAGTTTTCTGTTCGGATAAATTCATTACTAGATCAAATGGATATAAAATGTTGATTTTGGTTTGGTTTAGTTTACTTTTGGTTCGATTTCAGAACGTGATGTTGGTTTGGTCCAAGCAAATGTGGAATCAATCGGTTAATATGAAATTTTGGCTTGGGTCTAATCCGGTTTGATATGGTTAATTGGTAACAGATACAAATGGAAGGAGAATGCTTCCACAAGACATGTTTCCGGTGCGCTCACGGTGGGTGTACGCTCACTCACTCCTCCTACGCCTCTTTAGATGGCGTTCTCTATTGCCGGCATCACTTTAACCAACTCTTCCTCGAGAAAGGAAACTACGCTCACGTCCTCCAAGCTGCCAACCACCGTCGCACAGCCTCAGGCAACACTCTTCCACCGGAACCTACCGAAGACATCGCCGTGGAGGCCAAGGAAGAGAATGGCGTTTCACAGTCTTGAATATCTCTTACCTGAGTGTTTTTGAGTGAATGATTGAATGAATGTTGTTGCGGGGGAAAGATTTGATTTCATTTGTAATGAGTTGTTTCCATATGAAGACATGAATTATTTTTTTTTTGATTCGTTCGTTATACATTATTATTACACACGAAAGCAGGCAAGAATTGATGTTTTGTCAATGTGTGATTATGTGATATGCTTGCCGATGGTGATGATATTCTTCGCATTCTAGTCTTGCGAAATGTTATTTTGTACTCGTGAATTTTTAGAATTTCATAGACTCCGTTGGTTTCCCATGAGAAACAATATCTGTTCGGTTAAAAAAAGCGGAAACTTATATACCGGATCAAACCAACTGGTTATTGGGTGATGTGAATCATTCATTATTTGAGAGGGTGTTTTCGTAAAATTATCTAAAAACGGCCTTAGCAATGATGTCTGGTTGGCGAGAAACTCAAAAAAGAGGAGGAGACAAAGAGAGTTTTTGACAGGGAAATTTTGAAGAGACGAGCCAAAAATATCTGTTTGAAACGGAATTGAAGACGAGAGCCACTCCCCTCTGTCTCCACCTTTCTTTCATTCTTTACTCAACTTTCCATGATTGGTTAGTCACTACTCTATCTGTCCGTGCTTGTCGTTTAATTTTGATGCTTGGTCGTTCCAAGTCTGAATGTGTGGAATTTCGATATTCCTCCACAGGTGTTGTATATAAGGTTCGAGGAACAAAGTAAGGCTACTTTTTTTTTAATCTGATTTTGACATGGATTTTGCGTCTACATTTCAACGGCCGATTCTATTTCATGGTGGAGACGGTGCGAGTTACTGCTTTCCAAATCGATTTATAAGTCCCAAAGGAATCAACATTACGTTTGGGGATTCTAAAGTGCACTCGTGTTTTCGATTGAGGAGAAATGTAGCACAAAGTGGTACATTGAATTTGAATGCGTGTTTCTCTGGAAGGTTTTATAGTGGTCATTTGCATTCTACAAAATCTATACTTGGCAATGGCCGTCAATCTAAAAGAATCCCTTTTGGATTTAGGTTAAGTTGTCATGTCAATGATTCTCTTGGTAATGCTGATAGTAGTAATGATCGAATCGGGGAATCTTCCGAGAGTAATGGTGGAACTGAAGCTACAGATTTGAAAGAAGAAAAAGATGTTAGAGTCGAAAACGAAACTGATAGTTTGGAGGAACTCAAGGAGTTACTGCAAAAGGCAATTACAGAATTGGAAGTTGCTAGACTCAATAGTACCATGTTTGAGGAAAAGGCTCAGAGAATCTCAGAAAGAGCCATAGCACTCAAGGATGAAGCTGCTACCGCTTGGCATGACGTAAACAAAACCCTTGATGTCATTCGAGATACCGTTGATGAGGAATCTCTTGCTAAAGATGCTGTTCAAAAGGCTACGATGGCTTTATCTCTGGCTGAAGCTAGGCTCCAGGTTATAGTGGAATCACTTGAAGCAGGTGGAGGGAATGATATTCCACATGTGTCTGAAGAGACTGAGAACACAGATGATGTTAAAGATAAAGAAGAAGCTCTTTTAGCTGCCAAGGATGATATTAAAGAATGTCAATTGAATTTAGAAAACTGTGAGGCCCAACTGAGTTGTTTGCAGAGCAAAAAAGACGAGCTGCAGAAGGAAGTGGACAAGTTGAATGAGTTAGCTGAGACAATACAGATAAGTGCGTTGAAAGCCGAGGAGGATGTCGCCAATATTATGAAATTGGCTGAACAAGCTGTAGCATTTGAGCTTGAGGCTACTCAACGTGTTAATGATGCAGAGATTGCTTTGCAGAGAGCAGAGAAGTCTCTCTCCATTTCTCAGACCCCAGAGGAAACTCAGGGCCAACTCTCGGATGAAGAAACTCACGACGAGGATGAGGTGGTACTTTCAGGTAACGTTGAAGATGTTAGCCATCAGGTTGAAAAAGAATTACCTATTGATGGAGATCTATCAGTGGTACAGAACCCATCTGATCTTGTGTCTGATATAGTTGGTCAGAGGAATCAGAAACTAGCTCAGCCTTATGAGTCAAGCGATAATGAGAATGGAAAGCCAAGTGTAGAGTCTTCTAAAGTGGTTGAAGCAGATTCTGAAAAGCCAAAGATTAATGTTCAGACGAAAAAAACAGGAAACACAGAAAGATCTGCCAAAAGAGGGTTCCTCTCTTAATTCTCCCAAGGCATCGTTTAATAAATCCTCCCGTTTCTTTTCTGCATCTTTCTTCTCTTCCAATCCAGATGGGACTGCGACAGTCTTTGCTAGTCTGGTTGGTTCTGTCAAACAGCAATGGCCCAAGCTAGTTCTTGGGTTTGCTCTTCTTGGAGCAGGGTCAGTTTGAAAATTTACTCTTCTTTTCGTCGAGTTTTGAAGGATCATTTTAGTACATAAAGTTCTGTCTTTTTGTTGATACGAGCTTCTTATTCGTTCCAGACTGACATTATACTCCAATGGAGTAGGGGGGAACAACCAGCTGCTTCAACAGCCAGATGTTACCAGCACTAGTACAGAAACAGAAGATATCTCTTCCAGTACAAAGCCATTGATCCGGCAAGTGCAGAAACTTCCCAAGAGAATTAAGAAACTACTTGAGATGCTGCCTCACCAGGAGGTATGAACAATGTTCTTGTTCTTTTGCATAAGTGCAAATTGTATGGAATGTACTTTGCAGGCTGAAACTTTCTGCAATTATTAGGTCAATGAGGAAGAAGCTTCCCTTTTTGATTTTTTGTGGTTACTGCTAGCAAGCGTCATATTTGTGCCTCTATTTCAGAAAATTCCTGGAGGTAAGTAGGATTCTTTTTTTTCTTCTTTTGTTAATTCTATCCATTGCATTACTATTTGTTTCCCCTTTCAGTCAAAGTCCTACGATTTCCATGTTCTCATCAGTCAAAAACATTTTCAGTTCTGGTCTCGCAATCATGTTGCATAGAGATTTATGTGCCATCTTGATGGCTTCATCTGCTGCAATGTATAGGCAGCCCTGTTCTTGGGTATTTGGCAGCTGGAATTCTGATTGGTCCTTATGGTCTTTCGATAATCCGTAATGTGCACGGAACCAGGGCCATCGCAGAATTTGGAGTTGTTTTCTTGCTTTTCAACATCGGCCTTGAGGTAGTATTTGATATATGTGTATGCTATCCTTTTGCTTTTGAACTGTGTTTGGTAAAAGAGCCAATATTTTGTTTATTTATTTGACAGCTATCTGTTGAAAGACTGAGTTCCATGAAGAAATATGTTTTTGGATTAGGCTCCGCTCAGGTGATTTGAAGATCCGCGTATCTCATGCCACATCATTTATCAACTACAATGCCTACATGCTTGATGTTTCTTTTTCCAACTACTCTAATCTATACTTCTATTGGTGTAATCTAGGTTCTGGTCACAGCAGCAGTAGTTGGATTGATTGCCCATTATGTTGCTGGTCAGGCTGGTCCAGCAGCAATAGTGATTGGAAATGGCCTGGCTCTGTCCTCCACTGCTGTTGTCCTTCAGGTAGCATTTTTGGTTGTATTCAAAAAGGGATCTTAATGAAAGGAATTTTGTAGCATCCCCTTCATTTGTTTTTTTCTTATGCAATTACGCTACCAATTGGTTGAACAAAGACAATGCACTTGGTTTTCAGGTTCTACAAGAACGAGGTGAGAGTACATCTAGACATGGAAGGGCTTCATTTTCCGTCTTGCTTTTCCAGGTCGGTTCAGAACTAGTTAATTCTGTACTACAACTATGCTGGGCATTTCTCATTAGTTTGTTATTCTTCTTCACAGGATCTAGCTGTAGTTGTTTTACTGATTCTCATCCCACTTATTTCACCTAATTCATCGAAAGGAGGGGTAAGCTCATCTCTAGGGTTCCTTCTTTTTCTTGAGTATGGCTAGCTTTTCTGTTGGATGCCATGTGTTGGCAATTTTCTAAGTAAGAGGTTTGATAATGTCTTTGCTCTCTTAAGAAGAAACGTTGTGGTCATATGTTGCTAATACTGGTTGAAATTGCTGGTATGCCAGATATTTCTATATACTCAAGGAAGTCTAGGAAGTATCAGTGGTCGCAAAATGCTAAGTTACTAACTGCTCTTTTCAGATTGGATTCCAAGCCATTGCTGAAGCTCTTGGGCTTGCTGCAGTCAAAGCAGCAGTGGCTATTACTGCCATAATTGCTGGTGGCCGTCTTGTGAGTCTCAGATACTTTAACTTTTGAATCTAGATATCAAAATAAGTTAATTATGACCAAAGTTGTTTAGGTGAAATGTTTTAGATTTGCTACAAAAGGAAGAGGCATGTTTCCATGAACTAATCGTGAAAGTTTACTGTGCTATCACTGCTACTTCCGGTACTCAATTTATATGTTTCAATGGAGTTATAATCTAAGGCATTTACACTCTTGTGGCATACAGCTTCTTCGACCAATCTACAAGCAAATTGCAGAAAATCGAAACGCCGAGATATTCTCTGCCAACACGCTTCTCGTTATTCTTGGGACTAGTTTACTGACAGCTAGGGTATGGCCTTGACCTTGTTGGTATTTGGCCATTTTACCCTGTTGGCATTTGAGTAGTTTACTGACATGCCAGCATTTCCAGTCTGCTAATTTTTCCATTTCTATAAACCAGGCTGGACTTTCCATGGCATTAGGAGCGTTTTTGGCTGGTCTACTCCTTGCAGAGACAGAATTTTCGTTGCAAGTAGAATCAGATATTGCTCCATATCGTGGTCTTCTGCTGGGACTCTTCTTCATGACGGTAATATACAAGTTTCCTAATAGCTTTATCCATAGTTTATCATTTCTCAAGAAAAATCAGGAATTATATAGATGGTAATGGAAAACTTTTACTTGTGTTCTAGTAAGATCCTGACATTGTTGTCAACTGTAGGCATAAAACTAACTAAAAGAGTTTCATTGATTTCAGGTTGGCATGTCAATTGATCCGAAATTACTTCTCTCCAACTTCCCTGTCATAGTGGGAACTTTGGGACTCTTGATTGTGGGAAAGACTATGTTAGTCGTGATTATGGGAAAAGTGTTTGGCATTTCAATTATATCTGCAATTCGAGTCGGTCTACTATTGGCCCCAGGCGGAGAATTTGCATTTGTTGCTTTCGGAGAAGCTGTTAATCAGGTTTGTTATCAACATTGCTTTTTTTTTTTGCTTTTTTCCAATGAGGTGTATAATCAGCAATGTTCTTTCAATAGACATTACATATATTTGTGTCAACTGTTTTTTTTTCCTAAAGGCCTAGTCTATGTTTCTTCCAGGGTATAATGTCTCCTCAGTTATCTTCGTTGCTATTTCTTGTCGTGGGAATCTCAATGGCTATCACACCCTGGTTAGCTGCTGGTGGCCAGTTAATTGCATCTCGATTTGAGTTGCATGATGTTCGAAGTTTATTGCCTGTTGAGAGTGAGGTAGGAATCTTGATGATTCGTTTATAGAGTATAACTCTGTTAGGCACTCACACATTCTCTGGTTGAGGAAAATGTGACAAGGCCGACTGATGAGTATTTTTCTTGTCTGAATGTATTTGCAGACGGATGATTTGCAGGATCACATAATTATTTGCGGATTTGGTCGAGTTGGTCAGGTTTATACATTATCTGAACTTCTTCAGTTTATGCTCTTATATGAGAACACATCTCTGTAGATAGTCTGCTTCACATGATAGCTCGAAGTTTCTAACCTCGTGACCATTTTCTGTTTGTTACTTGTAGATAATTGCTCAGCTTCTCTCGGAAAGACTTATCCCATTTGTTGCCCTCGATGTCAGCAGGTAACATTACATTGCTTATTCTTTGCCTCTATTGTTGAAGAATCTGTGTAAAGTGGGTTTCAAATATTTTGTTCTCATATCGAACCAAAAATGTGGAGACTATCAGTAACTTCCACACACATAGATATTACATTTCAACCTGTTTGATTTATAAGTCTTGTTTCAAGACTGTTTGTATTGCGCCAGCCAAGTTTTCATACCGCTTTCTAGGATTCCATGCTTCCCTGAAAACCTCATATTTTATTTACAGTGATAGAGTGACTATTGGGCGTTCTTTGGATCTTCCTGTTTATTTCGGAGACGCTGGTAGTAGAGAGGTAGGTGGTACACACAAAATCAGAAAGATACGCACGAGACAATTTACAGATTACACCAGCATTTGAATATTACTTCACTTGTGCAAACAAACAGGTTCTCCACAAAATTGGAGCTGAGAGAGCATGTGCTGCTGTGGTTGCCTTAGACGCACCAGGAGCAAACTACAGATGTGTCTGGGCTTTGAGCAAGTATTACCCCAATGTCAAAACTTTTGTCCGTGCACACGATGTTGTTCATGGCCTTAATCTAGAAAAAGCTGGTGCTACTGCGGTAATGTTCACAAACCCCTTCACTCTCCTCTAGACAATAGACACGCTTTATCAATCGTACACTAATAATATCTCGATCACAAAAAATTTTAGGTTGTCCCGGAGACTCTGGAGCCTAGTCTACAGTTGGCAGCTGCTGTTCTTGCTCAGGTAAAACATAATGATTCCTTATTAGTGGAAGTAGTAATCCTACACACAGTGTATGATCCTTTTTAGTGTTGAAACATCTCAGGCAAAATTACCGACATCGGAAATTGCAAACACGATTAACGAGTTCAGAACCCGTCACTTGTCTGAACTGACCGAGGTGTGTTTAGTTGTCGATATACAATCTATATTTATCAGATCTGGTTTGGTCTTATTGATTTGTATTGGGATATGGTGTAATGCTAATGGCAGCTATGTGAAGCAAGCGGAAGCTCTCTGGGCTATGGGTACTCGAGGACGAGTAAGCCTAAACCTCAACCGTCGGATGCATCTGGCGATAACCAGATAATCGAAGGAGGCACAGTCGCAATCTGAGACATTCTGGTGAGAAAAAGAAGAGTATTTCGCCTTCTTGTGGCGGCCATTTTTTGCTGGTAGTTTCTTTCATGGAAAATGGTATGTCTATAAAAACCACCACCACCAACTTGGGTTGCAGTGTATGGTGAAGTGATGGATGAATCAGATGATGTGTAGTGTAACTATGTATTCATGATGTTCAGTACATATCTCTCATTTAAGTCTTTGATCTCAGAACAACTAGATTTGAACAAATCATAGCAATTCTCGTTTTGAAACTACCTCCCGTTCTTGTACTACAGATGTGAACACCTTGCTGTTTTTAGTAAAAGACTGAATGGGCCTTTTTTGACTTCGACTGAATGGGCCTTAAATACGTAATTGTAAAGACCCTCGATGTTGATAGTAAATTACTAACCATTGCCACCGCAGGCGTTACCAAATTTGTCAGTCATCTACTTTTTCTTGGCGATCCTCTGATTTCTCCCCCGTCGTCATGCCGTCGTCGTACGGTGGGATTATGTTGTTCAAATGTTCAATCTTCTCAGAGATCAATTTTCGCTTCCGATTTTTCAATTGAGCTCTCTCTGGTGCAAGATTGATCTCTTCGACAATGTAAGCTTTTCTCATTCTCGTTTTGACATAATAAACAATCATTTGTTTTGATCACTAGTATCTCTAAAGAACAATTGGTTTGTGTTGAATCATATAGGTTGATTTGAACATGATAGCACAGCATTCCTCATACATTGTGAACAACACCTTGCCACAGTGAAACCAAAGGGCTACTAGTTCTAAGAGCTGAGGAGACTAGTAAGTAGGATTAAGCAAGTGTCCATCTTCTTATTGTTAAAGTACACTACTAAATATCATTTAACTTATTTTTTTTGTTTTGACAATAATGATCCCTTCTTCTTTGATTGAGATGCTTTGGAAATATTGGTTTTATCAAAATATAAAAAATGTGGCGGTGTCTTCCATTCCATGTGCACACACTTGTTTATCGCCCTTTCGTTGAAAGTTAGATGGATGATACAAGATAAATATAGAAGAAATACAAGAGAAACGTCCTTGTCAATGTGAACTGAAATCCTTTTTTTAGTTAACAGCACAAGGCTTGACTTTTCTCTGTCAGTTCATCAATTCAATGGCAGGCACAAGGTTCATGCTTCCTCTCTCTCTCGCTCTCTCTCTAACTTCGGCTTGAAATCTTTATTCAGATTTTGATTCTTCCTTTTTTTTTTTGTTTGTCTCCAGAGTTGCAGTTGTTACTGGTTCCAACAAAGGGATCGGGTTTGAGACTTGCAGGCAACTAGCTAAAAATGGGATAACTGTGATTCTAACTGCCAGGGATGAGAACAAGGGTCTTGCTGCTGTCCAAAAGCTCAAGACTGAGAATGGTTTTTCTGATCAAGCCATCTCCTTTCACCCTCTTGATGTCTCCAACCCAGACACCATCGCTTCTCTTGCTGCTTTTGTTAAGACCCGCTTCGGCAAACTCGATATTCTGGCAAGTTTCTTTATTCTTGTCCTATATCATCCAATCTAGATCTACTAATCTTGGCTCCAATCAGTTTCACTGTCAGATCTTATTAGGTAGTTGCACTTCCCTTTCCAAGATCACTTTTCTTAACTAAGATCTGATCCTTTTTACTTCAGCAAACTTCTTGTTTGTTGCGATTAGGATACATGTTAACTAACAAGGATCTAACTCTGCCATTATCTGAAAAAATAGCAATTCTGTCTACTCTTTTCTGATTTCTTGTTTGGTATGTCTTCAGGTTAATAATGCCGGAGTTGGAGGGGCGAATGTTAATGTCGATGTTCTCAAAGCTCAGATTGCTGAGGTACACTTTCCTACTTTCTAAACCTTATGTTTGAAATATATATTTGATAAACTGCACAAGCTTGAGAGGTAGTCTTACATATATAAGTGATTACTAGTACAGGCTGGTGCACCAACCGATATTTCCAAGATAATGAGCGATACATATGAGATTGTCGAGGAGTGTATTAAAACAAACTACTATGGCGTAAAGCGAATGTGCGAGGCCATGATTCCTCTCCTTCAATCTTCTGATTCTCCAAGAATCGTCAGCATCGCTTCCACCATGGGAAAGTTAGAGGTACGATCTTGATTTCTTCAATCTTTTAGGTAGGGATTTTATGACGGGCCGGTTCTGTAGAAGGCCGATTCAGATCGTGACATATTAGTTTTTAGCCTGGTCATATGCAGGCCAAAATAGACATTTTTGACCGGTTTGAGCTGCTATGAAATCGGCCTTTGCCTGGTTAATCCTCCGATTTTGGTGTTGGATAAAAGGATGAATCTGGTTTTGTGTGTTTAACTGCAGAATGTTTCAAATGAATGGGCAAAAGGAGTGCTGAGTGATGCTGAGAACCTAACAGAAGAGAAAATAGATGAAGTGATCAATGAGTACCTCAAGGATTACAAAGAAGGTGCATTACAAGTCAAAGGTTGGCCAACAGTAATGTCCGGATACATACTATCAAAAGCTGCAGTGATCGCGTTGACACGAGTATTGGCTAAGCGAAACAAATCGTTCATCATTAACAGTGTTTGTCCTGGTTTCGTAAACACAGAAATCAATTTCAACACTGGGATATTGAGCGTTGAAGAAGGTGCAGCGAGTCCAGTGAAACTGGCTTTGGTCCCTAATGGAGACCCATCTGGCCTTTTCTTTGATCGCGCCAATGTCTCCAACTTTTGACTTTTCAATCTTGTGTGTTCTGTTCTGTCTTGGTTTGTATATTTTATTATCTCGTCAATTTAGCTGAAAATAAAGTGAACCCGAAATATCAAACTTGCTTATATTATAAGTTTTTCAAATATTTAAATGGTTTTGTTTTTTCCTCTTGACTAGTACAGTATGAAGTATGATCGGATACTAGTTCAGCTACTCTCTGCCTGTGGCGTTTTTGTGACGCAAAATTGCTATTGGGCTGCTAGAAGGCCCATTAAGTGAGGAGACTATATAAATGCCCTAAGTCTCGGGAAAAAAATGTGTAGCCGTAATTTGTAATTTCCCATAATGAAGCCGGAAAATACTACCGCACCAAGACGGCGGAGCAATGACGATGGTTGTTCTCCGTTCAATCTCAGGTCTCTCAAGCAAGCGATCGAGGCCATAGATGCTGCCAAGGATAATTCAATCAATCTATCGTCGTTGTCTGTGGCGTTATCGGCCGCGAGTCGTGAGATGAAGCAAAGGGAGAAATCTCAGCGTAGGCGAGAAACGAGGAAGAGGAGGAAGAAGAATAAGAAGCTAGTGATCGGAACAAAGCCGGAAACGGACGCAGAATTGCGACGATGGTTTTCAAACTTCGACAAATCGTTCAAACTATCATTGCCGAGAAAGCTCAACATTCATAAAACCTCCAAGGAAGCGCAGATTTGTGAATTGAATACAGATTTCTCGATGAATCACTGCTCTGAATCCTTTAGATATTAGGAACAATGCTTGATTCCTTATAGTTTATATTCATTTTTTCTTTTCCTATTTGATCAGACGTTTTCACTGAAAATGTTGTATTTGTCTTATTCAATGAAATGTTGGAGATGATGCATCTAGCAACATGAGTGCATGCGTTACGCGATCATTAATAATAATGAGAATACCCTTTTTTATATTTATTTACGATCATAGTATTATTTATAAGAATCACATGGCTTCCGAGACACTGTGGGGGTTCTTCATCTACTAGAGAGCTTCTCCAGCCATTTTTTGCACTCTCTATTGTGTTTGATATTGTAGCATTAAGAACACGCAATGCTTATCTGTTCTTTATTCTACAGAGACTGCAATGTTTATCATTATCCTATACCATAAAATCTAACACAAACAAAAAAAAAAAGTATCAAGCAAGACAAATTTAACACCAAGTAATATATTAAAACAGGCACAAACTATGGAACATCTGGACAATGAAACTAGTTTTGTCTTTCCTTCTTTCCCTTTTCTCAGACCGTCTTGGACTTGGGATGTGACGGCAATAACTGCATAAGCGAGAGATTGATGGCTTTAGTCATTGGTTTGATCCCAAGATTGCAATACATATATAAGCAAACTGTTTTCTTGAAATGATCCGGAAAATACCTGATAACAAGAGATCAGTGAGGAGGCGAATCCGAAAGCGCCTGTGACTCGGGGTGTGACTTTCTTTGGAGCCAATTGAAGCAATCCGAATGCAACAACTACATCCATCCCTGCTTTGATCAGAGCCAATGACCTCTCGTTTGATTTCTCTAGTTTTGCACAGTATTGCTCATTCTGCATAATGTTGTATCAAAGTCAGCAATATTTCTTCTTCAGTCCATAGAGAAAGAGAATCAATAGTTTACAACTTGAGGAAGCTTACCTGGTGTTTATCCTTGTTCCCTATCTCTTTTTCTAACTTCTTAATTGATGCTGACAGCCTACCAAGCTCTCCAACCTAAACATCTCGAAAAATTACTAACCATTACACAATGCGGTATTGCATTTGAACCAGAAGTAAGAGATGACAATCCGATGGCACTGAACAAACCTCAACCAAGGATGTGCAGACGGAAGAACCCATCCAACAGAAAAGGGATATACGTCCAAGAAGCTCAGCACGTTCTTTGTCCTATAGCAGCAGATTCATAACAGAAACAGAGAAACCTCAGTTTAACCTGAAGAAAATAAGTCTCTTTGATAATGCAGTCTTCTCCTCACCTTGTAAATCCCAGTCCTGCCAAGCCACACAATTTGATCTAGGAACAGGAACGTTGACAGCAACGCGTTTTTAGACTGCCAAAATCAGAAGATGAATCATAAGATCAATCAATTGTTGGAAAAGAAACAAGCTCCAAAAGCAAGGAGCAACAACAGTACCTTTCCGAGCAGAACAAGCGGAAGTGGAGTCCCTTTGGGAACAGGGCTAATGAGAGCATGAAGATCATTCACAAACTGCACCACAAGAAGAACACCATTTTATTTAGAGCTTATTCCTACAAAGTATGTATCCTCTTCCAACAGGTAAAACTTACAGTCAGATGTCAATGTTCAAAACCCTTTAACTAGATTTACAATGAAACCACTGAGCATAATCACAGAACCGTGTTTTCCTCGAAGGGTCTGAATTACATATTTCCCCATAAGATGTGTGTTCCAGGTGCAAATATTCTAAAAAAAACATGGTGAAACCATGGATCTATACAACTCCCATGAAAGGAAAAAATAGTATTTTCCTGCTAAAGTCACCAACTTAAAACAGGTGTTAGCTAGCTCATACCCTTAAGACTGGTTTCAGGTGAAACTGTGATCTGAAGCTTGATAACAGATAAAGAAACCAACCTTGAAGAGACGGAAAACTTTTCTAGCCAAGCTGGTGGACTTGTCGACATTTTGAGCAGTGCCAGGTTGTCCATCACTCAAGAACTTGGAACCATATTGAATAGCTCGGCAAATCTTGTCCCTCGCCTCCGCTTTATTCAAATACAACACTACCAGACCAAGCTCAGCTCTCGTGGTCTCAAGGGTACTCATTGTTAAGCTCACGAAAAACCTTTAACACCAAATTTGGTTTGGGGTTAAAATCCAAGAAGTCAAAACAAAGAAAACAAGAATCGATCGAACAAGGAAACCCGATTTATTAATCAAATTCAGAACAAAATCTCATCTTAGTCGTGCAAAAGAGTGGTACTTTTGTAATAAGATCTTTAGAGAAACCAAAGTCTAAAAGAAGAAGCCCTAAAATTTCTACCAAAAGTGATAATCAGCCTTGATAGATTCATAAGACAAACAAAAGAGGAGGCAATTCGAGATCCAAGTATATATATACTTTTTACCTTTACGAATATTCTCGTACGAGTATGGAGAAGCAAAACAGAGTAAGAAAGACTTCTCCGATAAGAGGAGCAATTAAGGACATAAATCTCCTTGTGCCAAATGAAGCCGCCAGACCAACGCACCATGATCTATTTCTGACCGTTGATCACGTTGACTTTTAAAAAGTCCCTAAATATATCTCTTTGTTTCGATTTTTGTTTTGTATGGTATTACAAAAACTGGTTACTATTCAGATTCATGGGCCTGTATCTAATATAAAGCTCATATTTATCAGCTTCAGAGAAACAGCCCAAAGGACTCTTTTTAATAGTAAAGTTTTTAACTAACGGTTAATATAAACTTACATCAGCAATATTACACTTTTTTATCTTCGCTTCAAATAACGTCGCATCGTTTTACCGGTGAAAGAAGCTTCTCAGCTTTCCTCTTTCAAGCTTCTCGAGAAGCTTATCGGCGCCGATTACTTCCATCTCCGACAGCTTCTTCAGATACCCTATTGCTCCGTACGACACCATCATTTTCTTACTCTTCTCGCTTCCCGACAACCCCAACAGCCCCGCCACTGCGTACTTCTTCGCCGTGTTTCCAGGGTTTGAATCCAGTAACATCACCAGATTCGTCACGCTCTTCCCGTCTTTCTTCAGTTCCCGTCTAATCCTTCCTTCCGTCACCAATCCGGCGATCGCCTGAGCCGCCGCTTCTCTACATCCGTTTGACTTCGATTCCAGAAGTTTCACCATCTCCGGAATGCACCCGGATTCTCCCACTAGCCTCTTTGTCTCCGGCGAGCAAGTGAAACGGCAAATCGCCGATGCTGCTGCTTGTTGCGCGCCTAAAGATCCTGACTTGAGTACATGTGTCAGTCGTGGAAGCAAATTGAGAGCCACCCATATCTCTGGATTCACCGACGGGATTAGATTTCTCAGTGCCGTTACGGCCGGTTCTTGCGGCAATGGACCGTCGAGATAAGCCAAGAGACTCGGAACTCCTCCTTCCGAAACAATGGCTTCGCGCAGAGCCTCGCTCGCTGCAGTGAGATTCTGCAAACACTCGGCCATGTGTTCTCTTGATCCTAACAATATCCCATGGTTTAGGAGATCGATAGAGACTCTAACCATTCCTTCTTCCGCAAGCAATTGTCTGAGCTCTGAAACTGCTGACATGTTCTTCAGAGCAGCTGCAGACGCAGCTTGTGACACAGAATCCCCTGTTTTACAGAGATCGATAAGCGGTGTGATTCCGCCGTGTCCTGCGATTTCCCGTGCGTTTTCCTCTGTCATGGACAGTCTCTGGATCGCAATTGCAGCTTTTTCTTTGGTTTCAAGACTTCCTGATTCGATTAGCCTCACTAGCGGAGGCAATACACCTTCCGAGATAAGCCACTCGTCGCAGTGTCCTGATTCCGCTAATACACTGATCAGATTCACCGCTTTCTCTCTGATTCTTGTCGAAGTTGCTGTTAGCAGTTGAACTAAAGCTGCAACGTTGGCTCGTCCGATCAAAGGCATAACCATCTTCTCATCCTCTTGCATTGCACCAAGGAGGCTTTCGAGAGCATTGTGTTTTGATTCCATGTGACCGATCTGTAGCCTCGCTAGAAGTTCTTTTAAACTGGAAATTTTGGGTGTTTCTGATGAACTTGAAATGTAAAGAGGTAATGTAGCTTCACCAAGAACGCCGGTCTTGATCAAAACCATACAGTCTCTTAGATTCAAATCCAGTTTTCCGGATAAAGCATCGAGATTGCTCTGCATACGCAGCTTCCCTTCATACTTTTCAGTTGAACACAACTCTGCAAGCTCTATCACTTCACTAAGAGTCTTAGCCACAGATTGCAACTGTTCGTTGCAGAGCTTGTTCTTGGAGAAACAAGGGTGGCTTGAGAGGTCAGATAAACAAGCTGGTATCTGTTCCATCTTTGCGATTATCGTCTTCCATCGTCCTGTAAAATTCTTAACCGTTTTTGCCTTGCTGAGGACGGATGGTATTAGCGAATGGACGCGCGATAGCCATTCTTCTGCTGATTGTTTATCCATGATCATCTGGTTAACTTGCTGCTCTTCTGCCATGGCTCCAAACTTTCCCATGGTTCCCAATTCTGCCATTGTTCCCATTGCAAAAGAATAGAAAATTCACAGCTTTTTATGCTATTTGAACATTTTCTCTCTTCTTGATCTGTGTTTGATAAATCCTAATGAAACCTGAAGAGAAAAACCAAAACTTTACAACCTTATATACATGTCTGAGCCATGAGTTTCCAAGTGTATAGGGAACAAAATATTGAACTTTACCAGATTTCTAGGTCAATCAGTACTGATTGATCGACTCCAACTGCAATTGAAGATGAAGAGAAAAATCAAAACTTTGAGTTTTTACATGTTCAGTGAGAAACATAAAGAAAAGCCAAAACCTTACCTTGTCGCCTTGTTCCTTTAACTTCACTTGAAGAAAAAAGATCCAAAATTCTCCCCAGTTCTCTATGTTCCTCACTGATAATTTCAGATCACAAATTCTGATTAACTGTACTTGGAGATTAATAAAGATCAAAACTTTATGGAACACAATATAGTGAGTAGAAGACAAAAGAAAATATTAAGTTAAGATGAAAACAACATCTAACAGATACACACAAGCCATTGCTTAAGAAAAGAAGGAAGTTTCCCCACGACATATCATTTCGAGTGGTTTCTAGATGCATTTTCATTAAATGCTTCTCCCTAACATATTATTAGAATAACACATCAAACTCATTCACAGCCACGAAATAAACTCACTCTCCATGAACCATCATTGTCAATGCAAAAAAACTTTTCAAAACTCGTAAAGGTTAGTTTCGTGATTGGAGAAAGTTTTCTTAAAAAAGGGGAAGCACAAGCTGTAATTTTCTGATCAGAATGATTCAGTGTGTTGATAGTAACAGAAAGGAAAAATCTGGCTGAGGATTAAAGTTAACTTGTAGACTTTTCTTTGAAGAGAAGTCAATGGGAAGTCTCTGTCTCTCTATTTGTAAGGAAATTAGATACCGAGTGATCTTCTATAATATTGAAATTAGCCCAAAATTTAGAAGTAATCTATAAGGATAATCTAAAGGGAGATTTTGTGTATATTTTTTACCTTCAATTTAGTAGTTGACTTGACTGTTGGTTGCATCCAGCCAAAACTTGATCTGTGAAATTTAGAGAGATTCAGTAAGTATAAACATGTAGAGGTTAAGGAAGATTTTACAGAATTGATGCAGTATGATCTTTAGGCGAGTCACTGAGATAAACACACACACACAAAAAAAAAAAAAAAACTTGTGATGATGAATCTGATTCAAAACAGAAGACCAGAAATGAGATATAGGGGAAAGTGTTGATCTTCTGAATTTAGACAAAAGAATCACAAAAAAAACAGAAGAAAAATGACTCAATTGTCTCTATCGACGATATAGCAATTAATTAAGCAATTATAAGTTAGAGATCACAACTTTAGCTTTATTTTTCTAGTGAATACAAACATCAACCGTAAAGAACCAACCTTTAAGATTCAGAATCTTAAAATACTTTTCATCTTTTGTTTACGAAAATCAAAAAAAAAAAAAAAAAAAGATTGAACTTTTCTATATGCCCAGAAAGCAGAAAAAAAAAAAGCTGAGGGGTGAGAAGTAGACTGCAGAATTAATAAGAAATTTGAACTTTTTTTTTCTCTCTGATTTGAGTCAAAAGGAAGTAGAAAAATTACAGTGAGAAACATTCAATCTGGTAAAGCAATTATGGCAGATGACATTACAAACGTTAAGACAATTTGGATGGAATAAATAATCCCAAAGATACTCACTTACCCAGAAAACCAACCAATTTTGTTGTGTAATGAAGAGAAACTAAAGCGGAGCTGTTGAATACTTTGCAAAAATACAAAGACAAGCTGCTGACTTCTCTTCCTCAAACACTCCAAACGATTATTAAAAATAAAACCTGCTCCTCTCTTCTTCTTCTTCTTCTTTTTTTTTATTTATTTTCTAAATATTTGAAAAGATTCAAATCTCAACACGATTTAGAGAGAGAAAGAGAATAAGAGAGATAAAAGGGACATAGGAGGGCAGAGGACAAAACTAAAGACAACTTCGATCAAATCCCGATTCTAATATGATATAGTATATTTAAAAAAAAAATCCGTATTTCTGTATTTAGATGATTTACTTTCTCGAAACAGTTGACAAAATAAATTATAGAAACAAAATTAAAATACAAAAAAGATACAAGAGTGTCTGGTCGATCTGTCACTGAGATTCTCCTCCCAAGAAAAGAAAAGAAAAGAAGAGTTTCTTTCTCTCCGACGGCTGCGATTCATCTTACCACATTCGATTTCGACCGTTAGATCTTGTTCTGTTTCATAACGTTACACTCATTTGCTGACGTGTCTGTTCCAGAACCGTTCGATCTGGTTAAACCCTGAAACTCTATACCGGCCATTACGGTGGCCACGTGTTGGGGAGAATTTGAATCTGAAAGAATACATTATTTACAATAATATGCTTTTACTTTAGTTATATTACAAAACTGCCAGACATAGAGAGCATGTGTGTGAGATATCTATGCCTATGGCCCTCTTAGAGCATGATTAACAATGGTATCTTAAAAATGGTTCTTAGAAATCTTAAAGTTAAGAACTCTTAGTTTTGGGTCTTAGCTAAGCCACTTTTCTTAGTTTTGGGTCTTAGCTAAGCCACATTTCTTACTTAAGAACTCTTTAAGATACCCTTGTTAATGGTGGTCTTATTATTATTACGTCCTTTTTTCTTCTTTCTTTTTGCGCACACAACATATGAATGCCGGCTTGTTAACATAAAATACATATGACAGATAACCTTTAAAATAGCTGAAACAAAACTTTCAAAATTTAGCTAAAAAATATTTTTAAGAGACATGAGGTTCTCAATGTGATCGGGAAAACTGTCGCAACGACAATCGCAGCCTGCAAATCCTTGGTAAGAGACCCATCTTGTAGTTTTTTTCTTAAAATCATGATAGAAAACATTAATCGGTCGTCCTCTTGGTGTTTCCATAAAAGTAATCTCCTCAGAATCAGTCACACCGCAAAGTGGTGGTGGATATATGTAGTTGTAAGGATTGTCGATTTGAGGAAGACTATAAAATTCTGGATGTGAATACAAGCCTTTGGACCATTCCTGTTTTTCGGGATCTGTAAGAACCCAAATTCCTCCCGTACAACAGAGCCAAGCTAATCTTCCATGGTAGCTTGTTATGATATGTTTCTCTTCCATGAAGCGTTGAAACACACGCTTTGGTTTCCGTATTTCCTTGAACTTTTCAGACCTCACATCAAAACTCACTAACATATCATTATAATCTTGTTTAAAAAAATATAGAATCCCGTTGAGGCATATCCCTCCGATGACATGTCTGTTCCTGCCCCCATTCGAAAAAAGGAGACCAGGAGAGAAGGGTTCCGTTGTCCTCCATGATTCTTGAGCTCCCAATGTAAGAACCCTAGCCTTTTCATTCTTACTACCTGACATACACAACACTTTATATTTGTCGCTGATGGGATCGTATCCAAGAAGAGATCTCAAAGGCCTCGAGAGCTTTGGGTCGGGTAAAACCATATGTTCTCTCAAGGTAGGATTCCAAATGACTACCTGGTCAACATCTTCAAAACAGATCAAACCGGGGATGGAGCTGAGGACTTTACCGCTGACCAACTTGGGACCTTGTTTCGGAAGCATCATCTGATATTTATCCACGCGAGTATAGCATCTTTCGGGATCCTGGTGATGCGGGAGCGAGAAGAAGACCCGCTTATCCTCTTCTTTCATGACCAAGAGAAGAGACGGTCGAGCCGACGAGTGAATATGGAAAGACTTGATGAATTCTGGAGTGGTGGTGACGGCGGACCAGATTTTCGACACGCAACGGAACCTTACCACTGATTTCGCTGGTAGTCTTGACAGTATTTCTATCGTCAGATCAAGAGGAATCCATGAAGATGATTTTGTCTTCATGGCTCTTCTCTTCCAACTCTTCTACGGCGGTTTCTATATCTATCTATTTCTCTCCTTAGGACTCCTATATATATGTAATCTTTTTACTAGATTTTGTACATACCGAAAAGTAAAAAAGGTACTGTATATCAAAATCTCACAAGATTTTGGGAATTAACTCTTTTCCATTTGCCGGAGTTCACGATTTTCAAAGAAATCAAGCAATCAAATTATTATTTTAGTAAATTTTGTTTGGACTTTCCTATTCTTAACCTCACTTTCTCCGATATTTTCATATTATTGAGCCACAAATTAGGGTTTTATTACTGTACCCAATATAAAAAAAGAAGGAAATCACTGAAGTTAAAAGACCCTTGGTCTCCAAGTTACAAAAAAGCAGGGTTTTTTTTTTCTTTTCTTTCTTTCTGAAATACAAAATGGATTCCGTCCAAAACCATTTAGAGAGAATTTCGTTGCTTGAAGAACCACTGTGGATGTCTAATTCCCTGAGTGTAAACACCAAATTCCTCGATATGAGCGAATACCGAAGGCAGTTTTGCAGTGAATCGGCGAGGTGGTTCCCGATGCAGATGGAGGGCGGCGTTAGTACTGTAGCGTCCAAAACCTCGGGTGAAGTTTGGATTTATGATCCTTTACCTTTGATAAGATGGTTCATGAACACGGTAATTCTACTTTTCATCTACTTTTGGGGTTTGAGGTTTACATAGAAACTAGGGTTTTGTTTAAGGAAGTTACCTTTGATACTAGTTAGTCACAAAATCTGACTTGGCCTAACCTCTTGTTGTTCTCAGGAAGCCTGGAAAGATATTTTCTCATGCATCGTCATTGATACTTCAATAGTGCCTGGTGGGAGACGGCTTCCTCCTCCAGATATCAATGAAGACACAGAATTAGCAGAAATAGAGGTATGGATGCAGCACATAAAACAAGTAATCATACCTTTTATTAGTATAGAAATGCATGCATATGCATGCTTCTTATAAAACCTACTAGCTAATTCGACTTGCAGATACAAGCTCAGTTGCAATTACTCACTCCTTTGGTTGGATTGAGAGAAACGATATTCAAGAGGGCTTGTTATCGCCTGGAAGATGGACGATCATGGCTATTGGTGGATCTTCCAATCAATGACTCAAGCCGCTGCCAGCTTCCTTTCATTCGGAGCTGCCTTGTGTGTCCTTCATCAAATTTTCCGGGGTTAGTGTCAAAGGTGATATGGGTCGAAATGTTTCAATATCGCTCTAATGAAGTCCACCCTTGGTACTGTGCCAAGCTCTTTGGTCCCAACGTTGGTTCTGTACACTCTCCAGAGAATGTAGGCGTCTAGCCCGCCTTGGGCATTATTACTACTTTGCTTCAGAAGCACGAAGTATTGTTTCTCAATTATTCCTTACTAATTTCCTTCTCCTTTATATATATATACTCTAATCTAATATTGGTGATTTGTAAATTCAGGGGCAACTCTAGAGCGGCTCGTGATGCGTGCAAAGGAGATGAAAAGACGCTTCTACTCCGGCATTGCTTCTGCAACTCCACGCGCCTTACCAATTGATGATGATGCTCATGAATGCGTGTCCTTTGCCATGGATTCTAACTATTGGGTTGCCGCCAAATCCACCAAGTTCTGCGTGCAACATCACAAGCTATTCGAATCGGTCCAGTCAGTAGATTGTTTGGTTGGTGAGAAGCTTATCGAGATCCCCTCTGACGAGGAGGAGAATTGCATCTCTCTCCACCGCCACACCGAGCATGTAGATAAACGAATGGTGCGTCAGACCTGTTTAGACGAATCCGGAGGGGTTTTGGTGACCGCTCAAATGGACTCAGAATCGCTCGACAACGAAGACGATGTTTCCACCGTTATCACCTCTGCTTTTGGACTCAGCATCCACTCGGATTACGATAGCTCCATCCTCACCATCAGTTATGTGCAACCTCCCTCTTCCTCCTCCCAGAGCCATTGGAAGAAGGAAATTTCCAACGAGATTTGCAACATCATTCAAGATATTGAGTTGCAGAATTTGGTCTAGAGAAACTATGAGTTGAAGAGTCATCATAGTTACTGCTCTCAACTTTGAGTCGTATTCCTTTAACTCTCCCTCTATCTCGTTTACATTGCTCTCAACTTTTGAATTTTTTACTCCTACCTCTTACACATGTGTACGGATACTGAAATTTACTTTTTAAATATTTGAATTGCCAAAAAATTTAACATTTTTTTTTTCACAATTAACTATATTTATATATTTTATCTTTTCGCAATAATAAATATAAAATTGTTGTATTTTTGTTTTGGTCTACTTGCTAGATTGTACAATAGGTGGACTGGACATGCGGAGAATCTCGGGAACACTAGCTACTATTATATAAAGACGAAACTCATCAAAAAGATTAATTTTACCAAAGAAGAAAACTCATCGAGATTCCTCGTTTTTGTCTCCTTTGGTTCTTCAATTTACCTTACTTTGTAGAAACATTCAAGTGTTCAACTTTTATTCACACATCTGGAAGGAATCTTTCCAAGCGCGATTACCATGTTTTATAAGAAACCCTAAGGAACATAAACACACACATATATACACCATGTAAAAAAAAACTATGAACATATAAAAAATGTGAGCTTTTTGTGTTATTTATGGAACATGTCTTATTTATTTATTTCTTTTCACAACGTTTTTTAGTTATAACTGTCTGACTAATTTAGTAGTTTTATAAAAAAAAATTGTAATCCTATTTCTTATAACTGCCACTACGTACAATCTTTTTTTTTTTTTGTGCACCAAATTCTTGATTAAATTAGAAGGATACAAGACGAGTGAGCATATTTGGACATGACCAAATAGCGAGCTTGAAAATTAAAGTACATAAACAGATAATAATTAAACATAGGGACACAAGTTTGAAAAAACTTGATAGGTCTAAACAGACAATAATTAAACATAGGGACACAAGTTTGAAAAAACTTGATAGGAGACCAGGAGAAAACCCACTTATTTACGTCCATTTGAAACTATTTAAGAAATTCATTAGCTGTTTCTTTTTTTCTGGAATAAGAATAAACTCTTACCTAACTACCAAAAAAAACTACTGAATCTTCTTTCAAGAGTTGCAAACTTTGGCTGGCATACAAATATGACAATTAAATTATTTGAAAATGTTGCTTCACATGACAATGATTCATTATTCTCGTCGTATTTGACCACATAATTTTAAATTAATATGTTAACAACCATTATATTATAATGGTATTCTACTATTCTTTGAGGGGATGCATGAATTGAATATCCTTTAATTGGTGTTATCGGACAAATAATAATTTGAATTTAATTTGGCCATGTGATGTCTTATTTACACTAACTACTCATCATTATTTTAAGATGGGACATTAAATGCAAAAATCTACTCCTGTCTTCCTCTCTCACACAAACACAAAATACAAAGGACAATTTATTCATTATAAAGATAACGTCTTGGGAAGAAGAAAAAAAGTGTACATGCAATGTAAATGATTAGATAAAGCCATAAATATATTCATAATTCATTCATAACCTTTCGACCTTATGAGTTATCACGAAAGACCATATACAGTACTAGTAACAATTATGAACTTTTTAGTTGTCAACAAATCATAATCATGAATTTTTGTAAATTAGGTTTTGAGATGACAAAAATGGGTTTGTGCGTCTTGAATTGCAAAACAAATTGAAGACCCTCTTTAGTTTCATTAAAATAAGGCCCAATAATTTCCAACTACGAGTAGTCTTATTGAAGCCCAATTAATAAATTAAAGGCCCAAACTAAAAGCAGTATTTTACATACACAGATACACATCGTCAGTCTCTTCCTCCGACGACCAAACCCGGAGCTCCTCTCTGTGACTGTAATAACACAAAATACCTGGAGAAATAGATTATACATAGAAAGAGAAAGAGAGAGAGAGAGAGAGAGAGAGTGTAAGAACATGGCAAGTACAGAGAAAGTAGCTGAGCTGATATCATCGCTGGAGCAAGCAACTTTAATGGCGCAGCAAATCGGAACCACCGTGGACCAGAACCAGTTACTCCAAATCTCCTTTCTCCGCATAGCCCACCAACGCCTCTCTGCCTTCCTAGCCTCCATCCCGTCGGCGGAAGCCGAGAAATCTTTCTCCTCCGTCGAGCCGATGCAATTAGGAGAAGAAGAGAAGGGAGAGGCTGAAGAGGAGAGATATTCGGCGATGGAGAAGGTGGAGGAGAAGATGAGAGAGTGCTTCATTAGAAACAAGAGACTCAAGCGGCCACTGTCTCCGTCGTCGACTGAAGAGAGGAGTGGCCGTGATTATGGGTTTGATTCCGACCCACATGCCACCAAGTTGAGAGCTTTGGATCTTATCTACCAGTTTCATGGATGATTGTAAACATTGTAGATTTACATTGTAGACAATCAGTAAAGATTCTTTTATGATTGTAAAGACTATCGTTTTGGGATTGCAAAATCAACAATTTACATTACAAAGATTATCTCATAGACAGAAATTTCTACAATAACAAACAAGATTGGGACTGTATCCTACTTACTTCCTGATTCCTGATTCCTGATTGTCTGGATTTTGGTCACATTCGTCTTTCAGCAGCTTGATCTGCATCAATGGCATGTCTTCCTCATCTTGTTGCCATCATTTTTCTGTTTTCAAATGGCTTCGTATAACTCCAAAGCCGAGAAAACATAGATACTGATGATGGTCCTTCTCGTTGGTCTTATTCGCTGGCGATTACGTTATGCAACTTGACAAAGTCATCCAAGGTAAGCTCTTCAGGCCTTGACTGCAAGGTAGTAGAACAAAAAGATATGATTGAAGGTTACGAGAATCGATTTTCTAACATGCCAGTTTCAAGATATGAATTTCCTCTTATGAGCTTGTGGTGATTGATATGATCTTAGAACGAGCTACCCAAGACCTCATATAAGTCATCAGAGAGATTACTCACAGTGACTGGAAGACCAGCAACTCCGAGAGCTTTTTCGATCTCAGGAGATGATGATATGTGCTGGAGGGACTTTCTCAACATTTTTCTCTTCCCATTGAATGCAGAATTCACCTGTTTTGGAATTCGATTCAGATGTTTTGTTGTTAAAAATCTAAGAAATAGTCTGAAGCAAGTTTTAGCTACCAAAGAGAAGAAATTTTTGGTGGACGAAACATCAGGATAGTCACTCGGATGCTTCAGCTTGAATGTTACAACAGCAGCATCAACCTGTAAGGAGCACAAAAAGGAAAAGAAGTCATATTTCTGTAATGGTATCGAAATTTAGTTATGATGAAAGTTTGGAGAATAGAATCAAAACCTTGGGCTGAGGGAAGAAGTTTTCCCTAGGAACTCTGAAATTGTATTCCGGTTCTTGAAACAAGGAAGTTACACAGTTTCTCAGCAAAACTACATTGACGAATTGCAACACATTTAAAGTCAATAATGGATGGAACAAGTACCTGAATAGAAGTTGATCAAAATGTTGATGGGACGGTATTCAGATGTTCGCAGTGCTGGTTCAACCAATCGCAATGCTGCCTCGTCCTAAGATTAGCCAAAATACTTGTCACAGTGAATATATAGCATTTGGAATGATCCTCTAAAAAGAAGTAATGGTTTACCTGGAGTAAGAGAACAACTTTTGAGAAGATATCACCCATAGGAAGTAGAAGCTTCACAACATCAGTACTTATATTGAAAGGTAAGTTAGAAACAACCTGCATCATTAGCATACAATTCCATTGTGTAAATAATAACCTGAGAAACATGTGGTTGGTGGTGCTGAGTTAGTAATAAAATGTACCAAAAGAGAAACTAGAGTGACCTTTGCAAGAGCAGAATCTGGATGTGATAACCTTCTACTCTCTAAAATGGAGAGCATGTGAGAACGGATGTGACACTTGACAAAATCCTCTTGCAAAACCTAGAGAAAATAACCCATTTGATCAGAAATTCAATATTTAACAAGTTAAAGAAACCACACAAGTTGATAGGTAGGTACCTTGAACTTGTCAGAATCAGCAAATCGTTCGGTCACCAAAGCCACCATATGAGGATCCTAAAGATGAAGTTGGAAAATGAGAATAAACCATTTGCTATACATACAAACAAAGGGTGCATTTCTTTCTTGAATTGGTAGCAAACCTTTTCGATGGCAAGAACTGTAGCACCTGAATTGATAAGGACATTGGTTAAAGAACCAGTCCCAGGACCAATCTCTAATACAAAATCTCCTTCTTTCACATCAGCCGCAGAGGCTAGCTGGTCGTTAATGTCCGAATTCAACATGTAATGCTGTGCCAAAATTCAAACATTCTACTTAATGGTGTTCGACCATTTTTCTCAAACAAAGCAGAGAGGATTTAAGTTAATAAATGTATGTATGTGTCTACGAGTGGATTGTGAGAACCTGGCCGAGGGATTTTCTGGGAAAGCGACCACGAGAATTGAGTGATTTGAGGGTTGAGTGGTAATCATCTGGGCTGCTCTTGCTGCATGACACCTTCGTCCTCCGCCGTGAGAACGCGGCAGAGATTTCCCCCAACAGAACCTTTGACGGCCAATTCTCTCCGCTTATCCATGACGGCGACAGAGAGTTGTAGTTGATGATGGTTGATGTTATTACCGCATTCATAATTTCCGATAAGACGAAACTCCTTCTTCTGCTCTCTCTAGTCTCTCTAATCGAATCAGTTTTGTTTTTGTAAGAATAAGAGTAACGTTATGAACCGTATCTATATACATCTTACCAGAAGGTGCTGTGGTGTAGTGGTTATCACGTTTGCCTTACACGCAAAAGGTCTCCAGTTCGATCCTGGGCAGCACCATCTTTTTTGTAATTTTTTAACTTAAAAATGCAAAGTTTCTTTTTTATTTACAGACCAAAAAATTGGGTTTACTCTCAAGTCAGAATCAAGAATGTTAACTATCCAAACAAGAGACGACGCCTGACCGACTTTGAAAGGTTACTACTACCAGTAGAAGTTGCCTGTCTCTTCTTTTCCGCAGAAGCTCTTGAACTCACGCCAGTCTCTATACTTTGACCTGGTGCTGCTTTCGCTGAACGGTAGAAATCGGTAATGCTTCTTTGTACACCCATTGTTGTTGGTCTTGGTGTTGCTGTTTCTTCAGAAACATTCTTCTTTTTCAACTCTCTCAGTTTCTGAGAGTTAAACAAACAAAAACAGTCAAGGACTCAAGGCAAAGGGAAGAAAAGGCAACTCATAGAGATAGGGAGAGAGCGAATTTATTACCTTCTCATGTAGAAAATGCTCTGTTTCATCAGGGAAAGCAGACTCAACAAGTCCTATGCATTCATCAGTTAGCAAGAAGCAGTCACCATTATCATTTTGCACCTGAGGTTCATTTAAACCATCTAACGGATCAACAGACTCTTCTTCTTCCACCAGTTCTTCTTCCAATACAACAATTGATTCTTCTGGCTCGCTTTGACTGTGACTATAACCACTTATAGATATGGGTTTTCTCCACCTTATCACAAAAGACTGATGCCCATATCTAGTTTTTATGCACTTGATTGAATGAAATTCGTATTGATCACATAACAAAGCGTTTCCTGTGTTGTTTCTTGCCTTTTCTCTTAGATAAATGGTCGACAACATCGGAAGCAACATTTTTCTAACATACGATGGGTCCCAGTGCAGTTTGAAAACCATGAGATCCACTAGCATTCCAGTATCAGGAGTTCCCCAAGACATTGACGAGCCATCTTCTGCTTCAGAGGTGCATAAACATTAGGATTCAGAACAATGATCATGTAATAGGGACATGAAAGTCATAAATTCAGTTCATACCTGTCGTCAAACCATCGGATAGATAGAGTTCAATAATCTTTCTGTTGGGAAATTCTGGCGCTAGAGCAATCTTATCACAGACTTTGATCCACCAATCATCGGTTTTCTTCTGTTCCTTTAACTCTCGATCCTTGGAACAAAAGGAGCATTCACATCTAAACCCTAATGGTTTCTTAATACAACCACTATCACAACCACAATGCTCACAAGAGGACTTAAAATGAGTTCTCTTGCTGCCCAGGTGTCCACAACGGGAACAGTGAGGAGATCTTTTTTTCATCTCTGAGCGGAATTCTCCACCATCATCCACAGATTTGATTCCACCAGGAACTGTAGGTTTCAACCCTTTTCCAATGTCCTGTAGTCTGCACAAAAATATCTCAATACATTCAAGAAAATGACCAGTCACCAAAAAGCAAAAACAAAAAGCTTATGGATTATAACCTTTCAAGTATCTCGTCTTCAGAAAACTCACGAACAATGCGGAGTGCTTTATCCACACCAATCCCAAGAACACCGCCTGAATCATAGTCGTTTCCAACCAATAGAGACATAGCTATCAAGTGTTTCCGCTTCAGACCAAGGCCAGACTCGATATCTGACATATGGTAGCATTCAAAAGGCTCCTGCACACAATGAAACTAAGACGATAAAGAGGCCATAAGTGAGTCGGGATAAGGCTCCTGCATTACAAATGAAGACTTACTCTTGAATTAGGCTTGATATCTTTGATCACGCACTTGGCACCAAATAGGAAAGCATCACTATCAGGAGTAATGCAAGCATCCACATAACCTTCGCTGTTTAACTGTGCACAGAGAGCTTCAGCCTCACCATTTGCTTTCAGCACCGGAATACCGAGCAATTCGAGTAGCTCCTAGAAAACCAAAAATTCACAATTAAACAATGTGAAACAAAACAAGTATCAAGGTTTCAAGGGAAAGGCATCTTACCACACATTCCTTAACCCATTCACAAAACAGCTTATTTCTCTCAACGGAGACGCCATCTTTAATCACAGGCAGATTACAAGTATCAATTCCAGAAGACCGGAAAAACCTGGAGATTCTCGCCTGAGATTTTAAAGGTGAAGGTGTTCCATCAACCACAAAAACCGGGTACGCTCCAAACTGCAAAACCCTAAACCGCATTATGATCATCTCGACAGAAAAAACAAGATTTTTCAATCATGCGAAACCCTAAAATTCAAAAAACCCGTAATCCACAGAAAAAGGAACTTCTTTAGGCAACCCAAAAAGGATTAAGGAGACGAAATTGGGAAATTCAGTAGAGAAGAAGAGCGCAGCAATTGAAATAAAAAAGGAACCTTTGAGAAGAGGTTGATAGTACGAAAGAAAGTGAGCCTGAGGTGAGGTTTAAGGACAAAACCCTTAACAGCGGTTTCATGCTGAACGATCCAGAAGGAGAGATCAACAGCGACGCGTTTGTTTCTGAGATAATCAAACCCTTGCTGTTGAGCATAAGGCCTCAGCAAATCCCAGAAATTGCCTCCCACACCCATTCAATCAATTGCCGTAATTGACAAGCGGAGCGGAAGATCACAAACCGAATCGCCTAAACCCACAAGGCGAATTAAAAAAGGAAGGAAGCCGACGGAGAGAATGAATTTCTGACCGTTATGGAGTGTTGTTGGACTCGCTTCTGTTGTGCCTATCTATCTTAGACTATCTATTTAAGGCATCTTCACATCACCCGCCACGGTTATGGGCCTAACAAATAGCCCGGATGATGTATATGTAGCCCATTAAGTCGATTAAGGAAAACAAAAAACTAATTAAAAAATCGCCCACCGTGGGGTTCGAACCCACGACCACAAGGTTAAGAGCCTTGCGCTCTACCAACTGAGCTAGACGGGCTTTGTTGTTCAAGTCTACCACAAAATTAAATAGCTATTTTTATTGAATTGTTTTTTAGAAAACCAGATAAAGCATTTTATGCAAGAATAGACCTTAATTGGTGTACAGTAAGATCTCGCTGAGAGTGAAACACAATAAACCAATTACTTTATATTATGGTGTGTTATCCTTTTAAAAAGGTATTGAATTAAATGAGAAGATACGATGAAAAGGCTTTCATAGTTTTTAAAAGGCTTACGTGTTCCAACTTGGCTTGAAAGCCAATACACAAAGAGATCCTGAGTGAAATGTGAACAAGCAATGATTTGAATCATAGGAAGTGTAGAAGAAAACTTGGATATGATATGAGTAATATTAAGTCACGCCCCAATTATTGTTGCGTTTGACCCCTCTTCATTTAATGTCCACCTACCACTACCGGCGGTGGAAGCTGCCTGCATCCCCCGTCCTTCTTCTAAACTACTACCTGTTTTCTTTTTTCTTTTCTTTTTCAAAAACATAATTCACATGTCTTAGGTGAAAATTTGCACCTAGTAAAGCTGACTTAGATTTCTCTACGTGTTCCATATTCTGGTTGGCGAATATTTCTATCATCCAAACTCTTCCAAAGTGATATTTATCACAGTTTGTATTTGTTTGTTTTTATTGGTAAATATAAATGAACCGACGTCTCCTAAAGCAACATTAAGTAACAGACGGACCCGCACAAGAACCTCACAGCAGCGACAGTTACAAACATATCATATATTTCATTTAACCTTTTCGTATATATTACTCTTTCTAGTCACATTTTCCTCAGCTCTCACAGCTCACAGTATTCACACGTCACATATCTATTTTATGTGTTATATACCCACATAGACGAGTCCTAAGAATCATAGGTAGATGCATCGCTTTCTTTTAATGCTCTTATTTCCCTTTAGCGACAACCGTCCCATGATGTTCTTCAGATCATTCGTCGTTTTCTTCTTTCTCATTTTCTTCACATCAAATGTTTCGTCTCATAAACAAACCTACGTGATCCACACTGTTGCTGCCACCACCAAACACATCGTAACTTCACTTTTTAATTCACTCCAAACAGAGAATATTCACGACGATGGGTTTTCTCTCCCGGAGATTCACTATATTTACGAAAATGCCATGTCCGGTTTCTCCGCGACTCTCACCAACGACCAGCTTGAGACGGTGAAGAACACAAAAGGGTTTATCTCTGCTTATCCAGACGAGCTCTTATCTCTACACACGACATATTCTCACGAGTTTCTTGGTCTCGAATATGGGATCGGACTTTGGAACGAGACGAGCCTATCTTCCGACGTCATCATCGGCCTTGTGGACACAGGGATCTCTCCGGAGCACGTGAGCTTCCGAGACACTCACATGACCCCGGTCCCGTCTAGATGGAGAGGTTCGTGCGATGAAGGCACAAACTTCTCTTCTTCGTCGTGTAACAAGAAGATCATTGGAGCTAGCGCGTTTTACAAAGGCTACGAATCCATCGTTGGAAAAATCAATGAAACCACTGATTTCAGGTTTGACGGTTGAAATACCTATTAATCAGCCCTCTGTTTTCAAATTCTATTGATCTCACATTGTTTAGTCTCTAAATGTTAATGGGAATAATGTGAAGAAAAACTTCCAACTTTAATATCATGCAAAGAGAACTCGATTAAACAAATAAGAATTAGTTAGAAACGTTGTCTAGCTCCGTAACGTTGGATCGAACATCGTTTCGTTTGGAGAACATAACATGACCTTCCTCTGAAAGAATTGATTAAAATGGACAAAATCAAAATCTTTTCGTAAGAATTCCAATGACTTTAACTAGATTTTTTTTGTTAAGATGGGTTCTCATTAATTAAAAGTTATTACTAATGGTTCCATAGGTCGGCTCGAGACGCACAAGGACACGGGACGCATACAGCCTCGACAGCTGCCGGAGGCATTGTCCCGAAAGCGAATTATTTCGGGCAAGCTAAAGGTTTGGCTTCAGGGATGAGGTTTACTTCGAGGATCGCTGCTTACAAAGCTTGTTGGGCTCTAGGATGTGCCAACACTGACGTCATAGCAGCCATTGACCGAGCCATTTTAGACGGTGTGGATGTGATCTCTCTGTCGCTAGGTGGATCATCACGCCCGTTTTACGTGGATCCCGTCGCGATCGCCGGGTTCGGAGCGATGCAGAAGAACATATTCGTGTCTTGCTCTGCGGGTAATTCAGGTCCAACTGCATCCACAGTGAGTAATGGAGCTCCGTGGTTGATGACTGTTGCTGCCAGTTATACGGACAGGACGTTTCCGGCGATTGTCCGGATCGGGAACCGTAAAAGCTTGGTCGGATCATCCTTGTATAAAGGGAAAAGCTTAAAGAATCTGTCTTTAGCGTTTAACAGAACAGCTGGAGAAGGAAGCGGAGCCGTGTTCTGTATCCGGGACTCGCTCAAGAGAGAACTCGTCGAGGGTAAAATCGTCATTTGCTTAAGAGGAGCCAGCGGCAGAACCGCGAAAGGAGAAGAGGTGAAACGGAGCGGAGGAGCTGCCATGCTTCTTGTGAGCACAGAGGCGGAAGGAGAGGAGCTTCTTGCTGATCCTCACGTTTTACCGGCGGTTTCAATTGGCTTTTCCGACGGTAAAACCCTACTGACTTATCTCGCCGGCGCAGCAAACGCCACCGCCGCCGTTCGATTCAGAGGAACCGCGTACGGTGCAACCGCCCCGATGGTAGCCGCGTTCTCATCCAGAGGACCTAGCGTCGCGGGACCTGAAGTTGCTAAACCGGACATTGCGGCTCCCGGTATGAACATCCTCGCCGGATGGTCGCCGTTCTCGAGCCCTAGCCTCCTCAGATCCGATCCAAGACGCGTCCAATTCAATATCATCTCGGGAACCTCCATGGCTTGTCCTCACATCAGCGGAATCGCCGCTCTAATCAAGTCCGTTCACGGAGACTGGTCACCGGCGATGATAAAATCGGCAATCATGACGACGGCGAGGATCACGGACAATAGGAACCGACCGATCGGAGATAGGGGCGCCGCGGGAGCTGAATCGGCGGCCACAGCGTTTGCGTTTGGAGCGGGACACGTGGATCCCACGCGAGCAGTAGATCCGGGGCTGGTATACGATACCTCCACCGTCGATTATCTCAACTACTTGTGCAGCTTGAATTACACGAGTCAGAGAATACTCTTGTTCTCCGGCACTAACTACACGTGTCCTAGTAACGGCGTCGTTTTGAGTCCCGGCGATTTGAACTATCCTTCCTTCGCGGTCAACTTCGTTAATGGCGCGAATTTGAAAACGGTGAGATATAAGAGGACTGTGACGAACGTTGGGTCACCGGCTTGTGAGTATATGGCTCACGTAGAGGAACCCAAAGGTGTGAAGGTGAGAGTGGAGCCGAAAATTCTTAAGTTCCAGAAGGTGAGAGAGAGGTTGAGTTATACGGTGACGTTTGATGCAGAAGCTTCGAGAAATACATCTTCGTCTTCCTTTGGAGTTTTGGTTTGGATGTGTGACAAGTACAACGTCAGAAGCCCTATCTCCGTGACGTGGGAATAAATTTCGCTTTTTTATTTATACCAAAGAAACTTTATTGTGAACATCTATCTCTTATTTACTGTAATTGTTTTTATGAAAACATTTATTTTTTTTCTCTGTTAAAAGACAAGTCTGTATGTCACAGAGACCCTTCAACTTGATACTAAAAGCTGATTTAGTCGACGATTTCTTGGTAGATAGATTCTATATGTAGTCTTGATTATTACAAATGAAAAACAAATCCAATGCATAACAATAAAACAACGCAAAAGATGATTCTGCTTGATCCTGTTTCCTGTCCTATAAAGAGTTGTTGCTAGATGAGGAACTAGAGAGAAAAAGATTCAGTTTTAATTTTCCACCTATAAATTGTTCAAAACATAAACATCAATAAACCCAAATGAAAACGCAGATCCAGAAGACCCCCATGTAGAAAGCAAGTGAGTTCCGAGAATCTGGCGAGGAAAGAAACTTACCATTAAAGGGAAGAACATAGCCTTATCTTTTTACCCACTCTTGACCCGTTCGAGTTCTTCTTCAGCTGTTTTCAACTGCAGACGCAATGTGTGTACTTTCCGCTCCAGCTCCTCTACATTGCTTCTGCTAGTGGTAGGATGGTACGGCGTCAAGAACTTATGTGAAAACGCCTTTAAGGCTTCAACCCCTGTCACCTGTGATCCAAACATCCACAACAAGTGTAAATCTCAGGATGTAAATTATATAAGGCTTTGTTTTCATTATCGTTTTGATTATGTTCCTTCTCATCAATAATGAATGTCATGCGTTCTTACCTCTTCCGGAAGCAGAGGAAGTTTTGTGATATTGAAGTCATCGTATAGCATATAAAACTGATCAAGATACTTCTGTTGCATCCGCATCCTTGCTCTGAGCAACTTGGATTCCACATCTACAGTAGAGATAAGTGTCAATAATTCGTCATATTTGTTTGTAAAACAAGTTTGAAACAAGAAGATAGACACAACTGCAAATAAATAGGCACCTTCGTCATCGTATAGTACTTGGTTGATGATAATGTTATGCGTGTCGATTTCAAACTTGGCAAGTTCCTGAACAAGTCTCTCTGTTTCATAGAGAGACAAGAACTCGGGGATGCAGACACAGACGAACGTAGTCATATCCTGCGTAATGGATCCAAATGTGTCAATTTCTTATCTTAAAATGCAGAGATATGTATCATAATTTTCACTAATGCAGATGAATGCTGTCAAACCTTATGCTACAAAACAATGTGATGCATCTAAAACTAAAATTCACGAACAGAGTTAAGAAAACAGTCAATGAGTACTGAATATAGCAAAGAACTAAAACAGTTGAGCAAATGTTACCGGGTCTTTGAATTGCCGATTTACTTGCTCAATCACATCTTTCAAGCCCTCAAGTCTTCCCAACAGAGCATCCTCTCCAAACTCATCCTCTATGCCAAACATACGGCTCATCTGCATTACCAAGCAGCTCCATGAAAAATCAGCCAAAAAAGAAACCAAAAGAGCAATATCAATTGCCAAGCAAACTGAATTTCAAAAGCTTATAGACATGCCTGAGTCATCAAGCCACCAAATCTACTCTTCAATGACATCAACTTGGAAAGTCCCTTTTCTAGTGTGGCTGGAAACTGTAACAGGCGGAGAGTATGTCCAGTTGGAGCTGTGTCAAACACAATAGTAGCATAATCCATTGTTTGCACCAACCTAAGGAAACATACACATGTAAAAATTAGACTGTGATAATACATGGATAAAGCCAGATGATCATAAAAAGAACCAAACGGCTATTTACTTCAACATCTCAGCAAAACTCATGGCCTCATCGATTCCAGGAATCGCATTAGCCAAATCAGAGAATAAACCATCCATCCCGTCTGCACCAGCCAGGTCATCAGTTTCAACGGTAGGATCCACCTCCTGAGAAAAGCAAACAAGATTCACTCACTATGAGGAGGGAAGGAGGAGTGTGAATCGTATTGAAAGAAGCATTTGATTATAGTAGTGTAATGTATACACATATACACAGACACACCTAAGAGCTTGAAGCTTAAAAGATTAGCCATAAACTCATCATCAATTTAAGTATAATGGCCAAAAATTCAATTTGATTTGGGGACATCAATACCAAGAATACAAATTGGCCGCCAAGTTCGTATTATAAAATTCCAAACCTAATCCCCAAAAGCAGAGTGGGCATATGATAAGAAAGGTACAAATCATCCCGAAGTAGTAAATCTGACTACAAGATAATAATTGATCCATCAATCAGCGGTTTGAAATTTGTGAATCAGAGAACCCTAATTTCCAATGAGATCAAAAATGGAGCACGATCTAGAAGAAAATCGGAGAAAGCTTACCATGGCAAAGAGATTAGAGAAACCTTGAACCAAAGTGGGGGATTTAGTGAAGCGTTGCTGAAAGGCATCACTAAGATTGTGAGCAGGATCGGTGGAGATGATGAGAACGGAGGATCGAACACTGGCGAGACAAATTGCGAGAATTGAACTGCATGTCGTCTTCCCCACACCTCCTTTACCTCCGACGAAAACCCATTTAAGAGACTCTTGGTCCAGAATGTTCTGTACCGTGGCCTCCGGCAAATCCGCCGCCATTGCTATTGCTTCTTCCACTTGTGAGATGATGATATTTGGCGTACGGAAGAGTTTAACTGCGGCGAGAGACTTTTACGCCGCCCGGTTCAATTTTTCGGTTTTGGAATATCACAGCAGTCTTGCTTTGATTTGTTTGGTTCTCGTTAATTTTAATTCCGTTTATCCGGTTTGTTCAAGATCATAAAAGCCCAGTGTGGGTGGATACAAAAAAGCCCACATAGATGAAGCCGTACGACATCGTTTTGGATTGAAAACCCCTCTACTCGGTGGGTTAAACCCGCCTCCGGCATATTGATCTTCGTCGGAGGATATGGCGATTTCAGAAGAAGAAGAAGCCAAACTCGAAAGGTTCCTAGATTGGCTTCAGGTTAGATCCGTCGGTATTATTTTTGAGTCCTGATTTGCTCTTTACCCCTCTGACATTTGTGTAATTTCATTCAGGTGAATGGAGCTGAATTAAGAGGCTGCAACATCAAATATTCTGACTCCCGAAAAGGATTTGGCATATTCGCTTCCACTGAAACTTCCGATGGTATATATTATCTCCACTCTCCACTGAAACTTATGATGATAGCTCATTTCTTCTGATTCAGCTTTGTAAAATTTCAGATGTTTTGCTTGTTGTTCCACTTGATCTGGCCATTACCCCTATGAGAGTTCTTCAGGACCCTCTCCTGGGCCCTGAGTGCCAGAAAATGTTCCAAGACGGACAAGTTGATGACCGCTTTCTCATCATTTTATTCCTCACTTTCGAGCTTCTTCGTATCAATTCTTCGTGGAAGCCGTAAGTTTTTTTTATCTCTTAGCACAGATTTACGTAAGCTTAAGGGGATTTATCTGTCTAGAAATTTATATGATAGGTATCTTGATATGCTTCCTACTCGATTTGGCAATCCTCTTTGGTTTTCTGATGATGACATCCTTGAGCTCAACGGGACTAACTTGTATCACGCAACCGAGTTACAGGTCAACATTGATCATTTATTCCTCCTTATCATATCCTCCTAAAAATAGCAACCACATTGATTAAACCAATCATTTGGAAGACGACCATCGTGTATTCATTTCATTCTTGTTTGATGTACTGCCTTTTCAGAAGAAGAATTTGCGGTCGCTTTACCATGACAAGGTGGAGGTCCTGGTGAAAAAGCTTCTTATTTTGGATGGCGATTCCGAAAGGTTGACATTTTACACTACTTTAGACCAAATTATTGTTCATTGATGGCCAGCCAATCATATTTTGTTTTCTCTCTTCGTGCAGCAAGGTCTCCTTTGAACACTTCCTCTGGTATGTTTGGTAGTGGTGTTATTCCTTGTTAGTAGAACCAGACTTTTGTGTGTTGTAAAGGGCTGCTGAGTAATCTTGAGACTTTTTTCCATTATCCCAGGGCAAACTCTGTATTCTGGAGTCGCGCCTTGAATATTCCTCTTCCACATTCTTTCGTGTTTCCACAAAGCCAGGATGATATCGGGGAATGCCCATCAACAAGTCATTCACCGGAAACGGCTCCAGTTAATTCTAATGAGGAAAAAGGCAAGTCATTAACGTTCGGTCTGCTGAATTCTGTGTGAAATGCCTTTTTTATTATTATTATTAGTCTGGCATGTAACTACAACTTCATGAGTTTCTTCATTTTCTGATGGGTAGAAATTCAGGCTCAACCTGGTGCGACATCTGTAGGATCCGGAGATACAATATGGGTTGAGGGGCTTGTTCCTGGCATTGACTTTTGCAACCATGGTATGCCAATTTTTGTTTCAAAAATTTAAATAGATCCTACTGTCAGTTTCTCTGTTCCATAATGTTGATATGGTTAATGAGTGTATCCCAGTGTGATGTGATATGATGTACTATGGTTATGGCAGTATAGATTTGAAACCTATGGCGACTTGGGAAGTTGATGGGACCGGATCAGTGTCTAGGGTTCCTTTCTCCATGTACCTTCTCTCCGGTTGGCCAATTTTTGTTTGTGTTACCTCTCAGCTTTCTACAGTTTTTCAATCAAACAATATGAAACATTTCTTTTTCTCTCTTCTTTTTGATCTGTATGTGGAAAACTAAGTGCTACAATTCTGTAAAGCAGTTTCTCAACGTCCTATCCCAAACAAGGAGATCTCGATCAGTTATGGTAACAAAGGAAATGAGGTAAGATGTTTTGCAGTTCCTGGCAGCTTCAATATTTTGTTTTGTTTGCTTAATATGTTGTACAACTATATAGATTTTCGAGTTGTGGACTTGTCTCTTGGTAAATTATCACATCTAGCCCTTTGTTTGAGTGATGTGCCTTCTTGCTGCATGCAGGAGCTTCTTTACCTGTATGGGTTTGTGATAGATAACAATCCAGATGATTATCTCATGGTAATTTTTACTTCCACTTTCAACAGTTCCCTACCTTTTCAACCAGCGATGTATTATAAGTCTTGAGGATGTTGACAAACATAACTTTCAAGATCAAGAAGATGCTCGTCAATTTTGTTCTCACATTTTTAGGAATAACAATGGATTTATCCAGGTACATTATCCTGTTGAGGCGATTCCGAGTATCCCATTTTCTGATTCCAAGGGGCAGCTGCTTGAAGCTCAGGTTAGCAGTACAAGTGTTCACACTAATCTTACCCAAAGTTTTGATTATAGACCCTATAAGACAATGTAGCTCTTTAATACATTTTATTTTAATGTAATATGTAACTGTCGAACTCTGAAAAATCTCATTGCAGAATGCTCAACTCCGGTGTCTCTTACCAAAATTGGTCCTAAATCATGGGTTTTTCCCACAAATCACATCAACAATTAGAGAAAGTGATGAGAAAGAAACAGTGAGATCCTGTAATTTCAGTTGGTCTGGGCAGCGTAAGATGCCCTCATATATGAATAAACTAGTTTTCCGAGAAGATTTTATGACTGGCTTAAGGACCATTGCCATGCAAGAAGAAGAGATTTACAAGGTCTCAGCTATGCTTGAAGAGGTATGATCACCGTTTTTCTTTCTTCTGACATCATTTCAACTTAAACCCATATCCTACACAAAAGATCTCCATTTCTGAAAGACTGAAAAGTAGTGACTTGGGAAACGAAGGCGGAATCATAAATATCCACAGTTTGTCTTACACTAGATATTGAGACACAAGTATTGTTTTCCTGAAAGCTTGTAGAGTCAAGACCAGGCGAGCAACCTTCTGAAACTGAGGTCAGGATGGCGGTATGGGAAGCATGCGGGGATTCTGGAGCTTTGCAGTTACTTGTGGATCTCCTTAATGCAAAGTAAGCAGTTGAATTTGTTACCCGTGACATGAATTCTAAGGGCTAAACTAAGATGTTTGTCTGTGGGATGAGAAGAAAATTGCAGACCTCAATGCTTTTTGTCCTGACAGGATGATGAAGCTGGAAGAGAATTCTGGCACTGAAGAACAAGATGCTAGGCTCCTTGAGGAGGCGTGCGTCTTAGAGAGCCATGAAGAAGCGAGGTACAATGTCAAAAATCTGTGGACATGTTTAGATATTGATTAAAAATGTTAACAAAATATGTGTTGTGGTAGGGACTTGGATGGGAGAAGGATGAGCAGAAACAAGTGGTCAAGTGTAGTGTACCGTAGAGGACAGAAACAGCTCACAAGACTGTTCTTGAAGGAGGCAGAGTATGCCCTTCACTTAGCTCTCTCCTCTGACTATTGACTATATAGCGGTGTTTTGTTGTAGATTCCCTTGTTTTAAACATAATATCTATTTCAAATGCTAAATAAGTAATTATGGTATAACAATTATTAGTGTGTGGCACCAAATTAACGGTCTATTGTATATTTACATATATATATATTTTTAGTAATACCCAAATCTTTTATCTAAATCAATATAAATCTTTTCATCCAAATCAAATCTGTTGAATAATATCCAAAATCAATAGGATTTGCAAAGATTTGGTAATATATATGATAATGCTAAAGGTTTGTTTTTTCTGAATTACTAAGAGGTAATAAAAAAGCACTAAACTATTTTATTATGTAAAACACCTAATTATTATTATTATTATTATAATCCGAATATGCATTGTAAAGAATCGGAAAAAAAAAGAAAGGAAAAGAAACTCAAAGTAATGTAATCTGTTTTGCTAATAATATGGTATTGTCATGCCTTGGGCTTTAAGATCAAGGACGAATTTCTCATACTCCTCGTTGATCCGTCGATACTCGCTTAAGTATCGAATTGTTTCGTCTGAAAAAGACTTGGCGATTCGCTTCATACGTTTCTCGATTGACTTCCTTGCCTTGGTCTTTGTTCCGACATCATTAACTGCAACCTTGATGGAACTGAGATCAAAAACATTATTATCGGTTTCACCTTCCTTCGTCCGCTGTCCAGCACTGCCGCTATCGGTTTCACCTTCCTTCGTCCGCTGTCCAGCACTGCCGCTACTCTTTCTTTCCGGTTTCATATTTGATGAACTTACAACTCTTGATCCTTTAGCCAAAAAAAAAAACTTACAACTCTTGGTGATGTGAAAACAAGGCTACAAGCATCTATATATATATGGAAATATTGAGGAGTCGGTTTGTGGTCTAAACGGGCCTTTTAAAAACAAATTTGTGTGAGGCCCAATTATTGAGTCGGTAATGTTGTGCACTTTGTTTGATGATACTCAGAGCATGAATATTGGTTGAAATGTTGGGTATCTTAGATAAATCTTACGATTAAAGTTGATTAAAAATAATCAAACCAACATCTTAAAGCTAAGATTTGTATCTAAGTTAAGATGTTTTTCTTAACTTAAGATGTTGCAAGGTGTCACATTGTGATTGGTTAAAAAAACATTTGTGTTTTATGTTATAAATTGTATCTCATGTATGTTTTAATTTTTTTAATTTGCAACAATTATTAAATTTTCTATAATTATAAATTTTATTTTTATATTAATATTTTTTTTTTCTAAGAACCACATGTTAAGAACCTACCATTAATCACACAAAAATCTTAACCCAAAAATACTATTTCTTACCTATCACTTTTACAAATATATTACTTAAATATTCCTAAGATTTATTTCTAAGATACTACCAATAATCATGCTTTCACTCTTGTATTTTCAAACTCTTTCCCCCCCTTTAACTATAACTAGGAGTTAACCAATATTTTATTTTTATATATAGTAATGTTAGATTTTTGTATTTTGTTTTTAGTAGTGAAGTTATATGAGTTAAACTTTTGGTATATGTAATCGACAGAAACTTCTCTGTCATTGTTGAACAAAACACTTTCAGCGTCGTCCATGATTAAGCATTTAAGCTTTTTCTGATAGAAACTTTTGTCACCACTTTGAAGACTAAAAAATAGTATATTTTTATCAATAATCTTTTGAGCATTCTTAGTGTTCGTGAGAAAACTAAGAAATGATGAATTTGGTAAAGTTTGTTATTTCTCACAATCGTTCTGTTACAAGTGGTTCACATTATATAGTAAAATCACCAAATCCGGTTTACTGGTACAGATACTAATTTGCCCGGTTTACTTAACCGATGAACAAAATCTTATATTCCTCGTCCTTTTCTTTCTCGCTTACCAATCTAAAAACTTTTGGGAAGCTTCTGATGGAGAGAATTAACCTCCCGGTTCAATTTATTGCTTTTCGGTTTTGGGAATAGCTGTTCTTGTGGTTTGGAGGGCAAACCCGGCAATCTGGTTTAATTTTTGGTTATGGGTTTAGTTCATTTATTCGGCTTAGATTTGCTAAACACTAAAATTGATCGGTTTACAGAGAAAAAATCATCCCCAAACCCAAAATTATATAATCCGATCCCATTTAATAAACTCGACCTCTCTTCTTTCGTCTCTCTCCTCTCTTCGCGGAAGAACAAAATCTCGAGCTTCTTCTTCGCGAATCCTTAATACTTAATCTTCTTGACATTCAACAATGGTGCGATTCCAATCTGCTCAAAGGTAACTAGGGTTTTCTTTGATGCCGATTCTTTTAGTAGTTAAGTTCTTGAGTTTGCAACGTTTGAGTTTCTTCTTCTTTACAGGAGTTTCTTTGACCTTAATCTGCTCCCGGAGCAAGAACCGGAATCAGATCATCAACCTAATCTGCTGCCGGAGCAAGAATCAGATGATCAACCGGCACAAAAGAAATTTCCTTTTCGAAAAGCAATTGGGTTCAGATTTGACCCTACTGATGTTGAATTAGTCTTGGGGTACCTTAAGCCGTTCTTAGAAGGAAAAGCGTTGCCAAAGAACAAGATTCATGTGAAAGATATATACCTTTATCACCCTAATCAACTCCTAGGTACTGGAGCAATAGTATTAGCATGCTTATGCTTTTGTGTACTAGTATTAGCTCGCGAAGATTGTCAGACGCATGAAAAACGAAGGAAGATTGATTTTTTCTGATATTAGGTAGAGAGATTAGAGGAAGAACAAGTCAATAACTTCTTCCTATCTTATAGGGATATCATATTTTCCACGTAGAATTCGTTTCCTGACTTGTAGGATTCTACTTCTGCTTTGTGTATATAATGCTACCTGTAACTTTATTCAATACAAGAGACTCATTCTCCACAGAGATATATGTAAAGGCTTCAGTATGTATTAGTATAAGCTGCTTTTAATTTTGTTTGTATAGTGGAGTTCGAGAAGGGCAATGAGAAAGAACTTTTCTTTTTCACCCCTCGGAGCCTGGTCTGCAGTGGAGGTGAAAGGGTTGCTAGATCTGCTAATGGTGGGTTCTGGCACTCAACTACTGGCTCAAAGGACATTATCATTGGAGACACTGTGATAGGTGTGAAGCAATGTTTTAATTTCTTTGATGGGAAGCTCCTCAATGGAAGGCGCCCAAAAGAAGGAAAGACAAATTGGCTAATGATAGAGTATCGCTTGGTTGAGTTTCACAAAAGCATCAAGAAAAGCAGCAGTGTGAAGACTCCTACGGTATGTGTATGTCTATGTGTATGCAGGTAAATTTGATTTCCTTACTAGAATGTTTCATGCCTGATATTTGTTCCTCTTATATTCTTACAGAGGGTGGTTGATTTGAACAGAAGTGGTAGTGAGGCAAGCAGCAGCCTGATGGAGATGGTTGTTGATGGGAACAGAAGTGGTAGTGAGGCAAGCAGCAGCCTGATGGAGATGGTTGTTGATGGGAACAGAAGTGGTAGTGAGGCAAGCAGCAGCCTGAAGGAGATGGTTGTTGATGGGAACAGAAGTGGTAGTGAGGCAAGCAGCAGCCTGATGGAGATGGTTGTTGATTTGAACAGAAGTGGTAGTGAGAAAAGCAGCAGCGTGAAGGAGATGGTGGTATGTCTTTGCATGATTCTAATATAGGATTTAGTTATTAGAATGGATGGATTAATCCGTGTCTTGTTTGATATTCTTTGCATGATTCTAATATAGGTTTTAGTTATTAGAATGGATGGATTAATCCGTGTCTTGTTTGATATTCTTTTACACAGGTAACTCATGTGTTATCCAAGGTTTATTACAAATACGAAGAAGACAACAAAACATATGCATATGCTGAATTCATCAAGACACATCAAGAGCTTGTCATCCAAGACGAGAAGATATGGGAAGACATGCAAGAAAATGATGAAAAACATTCCCGGAAGAGAACCTGTACTTAGACTGGTACATATATATATATATATATATATGCTGCTACTAGTTTGTTTATGTCGCTTTTCTATGCCTATACATTATATCTATATTGTGCAGGTGGAGTTTGGTGCTGTGGCTTGTGGGACCTTGCGAGTACATATTGTTGATATATATTTGGAGATTCCTCAGCTAAGACTGCTGCAATTTGTCCTCTGCCTTTCCCTTTCTTTGTGATATATCTAGAGAAAAATGCAACCACAAGTTCTGATATTCAATCCATTTGATATACATTTGGATATTATTCAATCCCTTTATTACTTCTCTGGTGTATTTCTTTGATATCATCATCTAATTCTTTGTCTAGTTTTGCTTCTTTGGCTATCTATGCATATTTGTCTTAGTCTTTAACTCCTGCAAGCTTCTCACAGAGGTTGTAGCGGCTCTTGGAGGATTTTATCCTAGAGTATAACTTCACCATCCTTATCTCATTGAAGCACTCGAATTGTTCTCTGTTTCAAAAGTCCCAGCGCCACTCCAAAACTGCTAAGGTTATGAAAGGGGTAAAACTCCTCTTGCGCAAGCTTGCAAATCAGGTAGGCCTGAAGGAAAATTGTGGAGGGGCAAGTTTTTACTGTCCCTGGACATTCTATGGTTTCATGCTGTTTCTCAAACACAATTGTACCGGCGGGGATACATTTGAGATTTGACCCCTGGAATCTCGTATCCCAAACATTTTCAAACTTACAGTTTCACTCACTGTCGGAGCAGGCCTAGTAAATTAAGCTCCGCAGTTGAATCGCGTGGGCCCCGCCAGATAGAAATTGAATTTTACGTTTTTTCCAAAAACAAAAAAAATTGATTTTTTGAGTTAATAATATTTATAATCGAGACTGAATTTGTGTTTTGGCTGTAAGATCGTCTCCGGCGTGTTGGATCTTCGCCGTACGATAATGGCGATGTAAGAAGAAAAAGCGAAACTCAGATTGTTCTTATACTGGCTTCGGGTTTGACCTCTCGGTTTTCGGGGATTTATTTTCACTTCTTATAAATGGGATTCGATTTTTTTTTTTTTGATGAATTTCAGGTGAATGGAGCTGAATTACGAAGCTGCAACATCAACTATTCGTCTATTCCCATTCCCGAAAAGGATTTGGCATATTCGCCTCCACTGAAACTTCCGATGGTAAAATATCTCCTCGTTCCTGTCTGTGTATGAAATCCTATGGTAGCTATTTTTTGCACATGTTTTGCTTGTTGTTCCGGTTGATTTGGCCATTACTCCTCCTATGAGACTACTTCAGGACCCTCTCCTGGGTCCATAATGTCAGAAAATGTTCCAACTTGATGACCGCTTTCTCATGATTCTGTTTCTCACTTTGGACCGTCTTCTTGGAAGCCGTGAGTTTGTATCTCTTTGCCCCCACAGATTTACTTCACTTCATTGATTATCAAGCATTGCTTTAAGGGTATTCATATGTCAAAGACATGTTGTGCTACGTATCTTGATATGCTTCCCACTCGATTTGGCAATCCTCTTTGGTTTTCCGATGATGACATCCTTGAGCTGATAAGGACAAACTTGTATCACGCAACCGATTTACATGTGTACATTTGTTCCACTATGTTGTTTATCATATGATCCAAAATTTGGCAGCCACATTTTCTCTTTTCATTGATTCAACCAAGAATTTGGAAGATGGCCATGGTAAACTCATTCTCTTTTGATGTACTGCCTTCTCAGAAGAAGAAATTGCTGTCGCTTTACCATGACAAGGTGAACAAGCTTCTTATTTTGGATGGCGATTACATGACAAGGTGAACAAGCTTCTTATTTTGGATGGCGATTACGCTACTAGTACTACTATAGATAAAATTGTTGTTCATTGATGGCGACCCAATCATATTTTGCTTTCTCTCTTCCTGCAGCGAGCTTCCTCTGGTATATTTCGTAGTGGTGTTATTCCTTGTTATTAGAATCAGACTTTTGTGTGTTGTAAAGGGCTGCCTCAGTGATCTTGAAACAGATCACTAATATTATAAAAGGGATTCATCTGTCTAGAAATGATATGATAGGTATCTTGATATGCTTCCTACTCGATTTGGCAATCCTCTTTGGTTTTCTGATGATGACATCCTTGAGCTCAAAGGGGCAAACTAACATATTTTACCATGAAAATGTGGATGTCCTGGTGAAAAAGCTTCTTATTTTGGATGCCGATTCCGAGAGGTTAACATACCAAACATATTTCAGCTATTTTAGACCAAATTGTTGTTCATTTATGGCGAGCCAATCATATTTTTTGTTCTCTCTTTTCGTGCAACGTAGTCTCCTTTGAACACTTCCTCTGGATTCTAAAGGGATAACTAAGATGTTTGTCTGTGGGATGAGAAGAAAATTGATGCTTTTTGTCCTGACAGGATGATGAAGCTGGAAGAGAATTCTGGCACTGAAGAACAAGATGCTAGGCTCCTTGAGGAGGCGTGCGTCTTAGAGAGCCATGAAGAAGCGAGGTACAATGTCAAAAATCTGTGGACATGTTTAGATATTGATTAAAAATGTTAACAAAATATGTGTTGTGGTAGGGACTTGGATGGGAGAAGGATGAGCAGAAACAAGTGGTCAAGTGTAGTGTACCGTAGAGGACAGAAACAGCTCACAAGACTGTTCTTGAAGGAGGCAGAGTATGCCCTTCACTTAGCTCTCTCCTCTGACTATTGACTATATAGCGGTGTTTTGTTGTAGATTCCCTTGTTTTAAACATAATATCTATTTCAAATGCTAAATAAGTAATTATGGTATAACAATTATTAGTGTGTGGCACCAAATTAACGGTCTATTGTATATTTACATATATATATATTTTTAGTAATACCCAAATCTTTTATCTAAATCAATATAAATCTTTTCATCCAAATCAAATCTGTTGAATAATATCCAAAATCAATAGGATTTGCAAAGATTTGGTAATATATATGATAATGCTAAAGGTTTGTTTTTTCTGAATTACTAAGAGGTAATAAAAAAGCACTAAACTATTTTATTATGTAAAACACCTAATTATTATTATTATTATTATAATCCGAATATGCATTGTAAAGAATCGGAAAAAAAAAGAAAGGAAAAGAAACTCAAAGTAATGTAATCTGTTTTGCTAATAATATGGTATTGTCATGCCTTGGGCTTTAAGATCAAGGACGAATTTCTCATACTCCTCGTTGATCCGTCGATACTCGCTTAAGTATCGAATTGTTTCGTCTGAAAAAGACTTGGCGATTCGCTTCATACGTTTCTCGATTGACTTCCTTGCCTTGGTCTTTGTTCCGACATCATTAACTGCAACCTTGATGGAACTGAGATCAAAAACATTATTATCGGTTTCACCTTCCTTCGTCCGCTGTCCAGCACTGCCGCTATCGGTTTCACCTTCCTTCGTCCGCTGTCCAGCACTGCCGCTACTCTTTCTTTCCGGTTTCATATTTGATGAACTTACAACTCTTGATCCTTTAGCCAAAAAAAAAAACTTACAACTCTTGATGATGTGAAAACAAGGCTACAAGCATCTATATATATATGGAAATATTGAGGAGTCGGTTTGTGGTCTAAACGGGCCTTTTAAGAACAAATTTGTGTGAGGCCCAAAAATTGAGTCGGTAATGTTGTGCACTTTGTTTGATGATACTCACTTGTTGTTTTTTCAAACTCTTTTCCCCCTCATACCTATAATTCACTCAAAAGTTTTAGTAGGAAACTAATTTGTGGTTGAAGTGCTTTGAATGTTAAGTGATGCCATCCGTCTTTCTGCAGCGGCTGCTCTCTTTTCCCTCTGTGCTGCCATTGCTCTCCTCACTTCCTCCTATTACAGCAAGATTTACACAAAAGACAAAGCAAATGTTGACATGGCTTCTCCTTAAATATCAGACTGAGATCAGATTATACAAATTGGGGTTTGTGAAGCTAACCACTTTAGAGATTGGCTTCTCCTTCTCAGCCTGCGCAGCTTCGGCCTGCAAACACAAGGAGGGTTAGATAACAAGTTAACAAGTCTCTACTAATCCGAGTTTTGTTTGAAATATAGACACTGATTAAAAACGTTACTTGAGCCTTCTTTTCTCGGGCTTTGCGTAGTTTCTTCAACTCTTTTGCTCTAGCTTTCTGCTTGGCGTCTTTTTCTGCCTGAACAACAATCACCGTCACAAATCAAGTTACTCAGATGATGGATTCAGACTCCCATATGCAACCACATGTCTCCGAAAAATCATATACCAAATCATGCCAGAACAAATACATACGACACCCATTAATATAGTATTTGGCAGACATCGGACCCTAACACATGAACACACATATATCCATAAACTCCGGGATAGAGCTCAACCTAAAAACCCAGTGCGTAATGAAAGGACTAAGGAGTTCTGCACTAGTCCTATTTTGCCTCACGCGGAATCCTTAAACAGACTTCTAAATTCAACAAATAACAAACCAATGCAAAGTACCTGCTTGGCAGCTTGAGATTCCTCCATCTCTTTTGTGAGCGGGCTGGGTACTTTAGCATCATGCCAATTCCATTTTTCAAGGTTTGACGCCATAAACCGTCTGAAAGTGTTTCTTACTTCCTTCTCATTTGCTAGCATGTATGGCGTTCTGCCTTTTTCATCCTTAGCACAGGGGTCCATACCCTCCTCCAAGAACTCCAGAACTCTTCCACAATCACCAGATTTGGCAGCTTCATGTAAGGGAGTTGACGTACCAGTAACTCCATCCCCGAGATCCTCTTCTATACGATTTGGTTCCTCTAAGATTATGTTGGGAGACGAAGTTTCATCGGGCTCTTCCTTTCTTGAGGTTTCACTAGAATCCTCATTATGGGTCTGCACCACTGTATTAGCTTTGGTGTCTTCCGGTTGATTAACAAAAATCTCCTCAGTTACATGTGCAATCTGAGTCAACTGATTATATATACGCTGTGATTCCTTGAAGGTTGGCCGCCGGATCGTAAATGGTACGTTTCGTACAGCACAGTTTTGGCTGCTAAAGTACGGTTTGCCTCCATTGAAAAGTAATTGCCTACTGCTTGAGGGAGCATGGACAAAAACACAAGCAGCACTATCAAAATAAGGCTTCCAGCTAGCAAGTAGCTCTTGAATATCCTAACAATAGAGAGAAAAATGATAAAAAAAATTACACTTCAACGCTAAGTGGTACTTTTCATAGAGGTTAATATATAAAAGGATATATAAAGGCGGCCTTCCTATGATCCTGATCCGGTAGACAACCATCATGAAGGCAGCCAATGTTTCCACCAGTTTAAGAGACCTAAATCATGTTTACACAACTATACACCACACTTCCGAGTTCAGAATTGCCTTTACAAATGGACAGAGCCGCATATATATTATTATATAAGGGGGTTTCTAGTGTTTAATGTTCTTAAGTTATTCTTTCCTCACTTAAAATTAGGTTTTAGGAAAATCGTAAACTGAAAACCATGTTAAGAGACAACATTAACAGGAGCAAGTTGGCCAAGCAAGTTCGGAGACAAATAACAGAATCATCTCCTAAGCCTCTTTTCCCCATTATATAATCAGTAACAAAAGGGGCTTAGGCATATGGTTAGTAAAAACTCAACGACCTTTTGTAATCTCTAGCTTAAAAGAGAAGGCAACAGTAGCCAAACATGTTCAGAGACAAACCTTTTTTAAAGCAAGTTCATTGTAGCGACGAAGTGAAGCTCCGGCAGAGTGTATACTCCTCCCGCTTCCATCTTTTGTGGACTGCTTTTTACCAGCCTTGGCTCTTACAACATATCTATACATGGGAAATGGAATTAGAGGACAAGAAGAGGCTAGGGAAGACCCATTTTCACAAGACTCAGAGAAGCTAAATGCTGCAGATATCAATATTCTATATTGTTTTAGACCAAATGATATTAATCTTCATTTATCACAAGTAAAAACAGAATCTGAGATTCTGAACTGAATAAGAATCGACACAAACATGAATTGAGAGGAAATGTGAGGAGACGTAAGTACCTGTGGAATGTCTTATGAGCCACAACCGACTTTCCATTAAAGACAGTACCGGCAAAGTGGCCACCACTAGCAAGCAACACTACACACATTTTCCTATCATCTGTATTCTCGCGAATCAAATTTCTCAACCTCTCAGTCACTTGATTCTCGGTCAAGCTACCACAACAATCGACAGAAACTCCTCTGTCATTGTCGAACGAAACAGTTTCAGCGTCGTCCATGATTAAGCTTTTCCAGATAGAAACTTTGTCACCACTTTGAAGACGGAAAAATAGTTTCTTTTTATCGATACCCTTTTGAGCATCAAAGTGGAAAGAGGGCCTACTAGTCTCAGCTTCGTCCTCTGATCCTGATATACTAGACACGTCATAGTCTTGGACCGACTCAGATGTCAACTCATCAACGTCTTCCTCTTTCAATATAGCCTTGCCAGCAACACTCAGCTTGATCTACAAATCAAAGCAACCAAATTAAGTTTAAAAGCAACATAGAATTGCATTTCCAATCATATTGAATATAAGTAGTCGGAAACTGAAAAGAAGAGAGAAATTTGTACGTTAAGGCGATGAATATCGGACTTGAAGTGGTAGCGTTGATCTTGAAGAGACAGGAACTCAATTTTACAAGTATTACACGTCCATCTGTCCAAAATCACGCCGTCTTTGGAACTCTTATCCTCCGCCTCCTCTGGATCGAAAGTTTTGGGTGGTCCTAACCGGAAATATGCGGATTGAGTCTCAGAAGGATACGACAGCCGACACGAGTCAAAGAAATCTGCCGTCAAGTCAAATATCGATCGAGGCTGTTTGTATTCTGCGTTACCAATCTCGGTGGTGGCCGTGGCCGCGGCGGCGCCGGTGGTCGCCATGAATTATGAATTGGATGGAGAGATATTGATTTGAAAGCTTTGTGAGATAAATCATAAATGAATGATTTGATTTTGTTAATTTCTTTAAATGGATCAATAATAATCTTATTAAAGTGGCCCATATAAGGCCCAATACTACAAGGCGGCGATGCGGAAAGATCTCGAACGAACAAAAGCGCCAAAAGCAGCATCTAGACGCGACTGATAAAAATATAGAGCAACTTGGAAGCCTCTCTGCGAGCAACAATGGTGAGTCGTTTTTATCCTTCCTTCGTTCTATTCAGTTTTTTTTTTTATTCTGGCGATATATGTATTTATAGTTTCGAGTTTCCTGGTTTTGATTCTTGCAGTCGGTAACTTTGCACACGAATCTGGGTGATATCAAGTGCGAAATCTTCTGTGACGAGGTTCCCAAGAGTGCTGAGGTTAGTTCTTCACTCAGCTCATGTTTCTCGGTTTCAATTTCAGTTGTTTTCTTTGTATTGTTTTCAAAATCAGTCAGCGTTGAGGCAAGCAAATCACAAAAAAAATTCATTAGGTTTTCTAGTCGTGGATTGTTTTAATTAGCTATTGCCTGTGCTGGGTTCTCCTTCTCTGGAATTTTTTAATCGAAATTAGGGTTATATGAATGTCATGATAGGGGAAATTCCTTTTCCCTGAACAAGTTCGTGTATAGGTAGGTCCATCATCTTCCAATGCGTGTTCATTGGATCGCTGAGCTATTTCTCTCTGACATTTTTTGCAAGTTTCGATGAGTTCTACTTGAAGCACCTTGACCTCTAGCTTTGATCTTTCATATTGGTGCAGAACTTTTTGGCGTTATGTGCTAGCGGCTACTACGATGGTACTATCTTTCATAGAAATATCAAAGGGTTCATGATTCAAGGAGGAGACCCCAAGGGGACCGGGAAAGGAGGAACTAGCATCTGGGGCAAGAAATTCAATGATGAGATCCGAGAGTCCCTTAAGGTATCTCTATTCTCATCTCTGCTCATTTCCATATACTTTCAGTTTATCCTTCAAACTGTGATTTTAAGGCATCTTAAATGTAATGCCACTGTGTCATGGCCTGTTGGTTTTGTTTTCCCTTTTTCTCAGTGGCTTATTAGCATCCATAATTATAGACTTCTTTTAGCTCAGAACCATTATTAGACTTAGAAACCTACCGAGGTAAGAACTCCAATGTAGATGAGTATACTATCCTGATATGTTCCTTCTGACTGTAAGGTAAGTTATCAGTGTGTTTTGGCCAAGTAGTCATATGTCTGCCATTACCCTACTCATAACCGCTAGTGCAATTCCCAGGGAAGTAGACAGATATGAGTCTGTTGCGATTGCCAATGGCCATATCAATCTCTCTACTCTCTAATTGTTCTTGATCATTTACCTGTTTCCATGATCTTATGTAGCACAATGCAAGAGGGATGTTGTCAATGGCAAACAGTGGTCCAAACACCAACGGTAGCCAGTTCTTCATAACCTACGCAAAGCAACCACACCTCAATGGATTATACACCATCTTTGGCAAAGTCATTCATGGCTTTGAAGTTCTTGACATTATGGAAAAGGTAAACCAACCTTTTACCCTCTTTTTCACATCATCTTTCCAAGTAGAGATTGAACTTTTATGTTTTCTTCCCTAAATCGAGTGTTAAAGAAGTATGTTTCTGAGTTATTGGTGATATGAAGCATGGAACATGATTTATTGATCTGAATTTGTTTTTACAAAACTCATCTAATGATATGATTGTGGCCTCTTTGCAGACTCAAACAGGAGCAGGAGATAGGCCGCTTGCTGAGATAAGGCTAAACCGTGTGACAATCCACGCCAATCCACTTGCTGGTTAAGTCAAATGCGGCAGAACCGAACCAAGCCCAATTGTTGTTCTTTTCATTTGTTTCGGGAGAGCTGACATGCACACTGAGAAACTGACTAAAAAAATCCAGTAAAAAGATTGTACTGGATGATTTACTAATTTCTGTCCTTTGAAAGGGGTTTTGTATTATTTAGACAAATCTTTTTTCCCCAATACTCATCGACAAGATTTCAAATAGACAAAAATCTATCGGCCGAGTGGAATCCACGTGGGCCATCAAATTCTTGTAAATGGGCTAAGCCAAACCCGACCCGGATCCAATACAAACGGATCCCTTCCACTAAGCCGACCCGTTCGGCGCAATTAAAGCGGCCACTACCCCTACTCCCCTAGCTAGTAGGGACCGAACCACTCAGCAGTGAGCACAAACCTGGTGAAGGGTAAAGAGGTAAAACACTGTAGTCTTTTTTGACAAAGTGGGACCCGTTGTAAACCGAACGACTGTCTCTGTCTTCATTCAAATACTAACGCGTGTGGGCCCGCCAACCTCCTCCTCCATCACTGTTTTTGGTTAAACAAAAAAAAAACACAAAGAAGAAAAATAACCCCCAAAAATTGACGAAACAAAATTGAGAAACAATAGATAGATACCAGTCTCTCTCTTCTCTTCTTCTTCGTTTGAATTTGTTCTTCAGTTTGCATAAACCGCCGCCAGCATAGAGAAGAGGAAATGGCAATGGCTTCTTCGAGAAATGGTGCGGTTAGAGGATCCATGAGACCAATCTCTGGAGCTAATTCTTCCAATCTCAGATCGTCTTCTTTCAAATCCAGGATTCCTTCCTCCGCGCCTGCTCCCCGTCGGAACTCCACCTCTGCTTCTCTCGGAGCCGCTGACAATGGAGGTCCGTTTTCATTTTACTTACTGTGAGAGATGCGATTTCAGTTTTCACTCACTGTGAATTATCTATTTTAGCTTTGTATTAGTTCCTGTTGTTGGGATGCTGATCCCTTGCCGTTTAATTGCTTTTTGGGAGACGATTGTTCAGTTTTATTGATCATTAGATGAATTCTTCTCTACTCGATGACTATTTTTTTTGGCTTCTGTAGAATTGTGTTTTTATGTGTTCTTTCTACAGTTCCTGGGAGAGTTCGAGTGGCTGTAAGATTACGACCTCGAAATGCAGATGAGTCTGTCGCAGATGCTGATTTTGCTGATTGTGTTGAGTTGCAACCTGAGGTTTCTCTCCAACTCTTAGTAAACTAAACTGAGTCAGGGGTTTCATCTTTATCTCTCATTGTTTCAATCCTCTCTCTCTCTGTGTGTTGTTAGCTCAAAAGGTTGAAACTCAGGAAAAACAATTGGGATACTGAGACCTACGAGTTTGATGAGGTGCTTACTGAAGCTGCTTCACAGAAGCGAGTCTACCAAGTGGTTGCCAAGCCTGTTGTTGAGGTCTCTTTGCCTCTCCTTCATCATTATCTTTCTCCCTTCACTATTCTCCTTGCTCCTTTTACACTGAATTACTTTCAATTTGTAGAGTGTTCTTGAGGGTTACAATGGAACTGTGATGGCTTATGGTCAGACGGGTACTGGCAAAACTTTTACCCTTGGAAGATTAGGAGATGAAGATACTGCTGCTCGTGGTATCATGGTTCGATCAATGGAAGATATCATTGGAGGCACTTCTCTTGACACTGATTCTATCTCTGTCTCATATTTACAGGTATCTTTCCTTGGGGTACTATTGATTTATTCTTCAGTTACTACTTTGCATTCTTTAGTTTTTTTTTTTTTTTCCTTAACTTTATTATCTTTTCAAACTTTTCTCCAGCTTTATATGGAGACCATCCAAGATCTCCTAGATCCAACTAATGACAATATTGCTATTGTCGAAGACCCCAGAACTGGAGATGTCTCCTTGCCAGGGGCGACCCATGTAGAGATCAGGAACCAGCAAAATTTCCTTGAGCTCCTTCAGCTTGGGGAAACACATAGAGTTGCAGCCAATACAAAATTGAATACTGAATCTTCTCGAAGTCATGCAATTCTCATGGTAATTCACCTCTGTTTAGCCTTCTCAACTTTCTCTACAACTTCATAGGCGTTAGAGAGAACCTTTATGTTCATCTCTATTGTTATTTTGAGCTGATGGATGATCAATAGTTCAGGTACATGTCAAGAGGTCGGTGGTGGAGAACGAGGATCCAGTCTCAAATGAAATGGAGAACTCATCTCACTTTGTCAGACCATCCAAGCCATTGGTTAGGAGAAGCAAGCTAGTTCTAGTAGATCTTGCTGGTTCTGAACGTGTTCACAAGTCGGGTATAAACCTCTGATAATCAAATGGGATAGCTTGTCAAAGCTCTTGTACAAATCAGATTTACTCATTTCTTCATTTTCCCTCCATGAGAGACACTCTAGGAAATGTATTTACTTATGGGAGTGCTCATTACCACCACCTTTCTTGCAATGCAGGCAGCGAAGGACACATGCTGGAGGAAGCTAAATCCATTAATCTCTCACTTAGTGCTCTAGGGAAATGCATAAATGCAATAGCTGAGAATAGCCCTCATGTTCCACTTCGTGATTCAAAACTTACTCGCTTGTTGAGAGATTCATTTGGTGGTTAGTTATCTTATTGCTCATAGGCTAAGTCCTGGTGTCTTGAATTCTGAATTCCTAATAAATGGACTTTTCTGTATTATCGTTCACTTATATATATGTTGTTTGCATTTCAGGCACAGCAAGAACATCCCTAATTGTGACCATTGGTCCCTCTCCACGTCATAGAGGAGAGACAACCAGTACTATATTATTTGGTCAAAGGGTGGGTTCTTACTACTTTAACCTAACCCCTAGTGTAGAAATCTATTGAGAAACTTCAAATCCATAAGTGTTTTTAAATGTTGGGCAGGCAATGAAGGTAGAGAATATGTTAAAGATAAAGGAAGAATTTGATTACAAGAGTTTATCCAAGAAACTTGAGGTCCAATTGGATAAGGTGATTGCTGAAAACGAAAGGCAGCTCAAAGCATTTGATGATGATGTGGAGAGAATAAATCGACAAGCACAAAATCGTATATCAGAAGTTGAAAAAAACTTTGCAGAGGCCTTGGAGGTTAGTTCATGCAAAATCCAGTTAGGCACTCCTTGGCATAACCTAAAAGAATATGAAGAAGAAAATCAGAAAAATGGTTTCATATGTTTTGTTTCAGTGCCTTTTAAAATCGGGTTATTTTTTTCTTTACATTCTATTTACAGAAGGAGAAACTAAAGTGTCAAATGGAATATATGGAGTCAGTTAAAAAGCTTGAAGAAAAGCTGATATCGAACCAGCGGAACCAGGAGAATGGTAAACGTAACGGAGAGGTACTTGCCCACAGAACTCTGATTTTCTTTTCAGGTGATGGGAGTGTTCGAACCTTTAACCAGTAAATATTACTTTGCAGGTCAATGGAGTTTTTACAGCTAGTGAATTCACTAGGCTCAAAGAATCACTTGAGAATGAAATGAAGTTAAGGAAGGCAGCTGAAGAGGAAGTCAGCAAAGTAAAAAGCCAGTCAACACTGAAGACAAGATCAGGGGTACCCATTGTTTAAATTCTCTATCGCTTTTGCTATCTCTCTCCTCTTGTCAATGATTTAACATCTTAGATAATATTTAACCAAGCTCTCTGGCGGTTTAGGAAGGCGAAGATGCTGGAATATCAAGACTACAAAAAATGCTGGAGGATGAGGCTCTTCAGAAAAAGAAACTTGAAGAAGAGGTCACCATATTACGAAGTCAACTTGTGCAGCTTACTTTTGAAGCTGATCAGGTACGAAGTGTACGAATTTAGAGTGTGTAAAGGTCTCTCGTTTACGAATTTAGCGTGTGTAAAGGTCTCTCCTTTAATTGCTGTAAAGCAGCTGTCTTTATACATCAGATGAAGGATTAGTCTCCATTGTTTGCCCTCTTTGAAAATACTTTTAAAGACTTGGGGAATAGTACAAGCACGGCTAGAGTTTCTTTGATCTAGCTATTGTGAATATGAGGCACATATTCACATACCACTATTAATCTGCTTCTTTTACTTGATAACAACTGTATCTTTTTTTTTTTTTGACAATGATAACAACTGTATCTTGGTAATAAATTTGGTGCAACCTTGAGTCTCTTGAATTTGATATCTAACAGTTGAGTCTTATTCTTCCAGATGAGAAGATGCTTGGACAGAGGTGCCCCAGGGAATTCGTACTCTGGCACAGACTCATTACCATCACGACATTCCCAAGCAAGAGAATCTGTGAACGGGCAGAAGGCACCGTTTGCTACACTATGTGAGCAAGGTAATGGAAATTTTTTCTAAACTATTTGAACCGGAGTGTATACAAATGCCTTTGTGGTTCTTATAACTTTATATCCTCTTTGAAACAGTGGGACTTCAAAAGATCTTGCAATTGCTTGAGTCAGATGATGCAAACATAAGAATTCATGCTGTGAAAGTTGTGGCCAATCTTGCAGCTGAAGGTAACTATCAATATATGCATCATCTTTTTTTTTTTTTGCTCTGGGTTCTTACTGTTTTCCCTACTTTTTTTGGGTTTGATAAGCAGAGGCAAATCAAGAAAAGATTGTTGAAGCTGGAGGCCTGACATCGTTGCTAATGCTTCTCAGAAGCTACGAAGATGAAACTGTGCGAAGAGTTGCCGCTGGTGCGATCGCCAATCTCGCAATGAACGGTAAACTCTCACTGCTACTGACTAGTATTTAGTGGTTAGACAGACAATGAAAGCAGAAACAGACTAATTATATGGCTTGTGGTCACTTGGTGTGGTGGTACATGCTCATGTGTTTAGTTTTTGTTTGTGGGGTAACAGAAGTGAGTCAACAACTGATAGTTGACCAAGGTGGAATCAGCTTGCTATCTCTAACAGCTGCAGATGCAGAAGATCCACAAACTTTACGCATGGTTGCTGGAGCTATTGCTAATCTTTGTGGCAACGGTAAATTAACATCCCCAACATTTTGTTTTGAACAAGAAACCAACCAATTTCTTAAATCTCTTTTTGTTGTTTGGTAGACAAACTGCAAGCAAGACTATGGTCAGATGGTGGAATAAAAGCGTTGTTAGGAATGGTTAGATGCGGACATCCGGATGTTCTTGCTCAGGTGGCTCGCGGAATTGCGAACTTTGCCAAGTGCGAGTCACGAGCAACCACTCAAGGTAAAAAAGCTCTTCCAGTATTCCTTCAAGGTCATTCAGCCTTTAGAGAGAGATTGTTTTTTTTTTTGGGGGTTTAATGTGAAGAATGTATGAAGGTGTGAAGAGTGGAAGATCACTACTAATAGAAGACGGAGCTCTTCCGTGGATTGTACAACATGCTAACGATGAAGCTGCGCCAATTAGGCGCCACATAGAGCTGGCTTTATGCCATTTGGCCCAGCATGGTTAGTGCAATCCTTGTATGTCTTTGTGGTCTTTTTGATCCTTGTGGTTCATCATGTTCATTGATTGTTTGGTGGGGACAGAGGTGAATGCGAAGGAGATGATAAGCGGGGGAGCATTGTGGGAGTTGGTGAGAATATCAAAGGAGTGTTCAAGAGAAGACATTCGAAGTTTGGCTCATCGTACTCTCTCTTCCAGTCCCGTCTTCCGTTCTGAGATCCGTCGCCTCGGCATCCAGTTTTGACTTGTTCTATGTTTGTATCATATAATTATCATCTCTCTCAACGAGATTCACACATCATCATCATCTGTATTCTTTCTATTCATTTTATAAATGTTGTACTAACTATTTCATTTCGCTTTGCTTTTCATTTACTTTTGATTGTAAAAACGCCTTACTAAAATCACGTTGTGTGATTCATTCAACCTCTCGAAATAAAATAGAATGAAAATTTGCTAAACTTATTATGCAACAACGTGTCAAAAACACAGACTGTCTAATATTTTACAATTTACATATAAGAAAGAAAGAAAAAATCCCTCGTGAACGCTAATCTCTTCCCATGGCTACCAAACAATAAAGCAAATGTAGTAATTTTGTGATAAAAACTCAAGAGAAGACCCAAACAGAATTATGATGAAAATCGAGGGAGAAAATGAAGAAATCTTACAGAGAGATAGATATTAGCAGCAAGAGCGGAGGACAACAGGTCCCATTGATGTCTGAAGCATGTCACTAAGAGCTATTTGCACCTCCCCTGACCCATGTTCACAGCTTATCAACGTCGCTATCAACGGAAACAACTCCGGCAAGTTCTTCTTGAACAGTGACTCTCCCATGTTTCCCAGTGTCTGAATTGCAGCCACCACTAGCGGAGCCCGCGCTGTTAGCTCCTTCTTTTTTCCCGACCCCGAGGGCACCGCCCACCTAGACGACTGCTCCTTTGAACATGAAATATTTATGTAGAACTCTAACACCTCTCTGCAGAGGCTTATGAGGTGGGTTTCTATTTCAGCCTCGTTGTAACCCACAGGCTGATCTGAGATGAGGTTGTCTAAGAAGGTCATACATGTTTGGAAAGATTCGTTCTCCAGGCGCAGCAGAGGAGCTTCTTGGGATTCAGGGGACAACCCGAGCTCCTGGAGCTTGGAACGTAAGAGTAGATCAGCGTTGATTTTGTGAGCGTTGGATCCAATGCCGTGCATAGCGTCGAAGAGCATCAACATGTGATTGGCTGTGAGAGACATACGATACATGTCGTAGATATCTGTTACCGCCTGCAAATAAAGAGCAAGTACACAGACATACACATATACTCATGAGATCGATTATGTGTGTATATATATCCATGTTTCATCACCAAAGAGACTGAGACTTGACTGACCTGAATCACAAAAATCTGAATTGAAGCTTTGGATTTGGCATCTGCCACGACAGCTTGAAGCTGCCTGTTCCTTCTTCTCAGTGCGTCGTTGGAATTATCATTTGTTTCGTCCTCATTGCTTACATCCTCCGTCAATTCTTCACTGGTAACGTATGAGAAGTCAGGAGCTGTAGCATCTGCTGCTTCTTTGATACATGACACAACCTCGAGCCATTGCTCGTCAGAGAATTGATGACCGACATCTCTCATCAGACGGACAAGCGCAGCAATACCCGCACCAGCAAGACTTTGGTGAGGACGTTTTATCAAGCTTACGAATAACATCAGTACCTTCTTAAGGAGAGGGTTAACTGTCTTGTAGAAATTTACAAAGAGGTCTACAACTAGCTGTAGAGCCAACGAGCATGTCTCATAAAGCCAAGACTCTTGGTCGACTTCACCATTGTAACCTCTCTGATCTGTTGAATCATCCTCAGATGGGTCAACGTCCTGACGCACATAGTCGAATATCCGAAATAAAACAGACTCAAAAACCCGTTCCCATAACGACAGACTGAAATGGTCACCATGGTTCCTCAGAGTATCAAACAGGACTTTCAATGCAACCTTCCTAATTTCTGCTCTTGGGTCGAAACTAAGTTCAGATAAACCTGCACGGGAAAGAAAGCCAAAAATGTCAAGGTGATGAGAATGTTGATTTAAGAAGTAAAATCCACAAGACAAGAAGTGAGGAAAATGGCTTACCGGCTAACAGTGGAAACCAAGAATACAAATGTTCGTCACTTTCTAGAAACTTTCCACTATCTTGTTTTCCACTTTTTCCACCCTGAGGAGATGATGGAGGGTTCCTCCTCTGTGATGAACCAACATAGCCTTCAGCAAGTTTTCTTGCGCAGTATTGAAGGAAAGCAATGGCTTGGAGACTAATATCTTTCTCAAATTTACAATTGGTGAACGCAACAAGGCAATTCACACAGTCTGTGAAGGTGGTTGTCTCTGTCTCCGTGATGTGTGGGAAGTAGTCTCGGATAATCTTCTCAACCATTTCAAAAGACAGGAACACAATATTTTTATGTGCATCATGTGCTGCTGTCGTGAAAATCTGCAAGAGCAAACAGATTTTAGCAACTATATCTGTCATCAAGAAATCAACGTAACTGGAAGTTTGATGGATCATACCATGAACATACTCTTCCATCCCGACTTAACATTGTCAACACGGGATAAAACCATCTGTGAGACACATCGTATAATCAATTCCCTGATCTCAACAGCACCACTTTTGCGCATGACAACAACAAAAGGTTTCATAAATTCATTTTGGAAGTTATAATTTGCCAACTCTTCCCGCTCTAAGAACTTCATAGACAGCTGGCGCAAAGAATCCATAGCAAATATTGCAATGGAGAGGTTATCAGAACAGCCAATAGTCACAAAGAAATCGGAGAGCACATGCCAGATGCTCGACCAGACAAGTCTTATGCGGTTCATGTTATAGTGCCTGCCATTACAACAAACAGGGTATAAATAAGAGAGAGTTTGAGCAAAACACAACAGATATCCTAAAGAAAAGATTGATCCTTACGCTATTTCCACAATCTTTGTTAGGCTGAAGACCCGTGGATCAGATGGAGATCGTAACTCATCCATGGAAACTTTGCAGAGGGCCTTAACAAAGTCAATTATGGCTTCACTATTCAATCTTTGACTACGAGTAAATATCCGACTCATGTCACCAACTTGTTCTAGCAAGTTCAGATTAGATATCAAGTTGTTCATCTGTTCAGATGTCACTGTATTAGAAGCCTTTCCAGCAACACCGGAACCATCGTAGGATCCCCTTATCACAGCAGATGCAGCATACTGAAGTTTTCCAGGTGCTCTTTCTTTAACTGCAGGTACGGAATTTGGCTTAGCCAGTGGAGAGTTTCCTGACTCGGTTTGAGGAAATGCAAAGAAAGTGGCATCAGGAGGCGCTCCTTCCCCCAAGAGATGAAGATGCTCAAACCGTGAAACACAAGTCAGTATATGCTCCCAAGCATCTTGTAGATAGTTACCTTCTTCCTCCGCCAGTTTTACTATTGCCTATCAGTGAACAGACAAAAACAATTAATCCATAGAAGACACTTCTTATCATCCATTGGTGTTTTCAAGGTTAATCAGGTTTGAATGTGTGCAAGCTAACCCAACTCACTTCAACAAACAAAACAAAAGGAAACAGCTAACTCAATTATCATTTCCTTGAACTGAGAAAAGTGCAAAAAGAAACATTAATTACTTTGTCCCAAGATTTTCAGATGCAAAATGTGAATGCTAGTCCAGCATAGGATAAAACTTAAAACTAAATTAGATTTCCCCTATCTCGTTTTGTACCCTGAATAGAAGGTAGGAAGTGGAGAAAAAACAAACCTTTATGGCTTCAATGTTTTTTTGCTTGATATCAGCAGGAGAGTGGAGGGAAGTAAATTTTGCTAGTGAAGTCACAAAAGCATCTCTGTGCGTTTTTAAGGACATTACAGAAGTGACATGGATGGCATGGTGGAAACCCTCCAGACATAATGTTGTAATTACTGCATCATCACTCTGGTCAAGTGGAACACTGAAAGCTGCCAACATAGGAGCCCAACAAACCTCAACCATAAATCTGAGTATAACCACATCCGAGGCTGCATAATAAACTGACCTACAGTAGAAAACAAAAATCAGAAACCAAGAGATACACTTTTTCAGGTAGTTCCAAGTAAAAAAATCATAGCTAAATTTTAAAATAAAAAATAAAATAGAAGTAACAATAAGAGCAGAAGCCAGCAGTGTTGACCTGACCAACTACTAACTCCCAAAGAGTGACTATCAGAACATATGTTGAATTATGCCCAAAAGAGAAAAGAATGGAAGCAGAATCAACATGTGTGAAGCAGACCACTGCACAAGAGTGCAAAACAAAAAGCAAAATAAAGGAAGCTTCTTACTCAGATTTGCGAGCTTTTTCTTTAAACCTCTCTTGCATATGCCTGATAAGATCATCACTGGTCTCCATGTACATATCGTCACCTCGCCTAGGAACAACAATATTCAAGATAGTATCTAAGCCAAGTAATCTACTTGAGTTTGTCGGCTGCTTCTGTTGCGGACCCAAACCATCGTCCTTCATCTTTATCTCATTTCTAGATATCCTTTCATATAATGCACGTAGATAGTCCTCAGGCAAATCTTTCCCATCATCTATACCACGATTATTTCTAATAAAACCATCAGCTGTCATCTGCAAGTAGTAATTGAAAAAATAAGTAATGAGTTACCTTGTTTGATCAATCACAAGCTTCAAACAAGATTGTACTAGGATATCCCTCAAGAGGGATTTCAGTAAGCTTCTAAACGAAACAGCTCAAATATGTACCTTGCTCTTCACCATAGGGTTATGTGCATCTGTGTTGAGCAAAATGACTGAGTAAGCAAGGACATATGCCGTATCAGCGCTAGAAAAAAGCCTTTGGGTTACATTTACAGTATCGCTCTGCAAATTTTTCCATGATACGATCGATTTTTGTGCTTCTCCTGGCAGCCTAAAGCCTCGGAGAAAGGCTCGAATTGCCTCATCAAATTCCATGCCTTGAAATTCGAAAGAATCCACATATGCATGCATCACTTTCAGAGATAGGTCTTCTCTTTCACACCAGATAATCCCCTACCAAAGTCTTGTTCAACCCTGATGCATCTTTGAGAAAAGCTGCTATTTCCTCTGGCGAGTCCCCCACCTTGTTTGCCTTGATTAAAAATTCAATGCCTTTCTTAGGTTTCTGGTTGAAAATAGAAATACCTTCCTGCCATCAATAAATCCAAATCAGGGTTTAGCTGAAAGACTGAGACAAAAGTCAATGAGCGCCGAATCAACTTTAGGTAAACTTTTACCTGAAGTTCAAGCTTGTAAGCTCGGCGCTGCTCTATTGCTAAGGCATCAGAAGTCCCACTGGACAATTCAGACTGAGATTCTGATCTTTCAAAACCACCATGGCCTCCATCCCCCTTACCATTTTCCACCGGATGACTTCCTTCTTCAAGATTTCTATCATCAATTTCTATTATTTTTGCCGAATAAGGATCTGGAAGACGCAACTGCTTATTCACCCAGTCTCCCATAGATCTTAAAACAGCAACTAAGCATTTCATGGCTTCAAGCTTCATAGATGCTTCCTGAGGTGGCAACAAGGTAGTAACTATACCAGGAGGCACTCCTTGAGCAGTCTTAAGGAGACCATTGACCATCCTAAAAACAAGGTCAAGAAAACAAACAGGGAAATAAATGTCACTTCAAATAGTTCGCACTAGTCATTGATCCCAGCTCTTATACCACCAAATAAACAGATTCAGGGTGTAAAAATATTTGCCACTACAAATATGGTTTTCTAATCTAATGAAATAGATAAGGCACAACAACATATTAATTAATACCTCTCGAATATATTGGATGAGTTGACATCGCAATCATAGTTGATGAAGATATCTACCAAAATCTGTGAATCAACGCAGAGCTTGTCCAGGAAACGAAGCACTATCATCTTCTGTTGAAAATCAGGTTGAGCAACATTCTCCAATACTCTTAGAACAATCATAGGGAAGAACACCCCAATCTCTGCCTTCAGCCCAGCACGAAATCTCGAAACCAAGCTAAGTAAATCGAGCAGGAAAGCTGGAAAATGATCATAAGATTTGAAGCACTGTTCTTCAGTAAGGAGAGACAGAGATACTGCTTGATGGCGCCTAAGAACCTGCTCCATAATGAATTGATGCCAAATAATCAGAAGAAACAGCAATAGCTAGATAACATTCTGCCCAAAGCAACTATCAAGCAGATGGAGATAAATTAGCAAAGGTCCAATGTTGAAAGCTTAGGAAAACAGAATGAAACTAGAGATAGGATAGCAAACTACCTAACCTGAGTTATAATAACGCAAGAAGATAAGCAAAACAAACCTATCGCTGGTTCTAAAGACAGCACCGGCATTCTCTAGCAGAATCTTCAATAACTCGAGAGCCACAATCTTCCCTCTCATCAACTCTGGATCTTCTTTTGGAGGCGTCTTCATGGACAGCTTGCAAAGTGCCCTGAAAACCAAGAAGGCGTCTCTTCTCAGCTTATTCCCAATCTGAACCTCAGAATCATCGTCTTTCTCTACTTCTCCATCGGCCAGCTCCCCTTTTCTTCCCTCTAGGGCCGACTTATACATACTGATCTCCCAGTACTTGGCATCCAACATATCCTTATCAGTAGAATCCAACAAATCTGTAGGATTGGCAGTCCCAGGCAATGAAGTCTCGAAGGCCCCGTCATGGCCGCCGAATGTGCCCTTGGCGTTAGCTGAATTGAAGACTCCGTCAATATCCTGCATAATCTTGGTAATGAAACCTTGAACAGACTGCGTCGTAGATGGGTCTGATTCGGATTTGTCCATGGGCTCCATCAGCTCGGCCACGACGATGGGCTGAATGGGGACAGTGGAAGAATCTGCCTCCATTCTTCTGAAGACGATAACAGACATCTGCACGAGCGAGGCCTTAGCAGTCGCCTGGTTAACCACGTTTCTGCTTCCCAAGTAGATGCCATAACAAGTCCTGACGATCTGTAGCAAAGAATCTCCATGGATCCTCAGGGAAATTGAAGTGACCGCAGTTAAGAGCGTCTTCAGCACGAGCAACTCGAGTCCTTCGTCGTCTAGCTCGTGACATTTGCAGATGGTTTCGATGAGCTTGGAAAGGAGTAGCGCCTCAGGTCCGCCGGTGGGATCGGCCTCACCGCGAACATAGCCATGAGCAATAAGCTTCTGGATGCAATCAACGGCCGGATCGACAATTTTGAGAACGCCGGTGGAGGAGGCGTTAATGAGAGGGCTGAGGATGATCTCGGACTCGGCGAGAGAGTATTCGGCGGCTCCTCCGTCGTGAAGTGGTCCAGGAATGGAGGATCCAGAATCAGAGTCGGCAACGGGAGAGGAATTTTCGGGCGATCTGAGGCGTTCGATGACGGATTTGCACTCGTGAGCGAGCTTGGAGTGCTTACGCCAGGAGGCGTTCTTAATGACCTTGTCCAAAGCTGGGATAACAACTCGACCTAAGCGGGAATCGACTTCCGTAGAAGCCATTCCAGATTGGTACTGGTGACTTCAACGAATCACCAATTCAGATCTATAAGAGAAGAGTGAGTAAGTAGCCCAGAGACAAGGATAACAACAACAACAAGCACAAGAGCAACGTCTCCTCCTCTGCGATCCAACCAAAGCAATCTTCTTATCAGGGTTGGTGACTCGTATCGAGTCAGTGAATTACATACATCAGAAGAAGAAGAAGACGACGAGACAAAATTTGGAGAAAACAAAAAGAAAGGTGAGCTTCAGTGAAGTAACCAATATAATAAAAATCCGAGAGAACCAGATTTGGATCGCCGGAAATGACTTAAATATCCTTGAACAGTGGCGGTATTGTCTCCGACTTCGAGGGCAGATTTGGTATTTTCACGTGAGGAAATCTGTATCTGTTGACCGTCCCGGTGGACTCCCGGTCATGAGCTTCTACTTTTATCCAAAATAAAATGCTTTTATTAATACTAGTGATATCGAAACACGTATGATTGATTAATTCCCAAAAAATACGTACATTTGTTTTGCAAGTAAAGAGAAAAAACACTTTCAACAGTAGTTTTTCATTCATCGCTATGGAAGAATTACAAAGACATCAACAAATGAACAATAAATAATGGCTGCTACTGCTAGTGTACTCCATATACGTAGATTTTGCGGGATAATGGGCCATAATTCTAACGGAGGCCCAACATTAATAAAGGCCCATAGTGAAGCAGCCATTTGTTTGTGGTCTCTAGTGTTGTTGTTGTTGTTGTCTAATCCGCCAGACAGAAGTAGAGCAGAGCAAAGAAAGCTAACAGAGGGTCATCGCTTCTTCTCCACCGCTCTATATTCTAATCTATCCACCAGCTCTCTCTATGAACTTTGCTTTGCTCATCTCTTTTATCTCCAGTTTCTCTGAGCTCTGCTTTTTGTAAGTAATCTCATCAGAGAAGCTCAATTCTGTACTTGTATGATCCTTAATTAGGCCTTTGAACTTGTTTTCTAGAGATTCCGTTCATGTGAAATCATACGGCCGCCAAATTTAGGTTTTTTCTTTTAGTTCTGGAGGTCTACAATGGGAATTTATAGCTGCAGCGCAGTGTTGAGCTTCGGCTTGAAATGTCCATTAGTTATTGCAAGGCATAGGCTTTACCATCGCATGTTTAGACGAATCCCATTACTTGTAGAATCCCGTCTAAATAGGCTCTGTAGTTGCAAATGTAGTGCGAGTCTGGCCATTGGCGAGGTTGTAGAGAAGGAAGATACAGAACAAAGCCCTAGGTTTATTTGGGCTGATGTTGGTCTGAATCTGACAGAAGAACAGGATGAGGCAATCACTCGGATTCCTATTAAGATGTCAAAACGTTGTCAAGCGCTTATGCGGCAGATTATTTGCTTCTCCAGCGAAAAGGGAAGCTTTTGTGATTTGTTGGGTGCTTGGGTTAGGAGGATGAACCCCATTAGAGCTGACTGGCTTTCTATTCTTAAAGAGTTGAAGAATCTTGACTCTCCCTTTTATATCAAGGTACTTGCTTTCCTCCTTCCATGCTCGATTGATCTGAAGTGCCTTTTTGGTTTTGACAATTCTATCTAAATCATACTAGTTTGCTATTCGAGTTTATCTATTGTCACTTTCTTGATTACATTTAAATCTTTCAATCTTGTTGCCTGCATCTCCTTAGGTGGCTGAGTTTTCGCTGCTCGAAGATTCCTTTGAAGCGAATGCCCGTGATTATACCAAGATCATCCATTACTATGGGAAGCTAAACCAAGTGGAAGACGCTGAAAGAACTCTTCTTTCCATGAAAAATCGAGGCTTTCTCATTGATCAGGTGACCCTTACTGCAATAGTTCAGTTGTATAGCAAGGCAGGCTATCATAAATTGGCTGAAGAAACTTTCAACGAGATCAAATTGCTTGGGGAGCCACTAGATAATCGATCATATGGTTCAATGATTATGGCCTACATTAGAGCTGGTGCCCCCGAGAAAGGAGAGGCTTTACTCCGAGAAATGGACTCCCTAGAGATATGTGCGGGAAGAGAGGTTTACAAGGCATTGTTGAGAGCTTACTCTATGGGTGGAGACGCGGAGGGAGCTAAGCGGGTCTTTGATGCCGTTCAAATTGCGGGGATTACTCCTGATGTAAAGCTATGTGGACTGCTCATAAACGCATACAGTGTCTCGGGTCAGAGTCAGAATGCGCGTTTGGCGTTTGAGAATATGAGAAAAGCGGGAATCAAAGCTACTGATAAGTGTGTGGCTCTTGTATTGGCTGCATATGAGAAGGAAGAAAAGCTAAACGAAGCATTAGGGTTCTTGGTTGAGCTTGAGAAAGACTCTATAATGGTAGGGAAAGAAGCTTCTGCTGTGTTGGCTCAGTGGTTTAAGAAGCTTGGTGTTGTTGAAGAAGTTGAATTACTTCTTAGGGAGTTTTCATCTAGCCAGTCTCAACCCCTCTAAGATTGTGGGCTTCATCATCATGCTTGAAGCGCCTTGCTATTTCTATCATAGGAGGACCCTGCACCCTGCACCGCGTATTGTTTTGTCCGTCCACCAAAACAGCCACTGATTTTCTTATTTGCATTTTGTACGTATATATTACGCGCATATGTTCTGACTTTTGATGTATACACATTCCATTGCCAAAAACAGTACTGATACGCTACTTAGGCCCAACTTCATTAAAACGAACCGAATCAAATTGCAATCGTAAGACTAGACTTATTCAAAAACTAAACTCAGAAAATTATGTGTTGTGTATAATCTTTTTATATATATATAGATGCCAGTTCTTGTATTTCTTGCAATTTGTGCAGTAAAATTTTCTGACTTGGTTGGTCGTAACATGTATAAAAATACAGGCTGTATAAATTAGCTAGGAAATAAATGATCCCAAGGCAGCCTGGGATTTAAAACTATTTAGGTCTTTTGTCAAAGAAAAAAAGGAAGAGAAGATCTTCCTGCTACCAAACCTAACTCGAGGCTGGCTTGGTAGGCAAGGTAGGTATACTCTGTTCATCTCTGAAAAAGTTTTCTGGATCCACGGCTGTTTTGACTTTGACCAACCGATCAAAATTCTCTCCGAAATACTTTCTCCCGTAAACCTCAGCTTCTCTGTAACTGTTCGGGCCATGGCTGTTGATCCCGATATCAAGATCCCTGTAGTTGAGATACGTGTGTCTTGGATTCTTGGTCACGAAAGGAGCCATGTAGCTGTAGAAGCTTCTCGTCTTTTCCATGAAACTGCTTTCAGCTTCAGTGCCCGGGTCTTTCCAGTTCATCGAATGCTGGACCTTGAAAAGCCTCTTCCTGTGTGGGAATGGAGTCGCCGTCGTAGCAACTTCGCTCATTTTCCCTCCGTACGGATTGAACACTAGCCCTAGCTTCCCAGCCTCCATCAACTTCTTAAACAGGAAATCTAAACCGTCTTTGCTAATCTCTGTCTCCACGTAATCCGATTTTCTTTTCAAGAAAGACGCCGAATCCGGGTTTCGGTCCAGCAGGATCTCCGGTTTAATCACCGTGGCGTTGTCGTTGTTGGCCCACCACATCACCGACTGTATCCACGTCATCTCCGTGCAATTATCCTGCTTCAGACCAAGCTCCGGGAACTCTTTGGTCAGCAGAGACATGAGATCGCTCTGTTTTCCCAAGAACAGAGCCACCACCGACGCTCGAACCGTCTGAGTCGTGTTCCGCGTCACGGGCTGCAACATTAGCCTCATGAAGAGATCCGGGCTGGTCTTGGGAGCAACAAACTGCCATTTATGGACCATGTCAAGTGCGTTTTCCTCGAGGGTTTTCTCCACTCTGAAAACAGTCACCCTCGGAGGAACAGGCACGAGTTTGATCTTGAAAGATAAGATCACGCCGAAGCTCGCACCACCACCGCCTCCAATCGCCCAAAACAAATCCTCTCCCATCGATTTACGATCGAGAATCCGTCCGTTCACGTCTACGATTTTGGCGTCCGTGACGTAGTCAACGGAAAGCCCGTACTTTCTGATCATGTTGCCGTAGCCTCCGCCGCTAATGTGACCTCCTGCTCCGACGGTGGGACAAACTCCGGCGGGAAACCCGTGAGTGCCGTGAGTTTTTGCTGTTCTGCCAAATGTTGTAATAAACCTCGCCGAGAGTAGCGCCGGCTCCAACCCAGGCAGAGCCGCCGTCGTCGGACATATCAACGGTGATGTTACGGAGATAGGACATGTCGAGGACGAAGAAAGGGCGGTTAGAGATGTAGGAAACGCCGTCGTAGTCATGGCCGCCGCTGCGAGTCTTGAGCTGGAAGTTGAGAGATTTGGTGCAGAGGACGGTGGCCTGGACGTGGCACTCAGAACGCGCAGCGATAACGAGCAAAGGTTTGGGAGACGTGGATGTGTTGAAACGAGCGTTGCGGATGTAGGCGCGTAGGGTTGGGGTGAAGCTGGCACTGCTTTGAGGCAGAACGACGTCGCATAACTTCTCAGGAGGAGAGCCTGTGTGGTTGCTGAAACATTGGAGAAAGCTTTCGTAAATAGATGCGTTGGGCGGAGCCGTGGCAAGAGAACTCGAAACAAGAGACGATAATATGAGAAAAACAAAACAAGAGAGCTTCATTTTTGTAACATGAAACTCTCTTGTCCCCTTTTTTTTTTGTTTTGTTTTTCCGTTGTGTTGATATATACTCTCATTAGTATTTATAGTAGTAGATCGATTCCTGAATTTCAGTAATAATTCCTATCCATAGTCATTCTTATTGATGGTTAAAGCGTGATGTACGGGGCTTCTTAAATCTATTGCTTTGTGGTTCAGGGTTTTCATATAATCATCCAAATTATCAATGTGATGTTATACCCAAATGCACTGGATGTCACCAAAGTATTCAGGAAAATACAGGTAACTAATTCTAAATAGCAAATTAAATGTCAACAACGAAAGCCCAATGACCAAAACAATAAAATACATCGTTAGTTAAGTGGAACTATCGTAGGCTTTAGCCTTATTTACCGAATCAACATGTCTTATACAATGGAATGGGCCATAGCATAATGTATCAAAAAAATTACGGAATTGTAATAGGTGGCAGTAATAGTTTTTCTATTTGCAAAGTAATTAAGTAATTAACGAATTTAATGTTCCTAAAAATCCTCTCTAATTGAGCTATCATTTATGTAAGAAGGAAAAACCTAGCTAGTACTACTATTTATAGACTATTTTTGTTTATTTGTTATCAAAATCTCGAACGATTACAAGATAAAGGTTTAGGTCTTCACCGCCGTCACCTCTTCCGTCATTATGGCTGCCGCTGTCCCAAAACTCTTGCCGGTTTGTTGTCAAATTTTTTTGGTTTTGTTTTGTGAATATGCGGAAAGGCAGAAGTTGAAGTCGGCCGGTTTTCTTCTTTTTGGGTTGAACGATGGTTTTTCTGTGGTAGATGTATTAAATTATTAAATTAACCAACATATATAGAGAGTTGACTGAATATTAGGGTTTAAGTATAGACGGAGGGGATTCAGTGAAGAAGGAAAAGATAGATATATAGTTTGTAAACTTGGCTTATTCGTATGTGAGATATTAGAATGGATGTTTGTTTTGTAGATGGAAGATACCCTCATAACAAGAAAAGACATGTGGAAACGCAGACTTGGATTTGTCATCAAGTGAGTGTCCTCTATGATTTGGTTAAGCAAGCACGCAATTCGTTTGAATTAATCTATACATGTCTCTTAATGGCAGGATGACCTCAGGAGTTGTCTACTCGATAATGATGCATTCTGTGATCATCACCGCATATGCGTTGCTGATTTTTCGAATTTTCTATATAAATGGGTTTGATCTCGACCAGCTTAACGATGTGAGTGCCCCCATCATGTTCTCTTACCTTCCGTGTGGCGTACTGGAAGTAGCTGTTAGAAGGTTTAATAATGATGACCCGCTGATTCACACTAAAGTTGGGCATCTTAGTCACTTTGTCGCATGTATGATGCTCCTTGTCTACATGGATCCATCAACTCCTATCGAGGGTTTAGTCTTTTTTTTCCTCGGGGGATCACTTTTGTATTGGACTTTTTTCGTTTTAATCGCCTTTGGTATTCTGCTTTATTGGAAGATGTACGCGGATCCTTAACCCAACCACTGGTTTAGCTATAATATTCTTTAGGGATTCATTTATATGTAACTCCTTGATCATGTATGTCACCAAGGAATAAATCTTTGACAATTAATGAATCTGTGTGCAATATAGATATCTACCTACTCCATAATTGTTTTATCTTTGATTATATATATAGTTCTTATATGTGTACCGTGTACGGTTATTTAGGTATTTTAGTAATTGGCATATACACACAACCTACTTCATGTCTTTTTTTTTTGGAAATTCCCTAGCTACTTCATATGTTTGTGATTACTTCATATGTTTGTCATATGTTTGGAAATTCTCTAAAATCTTATTTAGTATTTATTTTTATTTTTTGAAATACCAAAATTTTAATTATTTTAAAAATATGAAAACCAACATAATTCGTATCATAGAATAAAGTAGAAAATTTAATTCTTCAATTTCCATATTTCTAATAATTTAATTATTTTTTCAATGTATTCATAAATTTTGTTTGTCTTGCAAAACAATAGACTAATAGATTTACCTATTATTTGTGTTTGGATTTCAATGGTAAGTTGATTTTTTGTTAGGGTTTTATTAAAAATATAAATATAATTTTTTTTTTTTTTTTTTTTTTTTTTTTTTTTTTTAAATTTCCAATAGAAAAAACGTCCAACAACAAACATGGCAAATACATTTTAATACATTTTATAGTAAATATAAATATAATTATTACTCAGTATATAGTAAATACATTTTAAAATGTAAATTCATAGGAGATGTTAGTTTTTGTGCCCGAGACGCTTTTTTGCCTCCATATAACAGAATTGTGGTGGAATTGGGTTGTCTTTTGGGCCATGCAGAGTCTCTCCAATATATTCGTATAGACAAGAATGAATGTGGAGTTGCGGTTGATGAGCATTCCAAATGGCCTTGGTACCAGACATATATCACTAAAATCCAAAGAGCCAGTTACGGGTTTCATACTTGTCTATCAAAATTCTTTAGTCCGTAAGATCGCTAAAAGCGGTCACAAAAAACAGACGATTCCGATCAACTTTAGCAATGGGAGGACCGGATTGGCTCCATTGCGACATTGAAGCAGAAAGACATTATTAGTTTGCTTTGGTAGGAAGTTTCGCACTTTTCAGTTTTTAAGATTCTGCTACCTTTCGAACTTCTCAATAATGTAGTAAATAAAATTCAAAAATATTATTATACCTTAAGTAAGACTTTTAAAGTACGATGATAATTTAGATAGATAAATTGGGTCCAAAATTATTGGGCTTAAGCCCACAAATCAACACGAATTCATCAACATGCATTCTTCTTCTAGGCTTTCCCGCTTGGATCGATTGATTCGATTCCCAAAAGAAAATGTGAAAAAACATAACAAAGAAAAAAAGCAGAGCATATTTAGTTGCTACTCAAACCCAACTAATAATAATATTTGTATGCGCATGTAGAAAACTAGAAACCACTCTTCTACACAAAATATAATATAATAAGAAATATCTCAAACATAGGTATTTATAATTAAGTTTGAGGGCGACATGGTAATTACTCATTAATAGTCTTGCGTCTCTGCACCAAATCACACGTCTTCACTCTTCAGGGTGTTCCAATAGTGTTTATGGCAACACGATTTCGTGGAAATTGCCAGAAGAAGAGTCCTATAAGAATAACCCCGCAAAGAGAGCCCCCCAAGATAGATGCAGTCGGCCATATGCGATAAAGCACAACAAAAGCTGAAATAAAACCAGATCCTATGCCAACCATATCGAACAACATAGCCAAGAGCACAGGAAAATCAGCCGCAGACGTGGTGTAGAAGAGGGCGTAGAGAAGTGTTACAATGATAAATGGCTGGACGAGATGCGTTTTAAAATCTTGAAGGAAGCTTAGGATTAACGTAAGAATGTGAACCGGATCGTGGTCACCGTTGCTTCTCACAGTTTGGATTAGGAAAATTAGGGGAGCAAACACCACTCCAGACCCTAACAGTATCCCGATAACTTCGTGACAGCGTTTCACCAACTTACGCCATTTCTCAATCTGGCTGTCAAAGAAAACGTAACAAATTTTTTTTTGGTCAGAGGAAGAGAAATTAATAATCAATCAATCAATCACTTTTTTTGTTGAAACCCAAATTATTATTAGCAACTTACACTTGATATGGTGAAGGCTGCTGAGTGAGATTCGGCGGAATCGGTTGGGCCATTGAGTGAGTTATGGTTGAGAAGGATTGCAGAGGCGGTTGAGTGAGATTCAGCAGAATCGTTGAGGGCGGTGAATGAGTTGTGGCTGAGGAGGATTGCAGAGACGACGGTAGAGTGAGATTCGGCGGAATCGTTGAGGGCGGTGAATGAGTTGTGGCTGAGGAGGATTGCAGAGACGACGGTAGAGTGAGATTCGGCGGAATCGTTGAGGACGGTGAGTGAGTTGTGGTTGAGTAGTGTTGCGGAGACGACGGTAGAGTGGGATTCGGCGGAATCGTTGAGGACGGTGAGTGAGTTGTGGTTGAGGAGTGTTGCGGAGACGACGGTAGAGTGGGATTCGGCTGAGAGTGAGTTGTGGCTGAGGACGGTTGCGGAGACGGTGGAGTGAGATTCGGCTGAGAGTGAGTTGTGGCTGAGGCGAGCAGCGACGGTAGAGACCGAGTGAGATTTGGGAGAGGCGGTGGAGTCTGAGTGTGAGAGATGGACGGAGACGGTAGAGAGTGAGTGCGTGGTGGTGGTGCTGGGATCGTCTCCGGTGCTTGTGTGGAGCTATTCATGACTGCTTTTTTTGTCTTCTATGAATTTGTAATGAACGACCTATGGTTATATGCAGTACGTTCAGCAGACTCCCAGTGTACCACAAACGACAAACCACAAACCACAATCGGATCTTTATTGATCATCTGAAAAGTGGGGAAAAATGTCAGGACGTTTTGGCCTTGAGGCTATAGAGCAGCTAACCTTGTCGTTTACAGAGTACAATTTCAGAATTCTGTAAAGAAAAGGAAGAAAAAAATAAAAAAATAAAAAAAAAATGTGAAGTTAATTATTATTTAAACTTGAGACATTACTTTCTAATCTTGTCAAGATAAACGCTCATTTGTTAACCAGTAGTATGCGTTATATACCAGTTATGACTTATAAATATTTGTATCGATTATTCTTTAGATTCTACAAACAAACAAGCAAAAATGCTGGATTGTGATCGTGGTTCTACGAAGATAAACAATATCTAAAAAAAAAAACAAATATAACATCAAATATTTGTTCAGTTGTCAAGACCAAGTAAACAATATTTGTAAGTAATTTTTTTCTTTCACTAATTACAATATTATTAATCACCATTCGAAGTTTCGAACAATAGAAAATGCAGAAACCAACAAATACTATATATAAAAAAAAAAATACTAATTTTATTTTGAAGAAAGAAAATGAACGTCTTTTAAACATACAGGCAAAAAGGACACATACACTGTCTTTAAACAACAACCGTTCGATAAGAAAGTGTTGACCCCCGATTTCGCCGTGTGGAAGTCTCGCCACCCTAAGTCCCAGACAGATCATTTACTTGGACAATGGTCCATTGATCTTGCCTGGGGATCACCGTTCCAAATTTTAAAAAGTTTGAAAATTAACAACTACTCCTTTTTGCTGTGAAGAATACTATATAATAAACCTTTTTTTTTTTGTTCTTCCTGAAACGAGTACGTTTCTGGATTTGAGATACTTCGTCGTTCGGTATATCCGAATTGTTTATATTTGTTTGTTTTTTTTTTTCCTTATGGGGGAAAATATTAATAATTATAATCTTTTCATTGCTATGAAAACTAAATAAATTACTCAGTGCCACATCCAGACAGCATGAGTAAACCTCAATTTTACGCAATATTTTGAAACTGTTGAGTTGATGGTTATCTCACAAAAAAATACTAAATCAGTAGTTTTTCATGTATATATACCTGATACTTGAAAGTCTGAAAACTACCATGATCACTCCTCCTTCCATATCACTTTTAAATATGTTTTAAGAAATCACTATGGTCTATGCACCAACTTTTGTTATTGGTTGAATATTTTTATTCAGATTAAAAAATAATTTTTTAATGTAGAAAATACATAATTGATGCATTTTATTTATGTGTACCAAAAACCTTTAACATGAAATAGCACGCATATCATAAATTAGATTAGTTTTAGTTTATTAAATTATATACTTATAACCCTTCAACGTAAAGGAATTTTTTTTCCAAATGATACTTGGAAAAATAAATATAGAAACGTGTTTTTATTTCGAAAAAATCCCTGCAAATCTGCAATTATATATCGTTTTTTGGTATGTTAGTAGAATGTAATAATCTTTTTTTAGTTTTCTCGTAACACACTACTACTTTTTTCCAACTGTTTAACGTAAACTCGCATGTCAATCATGCTTTCACGTGTGTTTAGTGTAGTCATGTGATAATGTAAGATTAAAAAAAAAAAAAAACGTTAGTAAAACATTTGACCTCAAATATAAAAATGACATGCACACTACATTGGATATATGTTTTTATAATGTTGAGGTACTTGGTTTCGGAAAATATGATTTGGTGGCCCCTTTTTGGTCCTGCATTATTATTGGTAAAAATCTCTCTTTTGGCCATTTCCTTTGCAAACAACACCGTATCAGGTCCACCTAAATAACTTTTCAAATATATCAATATTATTAAACAAGAAAAAAAAAAACAGTTGCTCTGATGAAACTACAAATAGAAACCAAGTCCAAAATTCTCCCTAGCATGGAGAGAAAAATGTTTTTTTTTTCTAATATCTGTCAATTATATATACAGTTATTTTGATTCTGTTAAAAGATAATTAAAATAAAATCATACTCCCTCCGTATTTTAATAATTGTCGTTTTAGAATTTTTATTTTTTTGAATTGGATGTCGTTTTCAAATTTCAATGCAAAATTTCTTACTTTTTAATGTTTTATGACATCATAAAACATTAAAAAGTAAGAAATTTTGCATTGAAATTTGAAAACGACATCTAATTCAAAAAAATAAAAATTCTAAAACGACAATTATTAAAATATGGAGGGAGTACTAAACAGAAAAAAAAACAATTAAAATGAAAATAAACCCATGCTAGGTTCGGATGTATATTTCTCACCGTCTACATCATTCCACTAAATCCCGTCCTTCTTCTTCTTCTTCTTCTTTTTTTTCCGTTGGGGCATCACTTCAAGTGATTCACTTGTGTTTTGGACATTTTTCTTCTTACCTGCCTTTATCATTCCTGCTTTTGGAAGATGACCTTAACCCAATCTTTGGTTTAAATTATTTTATGGCTTGGTATCTATTTCGTTTTGTAATGATCTCTAGGAATTCTTTTTTTTTATATATATTTCTGGTCAGGATGGATTCTTTTATCCTAAAAAATATATTTATTCCCAATTTCTTAGATACTAAACTTTTTTTTAAAAAAAATATGGTGAAGTTAACGTTTTTAAAACTGAAATTCTATTATAACCTTAATTTGTTTTTCCTCTGTCCATTGGTACTTTTAGTACTGGTCATGTCGTAAATAAATAAAAATTTACTTTATACCATTTTCTCTCTTATAGCCAGCAATCTTCTGTAGTTTTGTTCTTTTTCCTAAATTCCTTTATGAATTATGGGTTTGATTTGGTTACTGAATTTTTTAAAAATACTCTCTTTAATTTATCAAATGATTATTTATCGTGCTGATTAATATTTTTTTTGGTTAGAAATTTGACTAATTTTATTTCCCGATTAAATGTTTGTTTAGTTAATCTTGGTGAAATCGATTGGGGATTGTGATAACTATATTTTTAATAAAATAAAAAATAAAAATTGGGGAATTTATGTTTGTGGCAAAGTTTTCTGACGGTAACCATCATTAAGCGGGTTATAACTTATAATGGGATGAACTTTCTAGCAATGGGAACCAAAACAGAGTTTCTTTCACCTTTGTATGATTTGTCTCTAAAGTTGGTTAAAGCCTTAAAGGTTTAGAGAAACTCACTGATGAGTGGTTGGCTCGCAAGCAAGTGTAACTAAGCGAGCTTTGACGATCTATTTGCACCATACGAAAATGGTTTAGCTGCTAAACCTGTATTGATTTATTCTCCTCTGGGAATGTGTCATGGAGAGTTTTGCAACTGAAAAACCATTTAAATAAATATGGTGCAATCGTGCATAAATAAGAGCAATTGTCCACTTACACATGAAACACCAACTCCAAGGATACAAACAATGAAATGATGAAAGAAAAATGAAGAACAAGAGGAATTGTGGAAAACCGAGCAATCTCCTCCTACTACTCTCATGTTCAGAAAGAAGGAAGTTGTTGGTTAGGTCATTTGTACACAAGTAATCAGACTGGACGTAGCTGGAAACAAAGATATCATCAGGCTATCAGATAAGAAGAAACTGTATTGTTGTTTTCTATATATTTTGGACCAGAGATGATATCATCAATTGGGAATCTTGTATATCATAATAATTAAGCCCTCCCCCTATTCACGGTCCTCATAAGCATCCTATTCACGGTCTTAGGAAACAGACAATGTAACTATTGTTGTTGTTTCAAAACATAAAGAAAGAGTTTACCACCTATTTACCATCCTATCGAGATAGAGATAGAACCAAAACATAATGAACTTTGGTAAACAAAAACAGCTGCACCTTTGGTAAGTAAATAATGACAAGCCCTAAAAAGTATGTCCTCCTCCTCCTCCTCCTCCTCCTTGGTGGAACTCTTTGAGGACATTGAGAATCTGAGCTTCCATTCTCCTGACACGAGCAAGCAATCGGTTGCAGGATCTGAGGTAACCCTTAACGTTGTCCCTTTGGCATTTATCAATGTAAACTTCCATATCCCTGAGAATCTCCATGAGCTCATCAACCACCTGAGAATACTCCATGACCCGACCCGGGTCTCTCTCCACCACCTCCTCCAACTCTCTTCTGGCAGTTTCTAACCACTCGGCTGATAAACGAATCCGGGCTTTCAAGGAGTCGTAGCTATCGGAGTCGAAAACGTCTAAGAGTTTCAAGACCGTACCTGGCTGGATTTTGTAAAAGTGAAGAGCTTGAACATAACGAGGCTTGCTCTCCAAAGGAAGCTCTTTGATAGCACCATCTTCCAACAAATCGAGGTGGAGATCAAGAGGGGCGGTGATGATAGGAGGGTATTGGTGGAGACGGAAGAAGAACCAGGCGGAGGCAGCGACGGCGATGGTGGGGATGATGAAGTGGCCGCCGCCGCCGAATAGAGGAGGGGGATGCTTGTGAGGAGGGAGAGAAGATGGGTCAGAGGAGGGAGAAGTGATGGCGAAGAGGGAGATAGGGTTTTGAAGGTTGGAAGGCCTGTAACTGTAATGGTGAAAGGGGATGCTGTTGTGGTTCATCTGGTAATACGCTTTCACTAGACTCCCCATTTCTTCTCTTTCTTTCTTTCTTTCTTGTTGTTTCGACAAATTTTGATCTGATGATGATGTATTGATGAACCCTAAACCCCCAATTTCATTGCATTTTCGATTTCGCCAACCAACAGATTTCGGTCGTTTCTTACAACTTCCAAGGGGCGACAAAGAGCAGAGAAAGAATCTGATTATTTACGCCCAGTTACAATGTTAGAACTTAGGACACAAATTGTTGGCCTTTTTAAAGCCCATTATTATCTGGTGGAACTGACTACTTTAGTCATCCCTTTAATACGTTTGGTTGAATATAACTCATTTAATTGTTGGCCCTTTTAAAGCCCATTAGTTGTTAATCTAGGACCAAAATATTTCTTGAAAGTGAGAAACATGCCTCTCTCTCTCTAATGATAACAACGTCAAAACACATAATAATAGAAAAAAATGCCTACAAGGTCAACATGTGCAGTCTGCACCGACCCAAATTAATATTAGTGTTTCTTTTTTATTATTTCGAGTTTGATTAAATCTGACTTTTGTTTTGAGATATGGAACTTATTACGCTGAAGCCATTATCATGCACCCCTACTAATTGGTATGCATATAATAATATACAGTATTATCACTAGTGTTTTGTAATATGGGAAAATTGTATAATCTCGATTTTGAAAAATTCAGTAGGAGAAATATATTAACATTTTTTCTTTTTGCAAGTGTCTTTTATCATATCTTACATCACATGGGGCTTGGGCGGTTCCACGTTGTTTTTAGTATGTTTTCCTCATTTGTTTATTACACAGACTTCTTAGTGATTTTAGTAATAGTTTTGTTCGATAACATAATAAATACTACTGTTATACTTTGTTTACTAAATAAAAGGTACGTGAAGAAAGAAATTAAAAAGGCAATGTAGCCATGGAGGTGTGGGGGCATGATTATTTTTTTTGTGTCATCAAATACTGATGTTTGTTTAATTGCACGTATAGTATAATTCATTAATTTGTCTTGAAGCCTACTCTTTGCCCATGGGAATGTGAGCTTTCAAATTAAGTTAACATTTCCAATTTTATGATTTATTTCGCTGATGATGTTGTCTAAAGATACACAAAATGCAAACAAATAAATATCCCATCCCAACCAATATTTAATTAAAATGATTTATTGCTTGATCCTGATCTACAAGTTAATACTACTATAAGTACTCATTTCCTAAAGAAAGAAAAGGACAATTAATACTATGAATGAGTAAGTAAACCCCATTAAAAAGGGATAGAAAAACACCATGAATTAAACATATGAATAGAGAGCACTAATCTCATTTAATTAAATTACAGGTAAAAAGAGAGTCAACTACTAATTAATGGTTAGATCTCTCTACTTCCACTTGATTTGTTAACAGTTTACTCTCTTCTTAACCATTTTTGATTTTTGAAAAAAAAAGAAATTAGATTGGAGATTTTTTTATTGAAAAAAAAAGAAAAGAAATAATTAGATGGTTGATGTACCCATAGAAACCGGGAGGCACAAAAAACGGCAACCAAAGAAAGAAAGAAAGAAAGAGAAGAAGCAAGTCCAAAGAAACCAGAAGATTCTCCCGACGCCATTATCGTCCACCCTCCGAGCAGCAGGGATTCTAATCATTAATCCCTGCTCTTTCTTCCCAAGAGAAGGCTGAGATCTAGTAGCATTGAATCTCTGGAAGATCAAATCTTTGAATGTCGCATCTCGACGACGACATTCCTTCTACGCCTGGGAAATTCAAGATGGATAAATCCCCCTACTTCCTCCACCGTACTCGCTGGCAATCCTCCCTCGCCAAGCTTGCTTTTTGGTCCCTTGTCTTTTTCGGATTGCTCTTCATCTTCTTCTACCGATCTCCCATCTCCAATCCCGATTCTTCTCGCCGCTCTCTTCGCACCTACTCTTGGGGCGGTCCCCACTGGGAGAAACGCGTCAGATCCTCCGCTCGTGTCCGCACCCGCAACGGCGTCTCCGTTCTCGTCACCGGAGCCGCCGGCTTCGTCGGTACGCACGTCTCAGCCGCTCTTAAACGACGCGGCGACGGCGTTCTAGGGCTCGACAACTTCAACGATTACTACGACACGTCTCTCAAGAGATCTCGGCAAGCCCTCCTCGAGAGAAGCGGAGTGTTCATCGTTGAAGGAGACATCAACGATTTGTCTCTCCTGAAGAAGCTCTTCGAGGTCGTGCCTTTCACTCACGTCATGCATCTGGCCGCTCAAGCTGGTGTCAGATACGCCATGGAGAATCCCAGCTCCTACGTTCACAGCAACATCGCTGGCTTCGTTAACCTCCTCGAAGTCTGTAAATCCGCTAATCCTCAGCCGGCGATCGTGTGGGCATCGTCAAGTTCGGTCTACGGATTAAACACCAAAGTCCCGTTCTCTGAGAAAGACAGAACAGATCAGCCTGCGAGTCTCTACGCTGCGACCAAGAAAGCTGGAGAAGAGATTGCGCACACTTACAATCACATCTATGGGCTCTCTCTTACGGGCTTGAGGTTTTTCACGGTGTACGGGCCGTGGGGGAGACCTGACATGGCTTACTTCTTCTTCACCAGAGATATCCTCAAAGGGAAAGCTATTTCAATCTTCGAAGGAGCCAATCACGGAACAGTGGCAAGGGATTTCACATACATCGATGACATAGTGAAAGGATGTTTGGGGGCTCTGGACACGGCGGAGAAGAGCACAGGGAGTGGTGGTAAGAAGCGGGGTGCGGCTCAGCTGAGGGTATTCAACCTGGGGAACACATCTCCGGTACCGGTAACGGAGCTTGTGAGTATATTGGAGAGATTGTTGAAAGTGAAAGCGAAGAGGAACATGATGAAGCTGCCGAGGAATGGTGATGTGCCCTTCACACATGCTAATATCAGTTGGGCAGAGAGAGAGTTTGGGTACAAACCAAGCACGGATTTGCAGACTGGTCTAAAGAAGTTTGTAAGATGGTATCTTGGTTACTACAAGCAGCAGGGGGGAAAGAAAGTTGCTGCCGCTTGATTGATTCATCAAAAGAAAGTTGCTGCCGCTTGATTGATTCATCAAGATTCTTGTCATTTATAAAAACGAACACACTTTCTTTCTTTAGAGTGTCCCATCCCATGGTTGGGTATAGTGAGTGGATTGATACACACCATACATAAAGAAGAGACATGATTCATTCGAGATTATATATACAAATATTCTTTACATTTGTATCCTGACTGTTGTAATTTCGATCTCTTTGAGTTGAATCTCTGATATTTATTTCATAGGAAGTTCACATTTATCTCTGCTATTAGCAAAGCACAATAAGTGAAACAAAGTGTGATTGAACAAGAAGGAATGCAAATTAAGTACTAGTAAATAAGAAAAACTGCAGGCCTTGGAGTGGTGACTAACTCTCAACATTGTCCCCATATGCAGCATAACTAAAAATATATGGTTCAAATCCAATGGGATGAAAGCATAATCAAGCACGAACCATAATGCTAATCGAAGGATCAAATTCAAAGTTTTCTTGTAAACAAACAGACCTAAAGGTAAGCTTGGTATATAGAAATAAAAACAATGCTGATTTGAATACCTAGTAAAAGAAAGAAGGGCTAATTTAAGGAGGAGGAAAGGAAATCATCTATTAATAGTGTTCCCAAATTGTAAGCGGAGCCATACAAACAAATTTTTCTCCCTATGCTATGATGACGATGACGATGATGAAACCACTCCTCGTCTCCTCATCTTCATCTTCTTCTGGTGCTTCCGAACCTGAATTCGTACTCTGTTTGGTTACCAATGTCGTTTTCCGATTCAGAGTCATCCTCTCACGGAGGAGGAGGAGGAGATTACAAGTTCTTTCGTCAGATCAGCCGCGATCGTAATCTCCATCCCTCACTCCATCTTTCTGTGTTTTCATATATATACATTTGGTTGTTGTTTGGGAAAAAGGCTCAATAAAGGGGGTTGGGGTTTCAGGATTGCTACACGAAAATGCTTGGATCTACCAAAACCGGGGATTCTAAAGCTTGGAAGGTCCTCTCCCTCGTTTCATTTGTATGATTACATATATTGATTTTGGATTTGAATACATTGAGCATATGCAGATACTAATAATGGATAGAGTTACGGTCAAAGTAATGTCTCAGTCTTGCAAGATGGCTGATATCACTGATCAAGGCATTTCCTGTATGTCCTTTACCCTCCTCCTTTTCTTCATTCATTCATTATTATTCACTTTCCAATTATCATCTTATGTGATGATCTCTCTCATGTCCTGTGGAATCATCAGTGGGTCGAAGAACTTTTTAAGAGAAGGGAACCAATGCCTGGCATGGACGCTATCTACTTATCCAACCTTCCAAAGAGAAGTACCATATCCTAATCATCTCTTCTAGCTCCTTCCATGGACTATATCAAGGAAGGACTCATGTCTCCTCTCTCCTTTTGTCTTAATTGCAGCATTGTCATGTTTCTATCCGACATGTCTGGCCGGGAACCCTTGTACAGGAAGTAACTACAACTTGCCTCTTCCCTTTTTTCTCTATATCATCATCCTCATCATCTTGATTTCTTTCTCTTTTTTCTTCAGGGCATTTATCTTTTTCAGTTCCACTATCCCCAAAGAATTGGTCAACCACATCAAAAGTGATTCTAGCGTTTTACCCACGCATTGGTGCTTTACGAGAGGTTTTTTCTCTTCTAGGCTATCATCCCTTCCCTTATTACCTCCTACTCTTTTTATCGCTTTTTTGGTTCCTAAAATTTTTACTACTTTTTATGCAGATGAATATGGAGTATTTCCCCATAGATAATCAGGTAGGTACTATTCTGGAGCGCTTAAGCAACTAGTTACAGTAGCTACACCATCTTGAAGTTGAATTTAATTTGAACAATTATGTTTTTCCCTGAAAACAAACTAGGTCTTTCCCTGATGATCTTACCCTCTTTCTCAGGGATTTCTAACTGATCATGAGCAAGCACTGGAAACGCTCTATGCTGACGATGCTGAGAATTCACGCCACTTTAATATTTGTTTGAATATGATGGCTACTAGAATTGCTACCGTGTTTGCTTCACTCAAGGTAAATACCTTCTACACATTCACCAAAGGGAGACTCACTACGTCTTCCTTTTATAGTCACAAGGAATTTAGGATTTGGTGCTGGCAAGCTCTTCTTTATAAGAACTCCCTTAGCCAAATTAATGATATACGGTCTTGTAGGAAACTCAAGCTTTTCCCATATCTCTCTCTTCTTTATGTGTTTTTAGGAACTACCCTTTGTTCGGTATCGAGCTGCTAAGTCCACGGCTTCGAGGGACTTGGTTCCATCAAAGCTTGCTGCTGCAATTTGGGACTGTATCTCAAAATATAAAGCCATTCCTAACTTCCCCCAGACCGAAACATGTGAGCTGCTCATGTGGATAGATCAGGTGGATCAGGTTTTAAGGCTCATCTACTACAATTACTCCTCAGGTCATATTGATAGTTTTTCTCTAACGAGTGAGGTGTAAGGTAGATAGCTCCTATCATACACGAATGGACCTATGATGCTATGTGCCATGATTTGCTTGACATGGAGGGGAATAACATTCATTTGAGGTAATTCTATTTTCTTTCTAATCCTTGACTTTTTTGTGTTTCTCTCTTCCTAATCTTTCTACCATATGCTAGGTCCAAGTAAAACTGGTGGCCTCCGGAGAAAAAGGAGATAGTGCTTGAAGATCATGATCCAGTGTGGCTTGAGCTTCGCCACACATATAGCAGATGTATAACACAATTATTTATAAACATCTTCTTTTCACTGAATAGCTCACCATGTTGATACCATCATTTTGGTTTATATATAGGCCAGCGAGCGTTTGCATGAGAAAATGACCAACTTTGCTTCAAAGAACAAAGCCGCACAAATGAGATCAAGGTCAGCGCTAAGAACTTATCTTTCTGTCTTAATAACCGATTTTCAGAGTGCTTAGACAATGGAACAGTTGCCTAAGTTTGATATCTTGAAGAATTTAAGTTTCTTGTTATCCTCGATATGGATGCGTGATCCCTCACAGACTTGTTTGATATGTTTAGTTAACATCTTTGGCTACTGTGACGCAGGGACGGTAGCGAGTTGTCTACACGAGATCTACAGAAAATAGTTCAAGCTTTGCCGCAATATGGAGAACAAGTTGACAAACTCTCCACTCATGTAGAGGTTTGTCTCACCATTAAATTATCTCAAAATTTCAATATTAGATGTGGTTGCTGACAGTTTTTTTTGTAAAACTTTATAATCAAATTCAGCTAGCTGGAAAAATTAATAGAATAATCAGAGACACAGGACTTCGGGATCTAGGGCAGCTGGAACAAGATCTTGTTTTTGGAGATGCAGGTGCCAAGGACGTTATCAACTTTCTGAGGACAAATCAGGTGAATAAGTTTGAAACATGACAAAAAAACTTCATAGCCGCATTGCTTTAGTGTTTGAAATGACACATCATAATTTAAACTACAGGACACGAACCCGGAAAACAAATTACGGCTATTGATGATTTATGCAACAGTGTACCCCGAGAAGTTTGAAGGTGACAAGGGTGTAAAGCTAATGCAGGTAGCTTTTGGTGTGATTGAGAACCCCTTGTAATGCATGGAACAGCTCGCTAAACAAATAATGCATTTACATTATCAGCTTGCTAGATTATCACCTGTGGATATGAAGGTTATAAGCAACATGCAATTGATAGCTGGATCTCCAGAAAACAAGGCTAAGTCCGGTAGTTTCTCCCTCAAATTTGACGCTGGAAAGGTAACAGATTCAGTTTAGTTATGAAAAATCGACACTAGTTACCGAGAATAAGAAGAAGAATCTGACGGTAATGTATACTCTTTTGGTGTAGACAAAACAAGCAAACAGGAAAGATCGATCTGGTGAAGAAGAAACATGGCAACTGTTCCGGTTTTATCCCATGATAGAGGTAGATGAACACCCGGCTTATAAGTTACATATCCATTATGTAATCATGAAATGGCTGAGATAAATCTTGGTTATGTTGTTGTTGCAGGAGCTGCTTGAGAAACTCGTGAAAGGCGATCTATCTAAAAGCGACTATCTATGTATGAATCAATCAAGTCATAAGGAGGAGAGTGAACCAAGAACAGGGTCAGTAAGGAAGAGTTCTGCTCCTACAGCAGTTCCAGAGCGAAAAGCCACCCCTCATTCTATGAGATCAAGACGAACTGCAACTTGGGCGCGTCCTCAGTCTTCTGACGATGGATACTCCAGGCATTCTATTTTACATCATGATTTCTTATTTTTTGGTCCATTTTAGAGGAGCTTGGGTTTTTGCTAAGAGTAGTTCATATCTTTCTTCACACTCAGTGACTCAGTGTTGAAAAGTGCTTCTACGGACTTCAAGAAGCTGGGGCAGCGCATCTTTGTATTTATTATTGGTGGGGCAACTCGATCCGAGGTATACATTCAAACAAATCCGACCTTAAATGAATTGCTATATATGTTTCTTTTTATCAAATCTTGTGTCAACATTGGCATAACTTTTTGACAGCTCCGAGTTTGCCACAAGTTGACAAGCAGTTTGAGGAGAGAAGTGGTACTAGGCTCCACTAGTTTCGACGATCCCCCACAGTACATCACGGTAACACCACATATTCCTTTTAACAGTTGATGATTGGCTCAATACAAAAAAAAAACACCATGGAACCTCAAAGACTGACTGATTTATAAGGAATCTAAAAGATTCTTAATTCCAACTGTTTTAAATGTTTTCGCAGAAGCTGAAATTGCTGTCGGAAAAAGACATACAAGGGGCTCCTGCCCAGCCCTTCAAACCACAATACTGGTGAATTTGACACAGCTTGAGTCTCAAAAATGTATTTAGGAGAAGAAAAAAAAGGCTAATAATTTTGCAATTGAAAGAAGAGTGGATAAGTAACAAGACTTGGGATCAGGTTAGTAGAAACGTTATGGTGAAGACTTTTTTTTTTGTTCTTGCTTCTCCTTGACCCCAAACCCTCACCTTTTGCTTATTTTTATTCTTCATAAGGATCATTTTGGTTCATCCTCTATATACTTTTGTGTCACAATTAAACTCTATATATTAGTCTCTATGCTAGCTTCTAATTTGTTTACCTTTTGGCTATCTATATATTGATTCTTCTGCTGTTAGTTATTTTTTAAGTTTGGAGTTATATAGCAATCTTTTGCCAACTCTACGATTGCTATGTAGCAAATCTTTTGCCAACTCTACGATTGTTTAGTTCATTTTAACTCATACGATTGAATTTGAGAATTTCTATTGTGACTAGCATCATGTTCAAGATACTCATCTTAAATGAGATTTATCTCCAAATTGTTTTAGAGCAATGTCACCAAACAAAGAAAAACTATTTCCCCAAAAAAACAAGGAATATAAAATTCCACAAGAATTGGATATTTACCATCAGCTACAACTGAATAAGATTAGAACACAAAATGAAAGCTGTTTACGGATTCAACACAGATTAACGAGTATGTATGATCTAGGCAACGGTGGTGGTAGGACCAGGATAAGCAGGAAGAGTCATGATCCGCTTGTCTACAACTGGACCTCCCACAGTGAAATGGTACAGACTCTGAAAGCTAGAGTCTTTAATCCCCAGAATCTCGTGCACTGGATCATCGAAATAGCACCCTATCCCGGTTGCTGAGATCCCCATTGCGTGTGCTTCCAGGTACAAAACTTGCCCAATAACACCCGTCTCCCAGAACAGTCGAGGGTACACCCATGAGCCCTTCTCCCGCAGCGCTGGTTCAAACCGAGCTACCATACCTAGGCTGAAGCATCCATCCCCTGCAATGTCCTGCATCCATCAACCACAATGATTCAGCAACCAAGTGATATATATTGTATTGCAACTCTATCCGAATCCGTACCTGATGACATGATAGCCCTTTTGCCAGCTTCTGGCAATCACCCTCGGTGAGCTTGTACAGAGGAAGATCGTTCGGGCATCCATCTGGTTTCTTCCACTCAAATTCAGGCCTCGTAGCTGTTTTGAGATCGCTGAGATGATCCTCGTTTCTGACTAGGAAGTACAGTCCCTTTGGCAAACCCGAAACTCTGTGAACAAACAAGGCAAGATGAACCTCAGCAGTATCCAAAGGAAGAGCTCGAAACGGCAGCGCAAGTTGCTCTCTTTGGGGCTCGCCTGTGGTGGAGCCGGAAGGAAGACAGTGCATCAATATCTGGTAAAACGCAGACATGTCTATACAAGTAACAGCGTCCATATCAACAGCACTTCTTCTCGTCCTTACAACTTGCCTCGCCGTTAACTTGTTATAAGAACTCTGGCTAAACAGGGCACTGCTTGTGAAGGAAGCATCAATTGAAGAAGAGGTGGAGTAGATCAATGGAGGCTTTTCTACAGCCTTGGCTGTCCTATAGATGATATCCCAACACAGATGCTCTTTGCTCAGAGTATTGGGGTTTCCATTCCACTCTAGGCTTGGGAAGTCTCTAAGGGCAGAGCAAATTCCGAGGTAGTCTAAGTTGATATCTCTAGTCCCGTGGGGGAAGACAAGGAGCAAGCAGTCAGGATGCTCGAATTCAATCTCAGGGAGCTTACCTTTACCTTTACCTGGCATCTGAAATTCAGGGAGCCCCATAAGGCTCTTGAGATCATCAGCTCCGAAGCCGTCGAGAAGCTTCAAGTCCCAGCCAAGCTCTGCGGCTGCAATGGTGAGAGCGGCAATGGCGTGGCCGACGTCGTGGTTACAGTACCTAAACGCTCGTTCTCCGTACTTCCAAGCTTCACGCCAGAAGATAGAAGAAATGCCGATGAGAAAAGAATTCTCCGGGAAAAAGTTGGGGAAAAAGGAAGAGGGGATGTGAGCTCTAACCTCCAAAGAATGCTCTTTAGGAGCATAGTGGGCGACGAAAGCGGATTGGGAGAGGGAAGGGATGGGAGGAGCAATGAGATAGGCCTCGGTGGGATGCAAGTTACCGCTGCTGGGGTTGACGCGGAGGGGCCAGGTGGAGGATCCGGTGGTCTTCCAGGCGGAGAGAGCGAGAGAATGGTAGAAAAGGTGAGAGATGGTAGCGAGAGAGATGGGTTTGGGCGGAGGAAGCGAGTCGAATAGACAAGAGTAGAGAGGAGAGTCGTCGTCATCGTCGTGATTGGGGTGTTGGAGAGGAAGAAGAGGAGCAGAGAGGTAACGGCGGAAGGGATTAGGCTGATTGGCCCAGTCGAGACCACGAGGACCTCTCGCGTAACCGGTGAAGGAGTGCTTCGTCTGGTTGTGGTACTCGAGAACCAATTCAAGCGAAGAAGAAGAAGAAGAAGAAGAGAAGGTCATGGCGGAGATAAAGGCACTTGTTGGTGTGCGATGGATGGAGAGAAGAGAGGTCGAAGACGCTAACCTCCACGAAATCGTCGGGTTCATCATTCTTCCTTCTCCTTTCCTCTTTCTGGAATTCCCAGAAATTATAGGATTTTTGTACCGAACCGGTTCAGATATGGACCGGTTAAGGGTTAACCAAAATTACATGTGATTTCTTTGACTCGGGGAACAATTGCACTTTTGCTTTCTTTTTTTAACATAAAGAGGAAGAAGAAAGTGCAATCTATGGCGTGACTCGTGAAAGCTTTTTTGGTGTCTGAAAAGTTACCATGTTATGCTCTCTATGTCTCTTATAGTCGGCAAAAGTCAGAGTAGTAAGAAATTTGGGTATCCTTATGAGTTCAAAAAAAGAGAGTTTGGGGGCATTGGCATAACGACTTGAGCAACAACAAACCACTCAGGCTTTCATGCTTTACCATTTTCCCACACAAAACCGACTATCACATGATTTCCCTCATTACTACTACCTAACTCACTTGTGTTCTTTGACCATATCTCTACATCAAAATTGTCCTCAATTTTACTACATTACTTGGCATAAAAGGTGGTAATTACTGACCAATAATCTGATCAAGCATTAAAAAACTGACGAGGCCATGTCTTCCTCCTCCGATGGCGCTGGGAGATTTAGATCTATCAAGCTGATTATTATTCCTGATCTTCTGATCGTGGATTCATCATTGCTGGCCGAAGCGTGAGATCTTTTGTGACCTCCGAGAGCTTGACCAGATGAGAAGACCTTGGAACAGATTGGACATTCATGGTGACTAGTTGTACTAGTCTTTTTCTTCTTCTTCTTCAACTCATCTGAGACTAATTGATCTGTTTCTGCTCTCTTCTTCCTGTGGCTTGCTCTGTGTCCACCTAACGCCTGATACGACTTAAACACTTTCTCGCAAGTCTCGCACTCGAACCACTTATTATTCCTCTTCTTCTTCCCTCTCTCCTCCTTCTCCCACTTGTCTCTCGACAGCAACATGAGACTCAAGGCCACGTCTTCTTCCTCTGTTGCAGCGTCAGACACCGAGCTCATCGGTTCCTGCTCGGTACACGCCTCACTGAGTTCTTGAACCCCGATCTTGATCTCTGCTGCTCCTGCGGTTTCACTTTTCCCTTCTTCGTTGGATCTCCGGTTAAGTCTGGATCGTTTGCGGGTGGGCTTCTTGGACGATTCGGTTTCACTCTCTCTGTCCTGGAGTGGATCGGCCATGGAAGATGAAGCTGACTCGGGCTGACTCGGGAGCATGTGAGACCTCATGTGACCTCCCAAAGCCCTTCCATTAGCGAAGCTCTTCCAACATAACTTGCACTTATGCCTCTCTTCCATTTCCTCAATCTACCAAAACAGACCAAAAATAGAAGAAAAGAGAAAAAGGAGAGAAATAAAGGCAGTGAAATAAGAAGAAGAAGAAGTCGGAGTAGGTTACAAGCACTCTTCCACCAACACTTGAGCTAATATACGAAGTCCCAACAACAAGTAAATGTTTTTTTTTAAGGAAAATAATTAATGGGATACTTAAGAATATCAACGAAAGCAGTTTACTTTCTTTTTAATATCAGAAACGGCTAAATAAAGTCTTGTCTGTCTGTTGTGTAAACATAAATAATAAGCCTGTAAAATATCAGTATATACTACTATATAATTATCAGTTATGTTTTTGTTAATTTATTGAGCAAAAAAAAGAAAAAAAGAGGAGTATTGGTGAAGTGAAGAGCGGTTGATCAAACATGTAACATGCGACTCTCAGCCCCTTTATTTCTCTATTAATTCCTCCCGCTGACTTTTTTTTTGTAAACCAAAACTGTTGATATATGTTTGTTGTAACGACGAACAACACTAACACTGACCACACACACCCTTTCTAAATCTAATTTACCAAACTTTAATGTCTGTGACAAATACACCAACTCTCCTCAAATCATACACTGACACGTGTGACTTAACTGCTGACTTCCCGCCTCCTAAAGTTAGTGCTGTCTTTGACTCTCCTCTTTTCATCTTTTTATTTGAATGATTTTCAATATAAGAATCCACATTTCATTACTCTACAAATTTCTGCTAACAAATATATTTTCTCCAAAAAAATTTGGGTCATCAAAGGTAATTGTTACTTTAATTTAACCATGCATGCATGTATTATAGTACACAAGTGTAAATTCTTCTATTCTAAAACGTGTACACCACATCGTTTATTTGCGTTAAAAAGATTATTCAATTAGGTATACTCTATGTATATTTCTGGAATTCAACTAAATCAAGTGCATGTCCTTTTGAACACCCATGGAAAGCATAAATTATATAAAAGGTAAAATCGAATGGTGCATCTTTAGAAATATATATCATGTGAAATACATATGGCAATGAACAATATTTCCAAGCATGTCTAAATTATTTAAACTACGAGTATCTCGTTGAGACGTTATTACGCCTTACTAGACCAAAATTTCCTTGTATCAATAGCGTTGTAACTTATGTCTATATGTGTCAATTGTTGATTAGAGACTTTAGAGTACATGTCTTCAAATTAATTGATTATTTTTTGAGTGGACCTGGAATGCACACGAGTATTTTCACATTCTCATCCTAGAGACAGCACAACAAGTGTTATTTTATTAATCAAGATGAACCATAACCACAATTGTATGAGGGTTATCTCCTATTGAACGGTTCATATCATGAGTATACTCATTCCAAATTTCATCCCAATCAAATGATAGGTAGTGAACAACTTACTTTTACACTTATTGCCATAGATGATTGGAATGTTGCTCGGAAATTTTGGGTGAGGTGAGTTATGATAGCCAACGACCAGCCTAAGCTCTACTTGTCCAAATTCATATTCCTCAACTTTTTTCACGATCCAATCAAGCGTTAGCTCGTGATCCATACTGACTGTGATTTTTGCGTTCTCGTAATCCCACCAAACCGTGGTGGTCTTCTGATGAATCGCATCTTCATCTTTCGGACAAACACTGTTGTAGTGGTTTCCACTATGGTATGATCTAAACGGGTAAATTTGTTACATGGTGAACAAATCTGTTAAGTAGTTCAATTGACTAAGATATAAGAACTTACAAGTTGATCATGCGTCCGTTAGGCACCTTGGGCATGGTTTCGTTACTTGGAGAGTTATCCCGGTGTACACGTATTCCAGTGTGTGTGATATTAGCAGCTGCTTGTAGCTGGATATAATCTCCCCAAGCTCCATCTTGGCTCATGTGTACACAGTAAGCTGTAAGCCTCATAACTCTCATGTTCAACATAGTCAACAGACTTCTCAAATAGTTCATGATTTGCCTGTATAAAGTCATAGCCATTTAGAAGATTACAAATCAAATTTTAAAATCTTTGCCCAAAAAAAAAAAAAAATCAAATTTTAAAAACTTCCTTGTATCAATAGCCTTGTAACTTATGTATATGTGTCAATTGTTGACTAGAGACTTTAGAGTACATGTCTTCAAGTTAATTGATTATCTTTTGAGTGTCCCAAAGAGTCATATACTTTGCTTGAGCTTTTCTCAAAGAGAGATCGGAGGATATCAGTTGACATTAATCAAATTCCCACCGCTAATCCTAGTTTTCAGCTGATGGTTGGTATATGATATTTTATATGTGAGAGAAATAAAATAAATTAACTTGAAGACATGTACAAGTTATGAACTTTTGACTTTTGGCTTCCTAAAATCAAAAGTTCATAACTTGTAATGGCAACAACTCGTTAATATTTTATATGCGAGAGAAATGACCCCTTCTTTGCAATCGTGCTTAATTAATTAAGAAGACCCACCAAATTTATCAATTATGTTGACTAATGTTCATGCGTTTTCGGTATAGTAAGAGCGTTTTGGTCAAAATATATATTGGTTGATCACGAGAGTTATTTGATACGTGATAGTTGTTTGTTTATTTTTGATATTTTCTTCTTTGTGATTCTTTTTAATCGGCTTATTAATTTCGAAGTTCCAAATTTTTGTCGACAGGTTCAAAAATATATTTCCTTCTTGATGGCTAAACAAGTAAATTATATCACTCCCCAAAACTACAATATATATTCATATAGACTCTTTCGGTATCAAAATAATTGATGTGTTTATGAAATTCTTTTGCATCAAATTAACTGATGTACTTACTTTTCTATGCAAAATTTACTAAAAAAAAATTGTGACAATTTGTATTATGGATCAGTTTGTTTATCGTTGGTTGAATTGTGTTTGGATAGACAGTAAGTAATGTTTCTATTTTAAAAAATGATTTATTTAACATCAACTATTTTGATATAGAGGGTGTGAATAAGTATACCCCATTACCCCCTTGGTTATCTCTTTTCAATGTACATACTTATTTGCTTTCCAGAAAAAGAGATGATACAATTATTGGTGATCATTCTGTCTTATATTAACTAGTTGTAATACTAATTTCTTACTTTCTATATATATTGGGCAAGAGCAACCTATTATACATGGCTCTCTAAAATTAAAACAGTAAAGCACTGCAGATGGCGTATAGTGTAATTCATTATAAAATCCATACAAGTGTATAAATTCATGCACTTAATTGTATGTAAAGGATATAAACGAATGAAAGTTAAAAGAATATAATTAGCAACTTAATTAATTAGTCAGTCGTCAAGACCAATCACCACTTGCGAGTTTTAACCATGAAGATGAAGTGGCGTTGTGACTATTGCCACCACCATCTCTCTCGATCATCCCTACGCTCATGGCCGTTGGATCAACGGAATACTCTTGGCAAGCTAAGTTGAGATCGAGAGATGGTTGATCTAACGGCTGCGGTCTACCGACGGAATGGTGATGATCGTGGAGCGACGTCATACGAAGATAATTGGAAGGTGTTAGCCAATGGCATCTCTTGTGGCCTCCCAAGGCCTGTCCCGAAGAGAAGACGCGATGGCAGATGGTGCACTCGTGAGCGTTGGATCTCTTTCTTGGAATGTGAGCCGTTGATTTGTCTTCTTCCTCCTCCTCATCTTCGTCCTCGTCCTCGTCGTCGTCTTCTTTGTATTCCTCTTCCTCTTCCTCTTCTTTATCTTGAGAGGCAAAACAACCCTTCACTTTCTTGTGGCTTGCCCTGTGTCCACCCAATGCCTGATGCGACGTGAACACCTTCTTGCAAGCTTTGCATTGGAAAACCTGAGCGGTTTTTTGCTTCTTGACGGTTTTGCCCTTACCATGTCCATGTTGTTTATGATGATCACCATGCGCATCCCCTGAATTGGACAACAACACAAGACAGTTGGCGAGCTCCTCATCTTCGTTTGGAGACAAGTTAAGATGATGATGATGCTGAGTGGGCATCGATCTCTCCCTCTTCCATGGACGACGTGACATGTTGTCCTCATCGTGTTGTCCGCGACTGAACATTACGAAATCAATGCATGACGAGTTCATGACTCCATGCATGTGTGTGTGTTCAAAGTGTTTTGGTGTGAATTAAAAAGGAGAAAGCCCTTGTTTTTAGTGGAAGTAACGGGTTTGGTGTCTTCTTGTTCATGTGGTTCCAAGTAGCTGAGCACTTGCTTTAATGACACGTGGTGCAACTTTTGACTTTTTCCAACATTCCTAGTCACATGCATCTATATAGAATGTGCATGGTTTAACAACAATACTCTCATTTCATCATATGCTTACAATAAGTTCTCTTATAATAACCCAAATGTAAATTATGACAATTAGGGAGAGGTGAGGCTGCGGATGAGAAGGCCTTCGAAGGTGATTCCAGGTCCGAAAGCTAAGCCAAGTCCCCACTCTTGTGCTTCATCACCTTTCTTCTTCAGCTCCTCTCTCATATACTCCATCACATACAGTATCGTGTTGCTGCTCACGTTCCCGTAATCCACCAACGCCCTTCTGCTGCTCTCCAGCTTCTCTTTCTCCAGCTTTAGTTTTGTCTCCAGACGGTTCAGAATCGCAGGTCCTCCTGGATGAACTGCCCAGAACATGTCATTGAACTCCATCGACTCATCACCACCAGCCTTTCCCATCAGCTTCTTGCAGAACTCTTCTATGTTCTCCTCTATCTTCTGCGGGAGGTCTCGTCCAAGCTTGAAGTTTATGCCTTCCTCCGTCAACCTCCCGTCGATCACGTTCTGTGTCCCCGGCAAGAACTGCTGAACCGCATAGTGCAGCTCCATGAAAGGAGCTTCACACTCTCTCGGATCAGCTCCGATGATCACAGCAGCTGCACCATCTCCAAACAGAGCAGCTCCAACTAGGTCGTACGGACGAGCTTTGTTTGGTGGGCGAAACCCGAGAATGGTGGTTTCAGAGGTTGTGAGCAGAACACGGCTTCCCGGGTTGTTCTCAGCAATGTCTTTGGCCACACGGAGGCCAGTCACACCTCCGTAGCATCCCAGAAAATACAGCATCACTCTGTTCACGTCATTCCTCAGGCCTAGCTTTGCTGAGAGGTAAAGGTCACCACCGGGTAATCGTATCTCGCTTGAGGAAACGTAGACAATGTGAGTGATGTCTTCCACTGGCCTTCCCCATTCCTTGATGCAACCTAAACTGGCTTCCAATGCCATTTCCACAACCGCCTCGTTTGCAATTTCAAGTCTTTGCTTGATTGTTGGTGAACCCTCTGTTGTTAGCTCAGGGTATTTATCCAGAATCTCTCGTGACAATACCGTGTAGCGCGTCTTCACGGTTGTGGTTTTGCCTAAACAACAGCAGAAAACATTAGCAAGCTTTCGCATTTCACAATAGAGTACAGCTGCGTTAAAAATATATATAAAGAGACTGAGGCTTACACAAGTGTTCCAGCTTTTCTTTGATAAACGCGTCCTCACATTTGGTGTCTCGTAGAAATCCTTCCACTAGATTCTCCTGAGGAACGACTTGGCTTGGGAAGGCTTTGCCAAGAGCAAGCAGTGTTGCCTTTCCGGGATTTGCGACACGCCTTGTGGATATGCTGCTTAGCTTCTCAACACCGTTCATTCTAGAATTCGACATCTTTTTTCAAGCGCAGAAGGAAAAAACTCAATTAGATATTGGGAAGAAAGATGGTGGATGCAGAATATTAGCAAAATCAAAGGATTATAAAGGAAGGGTTGAGGGTTTTCTTGGGGAGAGTTTGGTGCTGACGAGTGAGGGTCATGGAAAGAGAGAACTGGTTATTTTATTAGGGTTTGGTGATTCTTTGGCCTGTGTTGGTTAGAAATGCAAAAAACACCATGAAACCTATTTTCCCGGGATAAGTAATATAAGCCTAATCTACTTAGGTAATAGGTACCATGAAGGTGAAAGTTATGAACAGAGAGTTGCAACGTCCTTAGAGACCTGTAACAGAGACGATGAATACAAACTTGTTTAATTGCTGAGGGGCATAATTTTTACAATTGGCAATGAATAATTCTTGACACAGAATTGAAAACGGAAACAAAGAGAAAGGACCCCATTTACCAGAAACCAGATGCACGGTCTAACGTCCAGCTCAAGAAGATTTAAGTGGATATCCTTCATTCTGATACAGAGCAATTATCTGATTTTCTCATTGTAGCCATCCTCTTTGACACAAACTGAAGTTCTTCCCACTTTCCAGCAGCCTCTAAGGCATTTGTCAAAACCACGTGGCAGCTAAGCTGTTGGTGATTTCCTAGTTCTACTAATTCATTGTACAAACTAAACGCTTCAGAGTGTCTCTTATGCTTACATAGTCCTTCTATGACCGTGTTACACGTGTCGATATCTACCATTTGACTCTTTTCCAGACAAAACAGAACAAGTGTGTGTGCATCAATCAGTTTTCTATTCTCGCGAAGAAAATCAAGTAAATCCTCCATCTTAACCAAATACCCGTTATCATAAAGCAACCTAACAATCAGAAATGCCTTCTCCTTCTGTGCACTACTAAAGAGCAATCTGACAGCCTGCGTTGAAAGATCAATGTTCTGTCTTATTCGTTTTTCCAACATCAGCGTTAGCAAGCCGAAAGAGTCGTTGGCAAATTTCCTTTTCACAAGTTCTGCAAGTACAGTATGGAAAGTGGTTGCAACCGGAAGATAAGAGCTCCTTAGCATCCTTTGTAGGGTATCGTGAGCAAGAAGAGCTTCACCTATCTTCAATAGCCCATCAATCAATAACTCGTAGGTTTCAAGATCAGGAACAAATTCCCGCCTGAGCATTAGAACCAACAGCTCATAAGCAGCCTTGAATTTACCTTCTCTGCAGAGACCCGTGATCAAAGTCCTGTAAGAGGATGGATCTTGCGCTCCTCTTTTCATCAGCTGCCTAAAAACTTTCTCCGCTTGTTTTGCTTTCCCATTGGCACATAAGTATTCGAACATTGGGTTATAAGCTGCAGCAAGAGGCTTGCATTCATCCTTACCTAACAATACTTCCTTCTCAAATAACTCATTGAACAATGTCTCGGCTCTATCAAATTCATTTCTCAGGCACAGAGTACGAATCAAAACACTATAAGAAGCTGAATCAGGATGCAACTTCATATTCAGCATTTCTTGGAACACCTTCATCGCTGCATCCAGATGTCCAGCATCGCAGTGGGCTTTGATCAAAATATTAAAAGTGCAGGCATCTGGAGCGAAAGTGGTAAATGCGTCCCCTCCATTCAAAAATTCTTTGATCTCATCATATCTGTGAGCCTCCGAGAGCCCCTTGATCAGAGTATTGTAAGTTACAGCATTGGGTTTCAGCCCTCTGGTCAGCATTTCATGAAACACAAGCAATGCTTCATCAATTTCCTGCTTCATACAATAGCCTCGCAGCAGAGTAGTGTAACTAACAATGTTGGGATGCACAGCCGTTGCTTTCTTCAACATTCCATTCAAAACATTATGTGCAATCTTGACCTTGCCGGCTCTGCATAACCCATCGATGATCGTGTTATATGTAACAACGTCAGGATTGCAACTATACAGCTCCATTTCCTTAAAAATCCTAAAGGCTTGGTCGACCATGGAGTTCTTACAAAACCCACTTATCAATGTATTGAAAGTATACGAATCTGGGGTAACCCCGTAGGTACGGCGCATTTCGTCGAACATGTCATGGGCCATTCCAGTTCGGCCACGCTTAAGCAAAATCGAGAGAAGACTGTTGAAGGTAAGCACGGAAGGCGAGATGCCCATCTTCTTCATGGTCTGGAACAGCTTCACTGACTCCTGGAAGAGCCCAGCGTTGCCGTAGCTCCTAATCAAGCTGTTGAAGTAGCGATCCTGGAGCTTGACGCAGCCGTTAGACCTTTTCTCGATGGAGAACAAGAAATTGCGAGCCGCATTGAGATTGCGAGCTCGACCTAGGAACTCTAACATGAGAAAGAAAGACTGCTCTTTGTGAGAGAAACCCTTGTTGGAAACCCAGTCGAAGAACCGGAGACCATCGGCAGGAACCTTGATGAGACGCAGGGTTTGGAGAACGGTGGTTCTGGAGAGGGGTTCAGACGGATGAAGAGATGAGAGTGAAGACTCGAGTTCGTCCGACCACGGGTTAGAGTTCACGGCACGCGCCAAGGACCTGGCGAGTTTTGATTTGGTCGACCCAGAACCTTCTTCATTGGTAACTTTGGCGGCTCGGATAACTACTGGTAGAGACTTGGAGACAAACAAAGCATGGAGTTTAGGGACAGAAGAAACCATTGCCGGGAAATATGGCAGACGTCCACCGTGAAAAAACTGCCTTCCTTCCGGCGGACCAAGAGAAGAACACATTCTTCAATCTCTAAAGCCCATTCTAAATGGGCTCCATTTTGCTCCATCTACTTGAGGCCCAATATAGAGAGATATGGACCCACACAAATGACAAATGATATGAGGGAAAGTGCAATAAGTGGTGGGTATCGAGAGATGTTGACAAGGCAACAAGTTTGGTGTAGCATTATCCTCCTCCTTTTCTTTTGCCTTTTTCTCTATTCTTATTTATATGCATGTTTTTTACTAGCTCATAATTCATAAAAATATACACAGTTAATTCCTCCAATATCAACATAATCGGTTGAATAAATAATGGATGTTGCATTTATGTTGTTTACTGCGCTACTATGTAGTGTGACATACTGTTTTTTTTTTTTTTTTGGTTATGTGGAATTAGAAATGAGGTAGCTTATGGTTAAGAGTGATTAAGAGGTTTTCATTATAAGTAGGAGTTAGTACTATCAATTGTCTACTTTGAGTGAATAAAAAAGCCTCCTGACAGCGTAGAGCGTACCATCAGAATAAGTTGTAGTAGGAGCGGCATTTCAATATTGTACACTGTAAAAAAAAATAAAAAATAAAGAAGAAGCAGACAGGATTATGCATATATAAATATAATCCCGAACCAAATATGAAAATAGAAATTTTGTTTTTTGGGTTTATAATTAGAAAAAAAAAAGAGAGGGGGTGAGGATAATAGAGACATGAGTCCGTACAGTTTGGGGGTCAACGTCGATGGCAGCCTTTGAGCACCTAAAAAGGGGGGACCCACACTATTCCCAATTACAAAACCTCACTCTCTCGGCTACGCTCGGCTAAACCCTACTCTCTCCCCTGTGCCGCCACGTGATCACCATCCGATTAATCGGGACCGTCGATTAGTTGCTTAGAGGCAGACATGGCGCGTGAGCGAGAGAGAGAGTTGTAGGCGAATAATAAAATTATTGAGAGAGTGAGCAAGATACGATCGGTCACTCTGTCTTCCCTAAAACGATCAACCTCCTACTTGCCATCTATTTACACACTTGCCATCCTGTCTTTCTAAACCCCAACACACACCATTCCCTCTCTCTCTCTTTTGGCTTTATCTTCTTTTTTTTTTTTTTTGTTAATTCAAACCTTAGCTTGTGCAACAATAGATATTTTATTTATCTTTTCTTAAAAAATCATGTGTAAACATGTAATTAATTGACGATGCGAGATTTATGATTTCTCATTCTCATTAAAAAAAAAAAAAATGTAATGAAAAAGAGAGAGAGAGGCCCAGCTGGGGAACAGAAGCGGGTCCCGACATAATTAAATAAGTGTAGAACAAACGCGTTTTTACTCTTCTTCATCCTTAACCACACGATCACCAATACTACTACACCCCCGGCCTTCTTCTTTTTTTCTTTAGTCCTGCAGGGGCTATTCAACATATACTATGTATCATATCCCATAATACGCTGTTAATAAGAAAAAACATAGGAAGAGTCTGTCTATATAACTTTAAATCTGAGTGTCCTTACATACATGTGTTTGTTTGTCGAACAAAACCTCAATTAGAGTCTCCATCAACCGTTTGCTAATTAAGAGTTACGTTATTCGCCCTTAATTAATACTGCTACTAAGATTTCAAATCACAAAGAAAGCTTTCAAAAAAGTAGTAGTAGTAGTAAAAAGGGACAGATGATTGGTAAATAATATAAATTAAATTGTTTTTAGTAAAAAAGGGCACAGACACTCACACACACTGCTTTCACGACCCATGTGAGTTTCTTTCTTCTCCATCTTCACTTTTTTTTAAGTAGAGGACAAGACAGACAGCTACCTCTTTTCTTTTTTCTTTTTTTTACAAAGAAGAAGATCAATAAAAAAAATGAATTAAAAAGGGACATTTAAGAGAGATGGATAGAGAGAGAGAAGGAGCTCCACCCACAAATAGAAAGTTAGGGTTTATTGGAAAGAAAGAAAGAAAGAGTGTGTCTGTGTGATGATTCTAATAGAGGTGTAGTACGTCGCTTTGCTTTCAGTCCATTAAAACCATTCCATAACCTATTCCGCACCGACATGTCTCCTCTCCCCTTCCTTTATTAGCCTCTCTTTCTCTCTTTTTCACTCTCTTGATTCTTTTTTATAAACAAAAGAAAGAAAGAGAGAGAGATCTTCCTCGGGATCGCAACATGCTGGACTACGAATGGGATAATCCTTCCTCCCTTGTTCTCTCCGGAGATGAAAGAAACCCGGACTCTGACCCGACCCGATCCTCCCTCTCTTTTTTCGACCCCATCTCTCATTACAACAACGACCACCGCCACATCACCATTTCTCCTCCCCTCCTCTCTTCCTTCTCTAATAACCAGCAACATCACCTCACCCTCTACGGCCAGACCAGCAACAACAACCTGATGCTTCATCATCATCACCTGTACGACCCACGCACCACCACTCCTTACGGCGCCTCCGATCCCATGTACCATCCCCACTCGTCCGCTCCAGCCTCCATGTTCTCCTACGACCAGACCCCACCCGGCTCGGGATCCGGATCTTCCTACAACTTCCTCATCCCCAAGACAGAAGTGGATTACACGTCCAACAGGATCGGGCTGAATCTGGGAGGCCGTACGTACTTCTCAGCCGCGGACGACGACTTCGTGAGCAGGCTGTACAGGAGGTCTAGACCAGGTGAGTCAGGGATGGGGAACTCGCTGAGCACGCCGCGGTGCCAAGCCGAGGGATGCAACGCGGATCTGAGCCACGCGAAACACTACCACCGCCGGCACAAAGTGTGCGAATTCCACTCAAAAGCATCGACGGTTGTAGCCGCCGGACTAAGCCAGAGGTTTTGCCAGCAATGCAGCAGGTTTGTGCCCCCTACCTTTGACCTTCTTTATTCACATACATATGACTCTGTGGGGTTGGGGCTCTCTTCTCTTCTCTTCTCTTCTCGTCGTCCGTACATCACTACCCTTAATGTTGTTCTCTATCTAGTTTAGATCTATTTTTATTTTAAAAAAATTTAGTTAGTTAGCTTCCTTTTTTTTTTAATCAATTAATTAATAATTGCGAGAGGATCATCACAATCATTGAGAAAGTTCGTACTGTGGGGGATCCCGATGGCTTTGTCGTCCTTCCCAACCAAATCATTTTGATTAGCCCTAATTAAATCATCTAAATTAACAGGTTCCATTTGCTGTCGGAATTCGACAACGGGAAACGGAGCTGCCGTAAGCGACTTGCTGACCATAACCGCCGCCGCCGTAAATGTCACCAATCTGCCTCCGCCACCCAAGACGCCGCCAAGCCAACTCCAAGTACGTACTTCTCTGACCATCATATATCTTACAAATTTCTCTACTTAATTAATTATTTAACTAATATTGGGAATATATATATATATATGATGATGATGATCAGAGTCACCGAAGGATTCGGGTGTAGAAGCGTCGCCGTCCAACGCGCCGACTACGATATCATTGGAGTGCTTCCGGCAAAGACAGTTCCAAACGACAGCGTCGTCTTCCACGTCAGCGTCTTCCTCCTCAAATTCAATGTTTTTCTCAACCGGATAGCTAGCTAGCAATTTACTTCTATATATGCTTAATTGATAAAATTTTAAGGACTCTTCTTCGGTAGCTGCTATAATCTGAATTAGTCGTCGATTATGTGTTATGTTTAATTTCATGTCTCTCTCGTTTGTCGTTTTGATATTGTTTTTCATGACTTAATTAGTAGAGGTTTAATTATCTAATTAACCAATAACAACATATCATATCAGATTTCTGATTCTACTATCATTAATTATCTCCTAATTTTTTTTCCTTTAACTTGGGAAAAAAAATTCAAGTGTGAAAAGACGAAAGGGGATAAAAATATTGCTGGTAAAAGCAAAGACCGGGGAGAGTAGTGGTACATGGTGGTTCGTTCATCGTTTATTCATTTCGGGGAACTGAATTATTGAGTCTCTCTGTCTGCTGTCTGATGTTGCTGGAATTTTCCTTGAAAACTACAGCAAACCAATATTTTAGAAAGTGACTGATCGTTCACGGCCACGTGGTTCTCCCTATTAAACAAAAATACAGTATTTGGTTGTTGTCCCCCATTTTGAAGCTAAAAATCATACGAAAATTTGTCAAATTTAATTAATAGTATCCCCACCGATCGAGATTTAATAATTTGCACTTTCATCGGTTGTGATATTTAGTAAATGATCCACAAATATAACGGATGGATGATATTTTATATACGAGACGTGGAAAAATTAAAGCCATCTTCCAAATAGCTAGTAGCTACTACTACACAAACACTTGTTGTGTAAAAATTCATGGAAACGGGATTTGTTATGAAATAATTAAAGAGAGTCGATTACTCTTGCATATGTATATTTCTCCTCCCATTGGTTCCCCTGATTCCAGCTGGGTGGCTCCATCGTTTTGTACACGTGTCTTATTTGGGTTGGATTTTTGGCAAAGTGGTTGGGCGTCGTCGGGTCTGCGACCTAATTTTCAGCAGAGACGCCCACACGTGATCATTTCTGGCACTAACCTCCCGGTACGGCGTGGTGGGGATGAATCCCAAAAAGGCCCAAATGCATGGCCCAACCATTTATAACATTACATACACACTCGTATACTATTATCTATGCCTTCCTTTCGTGTATTCATATGTCGCTGTTACATTAAGTCCTATATATGTTGTATTATACAACCTAAGTTATCTACGTGACCGGGATCGGACTGTCCACAATCATGTAATTTATTCATGTCCCGCCCTATTTATTTTGGGTTATTGAATTTAACCACCTTATATTTTGGATCTTCTTCTCGCTCTTCTTCTATCCTTGCTTTCTATTTTGGTTGTATTATTTTTCCCTTTCTAGTTCTTTTATTTAAATTGTCTCATCTTTGTAAATCAGAAAATGGTATAAATTTAACCTTTTACCAAAAAAAACCACCTTATATTTATTTCTATATTTTCAGCCAAATCAAAAAAAAAAAAAAAAAAAAAAGAGACAGGAAAGGAAAAAGGGTTGTGGTGCTGAAAAGTCAATGATTTACAGACAAATGTGGAGGAGGCTGAATCATTTTATTTATCATCCAAGGACTTTGGGAAGAGAGCATCCAAAGCTTTATACTAAGGTTTTGGTGAAACAACTGCTTCAATCATTACGTCACCACGTGTTTCACTATATATATATTATCACTTTTCATTTCTCATGTGGAAATCTCAATCTTATTAGAAGGATCAATAATATTTACGACAAAACAAAAAAAGTTTAGCAAGAGCCTATACAAGTAAAAAAGATCTAACAATAACGATTACCGAAGCATAGTATTATCAAGAAACGAGGATCAAAGAGTTTGATGCCTATGGAAGATATGAACTGCCTCGAGGATTTGACTTTGGTAAAATATATATATACGAGCTTTATTCGGCCTAGGGATATCTTTCTGTGACGTTCGATAACATTTACAAGCACTTTTAAAGGAACACCTAATCAAAGGTTGTTACAAAATAAATGTGCGAGCTTTTATGTTGTTACACCTAATGTTTGCCAACATTAAATCATTAATTTCATTATAAAATTATACATCAAATTACCATAGTATAACAATATAATGGTGATGGATGATATACTAAATTTTTACATTTTAAAAATTGATTACTATATTCTACTGTGTTTTCGGAAAATAATTTCAATATATACATATATATGCGGTTTATAAATATAACTAAAAATAAATATCAGTAATTTATTAATAAGCTTTTTAGCGTTTTATGAATGTTTTGAGAAACACTATTTAGCTTCAATGCTTTCGTTATTACAAGCTATCATGTTGTTATACTATTTATTTTAGTTATCTAGGACAAAAATGAGCTCCTGAACCCATTAAATTGCTTCTCAAATGTTTTCATTCCTTAACTACGACTTGTTTTGTCCAAAAAAAAAAAAAAAAAAAAAACTACGACTTGTTTAGTTAACAACAAAATTATTTAAAATAATATAAATAAAGAGTGGAACCTCAAAAGTAAAAAAAAAAAAAAAAAAAATGGAGCCTGTTGCCGATAGTTCATTTAATATCGTTTAGACACGGTCATGTGTTTTAGTTTTTTTTTTTTCATTCTATAAAAAAATAGAATATGGAGAAAAGCCTTTAAATGTATATAGAATCTGAATAGAAAAAAGCATTAAGGGAGCCAAATAGAATTTCATCCTATGTGCTCTACATATTTTATGATATACCAATCAGAATTTTTTGTGCGATTGGTTGCCCGAAAAACTTCTATTTGTGCGTCATATAACTTTAAAACCCAAAAAAAAAACAGATGAAGAACTTAGACAAATGAGACATAATTCACTCATCAAATATATAATCACAGTTCTTCCCGCAGGAAGAATGGGGGTCTTTCCTTCAAGACTTTGAAAATTCGTTGTTCTTTTCTTTCCGGCCTGAGTCGTCTGCACCTTTCAAAGTCTTGAAGGAAAGACCCACATTCTTCCTGCGGGAAGAACTCAGGAGTAGGCTCTTTCGAGCCCGAAACCAGAGACTCAGACAGAGAAAGTTCGAACAACAACGATTTGATCACCAGGAGTCAACCATGCCATCTGTACCAGATCCTGATACGGTAAATCATTTCGCCAAATTTAATGGTTTCAATAAATTGTAAGTGTTTTCCTTTTCACCATTATCTGCTGCAGCTTCTATCACTGGAGGAGTTGCGTGAACGCCGTATAACTGATCCTCATTTACCGAGGTAAGTGGTAGTGTTTTCCAATGTATGAAAACTTATTTCAAAAGCTCTATTTGGGACCAATCTTTTAATTTTGTTTCTTTCTTTCAGGAGTTATCGGAACATGTTTTTGAATCTATTATACTAAATAAATAAATAAACTAAGACTCCTAAAATCTCCCTCCTACTGTATTATTGTTACAACATAATGTCAAAATACGCATACATATACAAGTTGAAAGCTAGAGAGCTAATGAGAATTGTCTGAGACCCAACCTCCCGAGACCATTCCCTCGTCGACAGGCTTAAGGCCACCACAGGATCTTGCTACCGATTCAAAGAGCTTCTCAATCTCAGGCGCACATCTGATGAAGGCTTGTTTCCAGAAGCCATATCTTGGGTTCTTTATTAGCTCAATGAATGTGATTAGAAGTCCCCATGGATGTGGCCTGTTCACAATTAGCCGTTCCAACAGCACTCTTGTTATTTGCTCCTGTATGATCTCCTGTTTCATTCATTCCCCAAAAAAAAAAAAAAAAAAAAAAATCAGATTTCCATGCCCACTAATTTATCCACACACCTTTTCTTGACAATGACAAGCAAAGCAACCTCACCTGGTCAGATTCGAAGAACAGATAGAGCATGATGAAAGAAAAGTAATGAGTGTGGTTGTTGGGATATCGAAGCTGATTGGCTATTGCATTTAGGAACAGGTACCGCCCTTCAGTATCAAGTTCCATACTTAAATACTTGAACATCTGCAAGGCCACAACATTTTGAGCCTGTGTCTCACCGGCCTGAAGCTGCTGAATAGCCTGTTATCGCAATGCCAGGTTTTTTGCATATATTTCAATAAACTATACTTTAAAAAAAAAGACTGTATAGTAATTAGACCCATACCTGCATTCCAGTATATAGCACAAGCGAGTTGATCAATGGTACACTGTAACGGGTTCCAGCTGAACTAGCCTCGCTGGAAGACAGAAGTAACTTTGTCTTCAACTCACTTAGGAAAGTTGAATTTTGCTGCCTCGACTGCAGAAAAATTTCAATGAGTATCTCCTGATATAATCTCAAGAATACCAAAGTGAGGATAAGTAAATTGAAGAATCAGGTGTTCCCATTACCGTAAGATACTCATCCACGTCATTCTTCATTTGCTTTGCCTTTAGCGCAGCATCAACCTCGGAAAGGATACAGGGAGCTTCTACTATCTCAGGCAACAAATCAATCTGCAATGAACACGATAATTCAGCCTACAACGAATATATTTTCTTTAGAATATGATGAACATGCTGGAATCTCCACTATCATCTCGTACCTTTAAATTTGGGGTAGAAGGATCAGGAAGCCTCATGTTCCGCGGAAAAGAACTGAGGATAATATTCCGCATTTGTATGCAACTTGAAGGAATCACATCACAGAAAGTAAAATGATAATCACATAGGAACTCTGGGAAGTCATGAAGCAGCACCAGTAACACTCTCAATGTCCCTTTGTATAGGAAATGAACCTACGCAATCAATAAACAAACAAAAAAGAGACCACATTAAGTTACCATCGACTATATCCTTCAGTGTCCGATGCAAAACAATTACAGAAGAGAAAAAGGCACAAACTGGTCCTCCGAGTTCAGCATTTCTTAAAAATGGCTCAAGAAACTGAAGCAAGTCCACCAGCAGGCGTTGAACATATGGCCAGCCCTTCTGGCCATTTACTGTAAGTAGTTTGGGCATGAAGCTTCTGTGGCTGACAAGCTCTAGCCATGCAAAGCTGGAAAATTTTATAAGAACCTCAGTGAAGAAGAAATTTTTTTTATAAAACACAGATCATAAATCAAAGAAAAGAAAACACATATGTCAACCACATGAAATATTCCACAACATAGGTATTTGACAGCCCTCAAAGTTCCTGAGAGATTCACTTTTAAGTTTTAATAGAAGCATGGGGAGAAATAGGTTTGTGTCCTAACCTGAAAGCAGGTATCTTAAGAGGCTGCAACGCGTGGAAGGCGTTGGCAAAAGCTGTGAGAACCTG